GGTATGTGACTTTGGGCAAGTAAGCCTCCTGAAGTTTCTCTCTTTGTTGTGAAACAGAGGTAACAATAGAACCTGTTTTTGAGTTATCGTAAGGCACTCAGATCATACCTGACAAGCAGAACATCCTCAATATTTTACTTTATAACATATTGCATTATATTTATTTTATTTTTAATGACAAAAGGGGCAATTTATTTAAAAAAAAAGTGTGTATGCATCTTATAATAAAACCTCAAAATATTCCAAGAAAAAAATGTATCAAATTGTAAGGAGAACTGGAGACATCTACAACCAAGTAGGGAAATTTCACATTCCTTTCTTATGAACTGAGAGAACCAGCCACTAAAAACAAATTAGTCTGGATGAGAAGACTAATAACAATTCACAACTTGACCTAGTTAACACAGGAGGAAAATGGCACCTCCCAACTGTAGATACTCATCCTTTTTAAGAACATGTGGAAATTGTTCCAAATATCATGCTGTGCAGAGACATTATTTTAAGTAGTGCTTTCTACTCTATCCCTTTTTATTATTGAATGATAAAGAAGACATAGGCTCTTTCTCCGCAGCATGGGAAAAGTTTGGGATTGGTGGAGAAATTAATTGTCTCAGAATACAAGTCCACATTCTTGTCTGTGCAACGTAGAAACCCAGAAAGTTCTGAAGCTTTGGTGGCCAAACCAGACTGTACATATTCTTTGCAGTCTTATCACACTTGTTCTGAGTAGTGATAGGTGTCAATACAGAATTGATGACGTAATTAGCAGGTGCTTCCTCAGACCCACTGACCCTTACTTAAAATGTTATATGCATTGATTTACCCCCCTAAATCCCCCAAATTCTGACTTCTGAAAACTCACATGCATCTCAGAATTATACCAGATCTCGAACCTGTGGTCACCTTCTAACTGCAGTTCCCTTGCTAGGCTAGATACAGAGACTCTCAAAGTGAGACCCAGACATTGAGGGGATAGCTGTTCTGATACATCTCAACATGAACGCTTACAAACAGTAGAAAGTGACCACCTAGAAACTGAGGCCCAGACTCCAGTTATTCTCGGGTAACTAGGATAGTATCAAGTATTATCAAAAGTGTAGGTGTGGGCAGAAATATTAGCAATAGTTCGCCAAATGGAAGCAACCCAGGTGTCCATCAGTGGTTGAATGGATGACAGTGGCATCTTACTCATCCATAAAAGAGGAGCGGGACACTTTACAGTAGGGGTTAATCCTGAAAATGCTGTGCATACAAGGCCACATGTTGTTCAAGTGAAGTCACGTGTATGAATGAGTGACCCTGTGAACAGGCCTTGCTTTGCATGCCTCATATTTGTTGTTCCTACTTTTTATGAGTTATAATTGTTTAGTGACTTTCCTAAGCTTTGTTTTTTTAAATCAAGATTATTCTTTGTCACGTGGTTGATAAAGTCTTGTTCTGTTAGTTTGTTTTTTTTTTTTAAGATAGATTTATTTATGCATACAAGAACTGGGGTACAGGTCAGAGGTATGGGGATGGGAGGTGAAAGAATTCACTAGAAACAGAGTGGGGAACAGAACAGGAGGATCTACTGAAATCCACTGCTGAGGGGGGCAGAGGGGACAAGAGAGGCCTGCTGCACCCTGGGGGTCAGCATCCTGGCTGGGGATTGAACTCCTCGCGCAGTGGCTGTGGGTTATGACTCATCCCCTTGTGCCCCTAGGAAGGACCTCATTCTGTTAGTTTTGTGGCAAGCTAGTGTGTTGACAGATACCTTAAATTCCTGGAGCAAAAACAAAAACAAAAAACCACAAAATCCCAGTCTTTGCAGTTGGTTTCTGAGTGTTGGGACTAACCTTTAGCACTCAGTCCCTGCCTTCCTGTGCATTTCTTTCTTGTGCAGTAGAACAAAGGTCAGTCAGAAGTGAGAACCTTGTCTTATCAGGTTTTGTCTGGGCATGTGCCTGCCCTGGACCCATGGCTTTCTATATTCTCTGAAATATGCAGGTTTCTCTTTCTCTCTCTCTCTCTAATTGACTGAAGTCCATAGTTTACATTAGGGTTCACTCTTTGTATTGTGGTTACTGACTATTGTATGATTTCATGTTGCTGTCATTACAATATCTCCCTAAGAACTTCACTCTCCTGCCCCAAGCCCTTCCTGTTCTCACCTCATTATCCCTTCTTTCTCCTCCAGAACCTTGACAGCCACTTTTTTTTTTTTTTTTACTATCTCTGCCTTTTCCAGAACGTCTGAGTCAGAATCATATAATAAACAGCCTTTTCATACTGGCTTCTTTCACTTAGCAGTATGCATTTAAAGTTCCTCAGTGTCTTTTTTTGGCTTGACAGCTCCTTTCCCATCACTGAATGATATTCCATTGTATGGATGTACCACAGTTACAGCTGGTTTATCCATTCTTTTATTGACACCTTATTTGCTTCCAGCAGTTAGGAGTAAAACAGCAGTAAACACACTTGTGTGCAGGTTTTGTGGAGACATGTTTTCAACTCATTGCTGGAATGAATGGTAACATGTTGTTAAGCTTTGTAAGAAATATCAGCATGGAAACTTTTCAAAGTCCCTGTTCCCAAAGCTTCTCATTCTCCAGCTATTCCTCCCTGAATTTCCTGCCTGTTGTCCAAGCAGCAATGACTAAGTTATGCCCTTTAATAGTTTCAGTAGATGCTCTCCCTACAGCTACTTTTACCCGTCCAAGAATTTTCAGTTAGACAAAATAGAGGCAAGACTGTTGTCTGCTCCTGACTCAGTGTCAAGACAAATCCTTGTTTTTTAGAACAGGATCCTTCCTCTCCCTGTTCTCTCCTCCAACAGGAACCCTCAGGAGGGTGGCTGCTGTCTTCAGACCCACTGATGAGCTGAGGAGTTAGTGGGACACAGCACAGGGGTAAGCTACAAGACCACTGAGCTCTCCCATCAAGTTTCACTTACCTTTTTCTTGATAGGCCTTCACTTGGCTGCTGTGAACCTTTCACCCTTTTCCAGTGTTCTGATAAAACTGACATTTATTTCTGTGGTGACACAAATGGGAAGTTTTAAATTACTAATCCAACCATTATTCTTTTCATAGGTCTGTTTCCGATAGTCTTTTTCTTCTGTGTCAGTTTTTGGTGTCCTTCCCCCCCCACCCCCGTCCCCCCCAACACACACACACACTGCTTTGTTTCTCAGAATTTTTATCTAATTTGTTGGCACTAGTAATCTCTTAGGCCTTGCCAACATGTATTGCTCCTTCTGGAATACTAGTTTTCCTGAGTGTTGACTTTTGTGTTGACTCCTGCCTTTCCTTCATCTGCTGCTGGTGTTACTCTGCTCTACCAACCTCATTTCTCTGGAGATGTTTGCCATCAGGCTAGTTGTCATTTCTTTGTAGACCATCTTCCTTTTCTTTCTAGCAGTTTTTAAGTTTTCCCTTTGTCTTCAGTGTTCTGTAGACAAGGAGTGAATTCATTTCTCATTATCTGGACTCCTGTGTTTCTGTAATTCTTGGGCCCTCCCTGGTGGCACGATGGGTTGAAGTGTCGCACTGTGAAGCTGGCCGCAGCTGCTTTAGCACAAGTTTAATCCCAGCCAGGAAGTGGTCCACAGGGTGCGGCAGACCTCTCTCAGCAGTGTATTTCAGTAGATCTGCCTGTTCTGCTCTTTACTCTGTCTCTTGTGAACCAGCTTACTCCCCTGCACCTCTGACCTGTACCCCAGTTTTGTATGCATAAATAAATAAATCTTAAAGAAAACCCAACTCTTACATTCTTTCCTTTTCCCTGCAGGATTCATCTTACACTTTTGCATTGGCTTTTCCATTTGTAGTTTCTCAACTTCTCGTTCATATTTTCCATTTCTTTATCTCTTATCCTGAATTCTGGTGGGATTTCCTCAGATTATGACAATTCATTTTCTTCCTCTTCAGCACTGTTTAACATTCAACCCTTCCCATGGTATCAGTTAATTTAAATGTCTTTCATTTCTAGAGGTTCTCTTTGTTCGTTTTTTAGAAATAATGTTTTTGTGTCAGAATGACCTAGTCTTTTAAGTTTTATTATCTCTCATTGTTCTTTTTTTCCCCTTTGTTTCTTATTCTGGGGTGCTTCTGTAGGCTTATGTGCATCTTTTCTCTCCATTTAGTTTTCCTGCAGATGACACTGCTCTTCCACCATCCCACGTCTCTGTAGCCTGTGAACACCTGGTCATGTCCCCTTGGTGATCCCAGGGCCCAGACTCCAGGGCAATGCTCTTTAATGGAAATGGGATATGAGCCTCTATATATGTTAGAACTTTCTAGTCATTTTAATAAAAAGGAAAGCGGCAGATGCCAATAATTTTAATATCATATTTAATCCACTTTATCTCATATTAACATCATTTCAACATGTAAGAACATATTCTAATCTTCCAAATCCATCATGCACTTCACACGCACGGCTTGTCTCACTTGGAGACCAGTCACATTCCCAGTGTTTCATAACCTCGCAGGACTAGGGCCATCATATTGATGACAGCTGCAGACCCTACATCTGAGTCTGAATCTCCCATTGGGTCTGCTTGAGCTTATAGGGTTGACTTTGAGTTTTCTCACTGTTGCTGGCACTTGAGGTTTCATGCCTCTTGAGCTTGGCTATGTATTAAAAATGTTCTTATGTCATAAGGCTGTGTGTTTATGGCCAGAAAAAGAAGTCAGTCCACCTCTTCCCACCACATGTGGGAAATCCTGGTCTTCATTTCTTAGAAGGCTTATGATGGAGGTACCTGATGCCCAATTTACAGATGGGCTACTGGAGCTTGGACTTGCCATGGTCACATGGCTGCTGAGTGGCAGAGAACAGTCTCGAGAAGAGGTCTGCTTGATGCTAGGCCAGTGCTCTGTCCTTCATGCTGTATTCCCAGCTCATAAGTTTGATTCCTCCTTTTCAGGAGTTCGACACCTTAAGAGCACTTTCCTCGACTTCTTACCCAGCCTTGCTCCACGGGAGAGTTCTTGGTTACGACCTGGTAGTGGAAAACCATGGACCAGTACAGCTTGGGGGACGAGGGCACCCTTCCATCAGAGATGCGTCTCCCGGCATTTTCTGAGAGCCAGGGGCTCAACTGCAGCGACACCCTCAACCGGGACCTGGGTCCCAGCACGCGAGACCTGCTGTACTCTGGCCTGGGTAGTTTGGACCTGGAGCCCAACCTCCCAACACCTGACGTGCCTAACGAAGCACTGGAGGACAACTTGGATGCCCTGTCCCTGTACTCAGGGAAGGACAGTGACTCCGTGAAGCTGCTGGAGGAGTATGTAGATCCGGAGTCTCAGACTTCCTTACAAGGTGAGCCTGTCTTCCTGAGCCCAAGGGTCTGGGGGGCTGAGAGGGAGTTCTGTGGTCACTGGGGTGGAATCTGTTTGGGCTGATTGAGGAAAAATTTCTCTTACACAAGTGAATAGGGAACAGTCACCTTTTTCCTACTTGGGAATTATTCCCAACTTCCTGGTTCAGGAAACTGAACACTGACCCTAGGGAAACATGTTGAGAAACTTGGATGTTTGAGGATATCCTAGTCTTTTATGGTGTGTAGGTGGGCCTTTGAGTTGATGGAGCTGTTCCTGTCCATGGCCACACTTCACAATCTTTTCACATTTCCAGCATTGAGCAGACTAGTAGTTGTTTTTTTTTAAAGATTTATTTATTTGTGCATACAGAACTGGGATACAGGCCAGAGGCTCAGGGGCGGCGAGAGGCTTCACTAGAGACAGAGAGCAGGGAGCAGAACAGGCAGATCGACGAAGTCCACTGCTGAGGGGAGCAGCGGGCGGGTCAGGAGAAGTCTGCGGCGCCATGTGGTCACCTCCGGGGCATGCGGGAATTGAACTCATGGAAGTGGCTTTAGCTTCTCAGTGCTGTGCTTTGACCCATTGCGCCACCAGGGAGGGCCAGACTAGTAGCTTTTTAAAAAAAACTACTACTATTGTTAGAATTGGCCTCAGATACTCCATTGATTCGGTGCCAGGTCTTTCTCGTCAGCAGTAGAGGAGCAAAGGGACAAAGTGTGGAGAAGGTAAAGACGTTGATGTCCTTTTAGTTGCCTTCAGACTTCCCATACACATTAAATTCTTTTACTTTGTTATTTCCTTTTACTTGTAGTCCTCTCCTTAGGTTATCTGGTAAGTTGTTTGAGGGGAGGGTGTTGACTGAGCCAGAACATCCTGATATAACCACACTATGTGCATGGAAAGCTGTATGTGCGACTACCCTGCAAAACAGATACTGATGTCAGCTGAGACAGGCAGCTCCAGAAACATCCTGAGTACTTGTTAGATAGAAAATCCTTCCACACAAGATGTACTAGAAAAGTTTCTAGCCTTGTCGCTGTGTGTTGGTGATAGCTAATCTGACACCCTGAGATCAATGGGTGTATACGAGCTTCCGTGCTGTCCTAGGCACTGAGCCAGGCCAGGGGGGACAGGAGTCAGGGTTCTCAGGCCAAAGGAATTGCCTGAAAAATGCTGGTAATGTGTATGTGTGTATTTTGATGGGAAGAGAAATTCATAGGAATTTCAATACTACAGTCCATTCATTAATGAGTTCACCTTCTCCTAATATTGTTTTCAATGTGAATTGTTTTGTGTCTTATAAGAAAAAGGAAAGGAATCCACTGAACATTATATTTTGTCCCTTTATACTTCTCTAAGTTAAATTCAGATCCATATAAATGCATGTGTTTGTTAGTCTTTCAAATTAGAAGAGTAAATTAGAAAAGTAATTAACAAGAAAAACCCCTATCCTGGCTCCCACACACAGGTTTTTAAAAGCATAGATGAAACCACTCAAAGTGGTTAGTGCAGTTAGTGCTATTTGAAGTTTTAAAAACCTATTTGCTTTCTGTTTTATTTTTTAAAAAAGATTTATTTATGTATGCATACAGAACTGGGGTACAGGCCAGAAGTGCAGAGGCGGTGAGAGGATTCCCCAGAGACAAGAGTGGGGAGCAGGACAGGCAGATCGACTTAGTACACTGCTGAGGGAGCAGGGAGCCGGACAGGAGAGGTCTGCTGCGCCCTGTCGGTCACCTTGGGCTGGGGATTGAACTCACACTGAAGTGACCTGGACTAGCTTGCAGTGCTGTGCCTTAACCTGTTGAGCCACCAGGGAGGCCCCCTATTTGCTTTCTTTACAAGGGTAGACCATTCAGCCTCATAAGACCTGCTCTGCTGTCTTGACAGGACATGCCTTGTTCACAGGGGAACCTGCCCTGGTGCAGAACATACATACACACTCACATGTGTATGTCTTAGAACTCTGCTTTCAGGGGATGGTCCAGTAGCTTTCTGGGCCAACTCTGTTTGCCTGTTTCCAGTGTCCTTGCCAATTTTTGGAAAACATAATTGTTTTCTAGTTAACTTTAATGAGAATTTTTAACGTAATTTAGCAAGACAAGGACTTGCCCCTATGGGAGTTCTGTTTTTCCTCATTTAAAGCTATTGGAATCATTCCACCACTTGTCACTGTCATTTCAAGCTGCTGAAGAACAAGCAAGTTAGATGACAGAAGGCCCCAGGCCAGAGGCAGAGTTGGGATAAGAATCAGACCTCTGCACTGCCCTTCAGCTCCCTCTCTCACATCTCTCACACTGTCTTGCAGCCATAGAGAATTAGAATGTGGGGCCGGGTGTCACTCCCAGCCCTGGCCTGTTGGATTCTTGGATGCTACCTCTGCAGCATCTTGGTTAAATGGTGGTCTGTAAACTGGCCGGCTCAGGAGGCAGTCTCAGCCATCGTGATGACACACTAGCCGTCCAATATTGAGTGCCCCCCAGTGTTAGCATGGGGTTCTGGGAATCCAGCAGTGAGCCTGCAGCCTCTTCCTGTCCGTGGCCCCAGTGGTTTGACATAGCTGCCCTTTAGTCACCAAACCCAGCTGTGTCCCTGGGCACAGAACAGAAGAATCTGCCCCCTCCACACTCTGGCCCTCCAGGCATGAGATCACCTCTCCTCTCCTGCCTGTGCACTCCCAGGCCCTTCACTTGTTCCTCAGGTGACATCATTTGTAAGAACACCTTTGATAAAGAAAACATGGGAACTTCCAGATACACAAGAGAAGGAAAATAAAAATTACCTAGAGTCAGAACGGTCAGTCCCATTTTCTCAGATTGTTTTCTATTCAGATTCATTTTTTTAAAGATTTATTTATTTATGCATTAAGAACTGGGGTACAGGCCAGAGGTGCAGGGGTGGTGAGAGTATTCACCAGAGACAGAGTGGGGAGCAGAACAGGCCGACTGACAAAGTACACTGCTGAGGAAAGCAGCGGGTGGGTCAGGAAAGGCCTGCCGTGCCATGTGGATCCCCTCTGGAGTGGGGATTGAACTCGTGCTGAAGTGGCTTTAGCTTCTTAGTGCTGTGCTTTAACCTGCTGGTCCACCAGGGAGGGTCTCAAATTCATTTTTAAAAAAATATTTATTTATTTATTTATACATACAGAACTGGGGTACAGGCCAGAGGTGCAGGGGCGGTGAGAGGATTCACCAGAGACAGAGTGGGGAGCAGAACAGGCAGATTGATGAGTTATACTGCTGAGGAAAGCAGTGGGCCAGACAGGAGAGGCCTCCTGCGCCATGTGGGTCAGCTTCCTGGCTGGGGATTGAACTTGTGCTGAAGGGGCTGTGGTTAGATTCTTGGTGCTGTGCTTTAACCCATTGCCACCAGGGAAAGGTCTCATACTTTATTCTAAAAATAAGGGTCATTTTTTTTTCTCAGTACTATATGAATATCCTTTCATGTCACCAGATATTTTTCTTCAGTTTTATCTAAAATGTTTATGTCCAAGACCATTTAAGCACCAACATAGTCACCCTCTTGTGGGACACTAGGTGGTCTTCCATGTCTCACTGGGAAAAGCAGTGCCGTCTCTAAAACTCTTTCAGTGAACTCTTGCTGCAAATTGACATTTTCTTCCTTAATTAAAAAACCCCAGTGTAGAACTGCTTGGAGAAAGGCTTTTCCAAGTCTTGGCTTGTTATTCCTGGACACCCTTCTAGAAGTGCCCTGATGTTGGAATCCAGGGTGTCATCTTGTCCTAGAAGGGTCTCAGACTGCAGCTGCTCCCTGACAGTGCCCCTAAATGGGGAGCCATCTTGTGTGGCCTGGTCCTCCCAAACCATGCTTTCTGTGTAGGATGAACTGTTGACACTGGAAGACATAGACTGTTCTTGCTCCCCCCCTTTCTAAGTGTTGTGTCCTGTCCTGTGACATCAATGTCCCCCCTTAACCTGTGTTTTTTCCCTCTGTTTAGAACTGGGACTAGGCTCGCTTAAGATGCCTAAAGAGGCCGATGACGGAGGCAGGGCGGCCTCTGGGAGTGCGAGGAAAGGAAAGCGGCAGCACAGCTCCCCTCAGAACCCGCTTCTGGACTGCAGCCTCTGTGGGAAGGTGTTCAGCAGCGCCAGCTCACTTAGCAAGCACTACCTGACGCACAGCCAGGAAAGGAAACACGTTTGCAAAATCTGCAGCAAGGCCTTTAAGCGTCAGGACCACCTGTATGTCGGGGTCTGCTCAGGAATTGCCTGCTCGGGGCGGGTGGGGGTGGCGTGTGTGTGTGCCCCTGTGCCTGTCCCTCCTCCGGTGCCCTCACATGGGCCTCATTTCCCACCTCCTCAGTCTCTGGATGTGTGCAGAACCCTTGGCTGTGGGCTTCGTTCTTTTTGCACTGCCAGGCCCCAGATTCATCCCACTCAGGGAATCACTGTCGATCCTGTGGCTAGCCATACAGGTGGCTCATACCCCCAACAACTTATCATGGAAGGAATTAGGCTAATTTTCTGGAGAAACAGCCCCACATGAGTTCTGGTGTGGGGCTGAGGAGATCACATCAGCCATCCAGGAGGGCCCTCTGGACCCTGTTGTGAGATGATGGCACAGGGAAGATTCTGGATGCGCTAGCCATGATGGTGGAATTTTATTTTTTTTAATTCTTGGTTTTGAAAAGAAAACCCATTATAGGAACCAGGAGCAGAGTTCCTTTTCTTAGTTTTGGAAGTAAGTTTTTCTCACTAGTGGTGAAAGAAGGACAGCTTTTTGTCAGACCTAGACTTACTTGTAGGAGATGGCGTGGCTTGCATTTTCAGTGCTTGCAGCCTTTCTGGAGGGCTTTGCTTGGTCTGACTTCATCTTCTCTGCCCACCAGATACCAGGGCAGGGAAGTCATTTGCTCAAGTAACAGTTGGGGATTATAAATTAGGTCTCATGATTCTTTCTGTCTTGCTTCCCTGAGATGGAAGTCAAGGGCCAGCCTTTGGTGACTAGCTTTGTTCCTTGGGACATGCCCCAAGTGCCACATTTATTAGAACCATCCAGAAAAGGATGATAGGCAGCCTAGGGGCTGGTTTACTCACTTGCTGATAGCATACTAACATAGATATAAGCATGCTATATATATGAAACATATTTGTGCTCGTTTATATTTTCAGAAATGATAGGCACATTTAGTGGTTTAGTAGAAAGTTTTTGCTGATTGGGTATCTCTCAATTTTTGTTTTCTTTCCCTGTGTGGAGATCCCATATGGCTTTCCCCTTAGAGGAATCTGATGGAAAGGTAAGCTCCTTTGTTGAAGGAAATGTCACTCCCAGGCTAGCCTTTCCTCAATGCCTCTGTAGATCTTTGGTTGTCAGGGATGCTGAGTGGACTATTTGCAAAAATCGGTTCCATGGGCAGGTAAGTTTGAGACACGTGGAGAGTCAAACAGCTCTCTGCTCACTCTGTGAGGCTTTGAAATTTTTGTGTCACCTTCCAAGGAGCAAATGGTGTTTTCAACCTTATTTGCCAACTAAGCCCAAGTCCTCGGGGGACAGCCCTGGAGGACTGGTGTTCTTTGGAAACCCACTTTGGCGAACTCTGGTCTGGCTTCCATTGGTTTTGTTTATCTCAGGTGAAGGTTCTGCTTAAAGGTGAGGGAGAGGAGTTCCCCTTTAGATTGCCCCAGCAGGGCCTCTTGGGGGAGGGAGCCCCATTTCTGAATGGTGCTGCTGGGGCACAGCTGCCCTGTGGTGTTAGGGAGCCCTGTGCTGGGGGTGGCTGCTGACTTCTTCTTGTACGTGACTTCAGGACCGGGCACATGCTCACCCACCAGAAGACCAAGCCCTTCGTGTGCATTGAGCAGGGCTGCAGCAAGAGTTACTGCGACTACCGCTCTCTGCGTCGCCACTACGAGGTCCAGCATGGCCTGTGCATCCTGAAGGAGGCCCCCCCGGAGGAAGAAGCCTGTGGGGACTCCCCCCACACCCATGAAACGGCTGGTCAGCCAGCAACTGGTGGTGTACGGGCCCTGGTCACCCCGGAAGCCAGGTCACCTGGCTCCCTCTTACCCAACCGAGACCTCCTTCGCTGTATCGTGAGCAGCATCGTCCATCAGAAGATTCCTTCTCCTGGTCCAGCCCTGGCAGGGCCTTCAGACAGCAGTGAAGGGCGGAATGCAGCCTGTCCCTGCCCACCCTCATCAGGGTCCTGCACCCCTGCCACTGTCCCCGTGGCCCCAGGAACCCTGGGCCCTGAAGTTCCTGAGGACCCCCATCCCCTGTGGAAGGAGCCGGTGGCCGAAGGCCTCACCACTGTCCACTCCAGGGCAGCAGAGAATGGCGGCCCAGAGCGGGCCGAGTCGGAGCCTCCCCTGCTTCAGCTCCCGTCCTCCCTGGAAGGCTGGCCCGAGGGCAGCTCCCTGCCTGCTTGCTTGCCTCTGTTCCGAGGCCAAACAGTCCCTACTGGTCCACCACCATCCGGCCACAACTTCCAATGGCTCCGAAACCTGCCAGGCTGCCCCAAGAGCAAGGGAAGCAACGTGTTGGTGGTCCACAAGGCCCCTGGCATGCCACCCCGTGAGGGCCCTGAGTCTGGCCCCGTGCCCAGCAGTACCTCCCCCGAGGGGCAGCTCTCACCCGGTTCCGGCCCCAGTCTGGAGGACTCCCTTCTCTTACCCCCCACACACCTGAAGGCACCTGGGGAAGCCTCCGGAGATGCCAGATACGCAGGTGGGGAAGAAGTGGCATGGGCTTCCAAGAAAAGCACATTTGACTGCGATTCCTTCTCTTGGAGGAACCTGGGGGAGCCAGGCCTCCAGGATGCCCAGAAGTCCAGTGGGCCCCCGTCGGATGCCACACCACTCTTTCGGCAGCTGTTCTTGAAGTCTCAGGAGTCTCTGATGAGCCACGAGCAAATGCAAGTGTTCCAGATGATCACCAAGTCCCAGCGAATCTTCTCCCATGCCCAGGTGACGGCGGCTCCCTCCCAGCTGCCTGGGCCAGAGGGCAAGCCGGCCACCTTGAAGCCCCTGCAGGGGCCGTGGCCTCCGCAGCCCCTGCCACTGGCTTCTTTGGCTGATTCTCTTCATGCTGATCCTGGAAACCCAGAACTTGAGGCATCTCCAGCCCGCCGGAGAAAAACCACACCTGCATTTCCCAAAGAGGCCTCTCCCAGTGGCAGCCGGCGTGACGCTAAGGGGGGACCAAAAGCGGGCCCTGCGCCTCCATCCCTCTCCGTATCAGCTCTGGACCCTCCTGGGAATCCCAGTATTTCCTCTCTGGCCAAGCAGTTGAGATCTGTGAAAGGGACCTTGGAGCTGGGGGACATCTTCCCCTCTGGGGGCCCACGGCAGGCCTTGGTGGGTGGGGACGAGCCACCAGGCACCCAGCTCCCTGGGAAGCAGGGCCAGGTGGAGAATGGCTTGGCTTCTGGAACCACAAAAGGTGAAAAGGGCCCAGCATGCTCCCGGGGCGGAGGCTACAGGCTCTTCTCCAGCAACCCCAGGGCCCAGCGTTTCTCAGGCTTCCGTAAGGAGAAGGTGAAGATGGACATATGCTGTGCAGCTTCTCCCAGCCAGGTAGCCATGGCTTCCTTCTCCTCCGCCGGGCCCCCAGTGGATGCCCCCCGGGACTCCAAGTCCAAGCTGACGATATTCAACAGAATCCAGGTACCTGTGCTCATGGACCCGACCGGACTGAAGCCAAACCCTCATTGTTTCTAGCATTTACTGGTGGCCCAGGTGCTTCAGTTAATCTCTGTGAACCCAAAGATGCAGTTTTACAGAGGAGGAAATGAGTGTTCAGAGAGATGGTGGTTCCTTCTGTCAGTTGCCCCCCAACCCCTACCAACACACACACACGCAGTGAGAATGAGAGCTTTCTCTTGCCTTCTCTGCTCGCTTGCTTTTAAAGCCCCTTTCCTTTGGATTTGCCTCCCTCATTCTTCAGAAGATGTAAGGGTAGAGATCCTTTTCTTTAATGCTCTTCCCTTCCCTTTCCCCCATAAGGTGTGAGCCTTACCTGGTTCTGCGTCTGGGTGCCCAGGATGCTCAGCCTTGCTGCTTGCCAGCTGGCCTGTCACCTTGGGCATCAGACCTGTTGCTTCTCCTCGGGCTGCCAGCTCCCAGGCTCCAAGGAGTCGGCCCCTTCTCTTCCTGAGGTGCTGACCTCTCACCACCCCCCAGGGCCAGCATCTGTCCTGTCACACCACAGCTACTCCTCCCCCCTCTCTCACAGCTCCTGTCCACTTACCACGTGATCCATTTTAAAATGTAGGGTCCAGCGGTGCTTAGTATATCACAAGGTTGTATGTTCCAACAGACTATCTGCCTGGACATTTTCATCACCCTGGAAGAAAACCCTGCCCCCCATAGTTGTTACCTCCTTCCCGGCTCCTGGCAACCACCAGTTGACCTTTCTGTCTCTCTGATCTGCCTATTCTGAACGATTTATGAAATTGGAATCCCAACCGGAGCAGCCTCCTGGGTCTGGCTTCTTCCCTGGTGTCCTGTTGTCAGGGTGCATCTTCTGCATGGCCCACGTCACAACCTGCCTTTTTATTGCAGAATCAGTCCTGTGCAGGGATGCAGTGCATGCTGTTCCTCTACCCAGAGGCAGACATTGGGGTGGTTTCCAGGTTGGGGCCATCATGTATAAGACTGCTAAGTACGCGTGTATACGTTTTGGTGTGGACGTGTACTTTTGTTTCTCTTGGGCAGTCCCCGAGAGCAGCACTCCTCGGCCGTGGGCTGTTCCGCTGTTTACTGCGCAGCAGCCTCAGGTCCCCTTCCCACCCAGTGCGAGGGCCCTGTGTCCTCAGCACTTGTGACATTTCGTTCTAGCCGCCCTGGAGGGTGGCGAGCCCTCTCGCGCCGGCTTGGTCTACACTTCCCCAGTGACTGGTGATGCTGAGCATCTCTGTGCCCTTGTTGGCCGTCTGTGGAGAAGCACCTGCTTAGATCTTTTGTCCTTTTAAGTCGGGTTGCCTTTTCAGTAGTGAGCTGGTGACATTTTTTAGGTATTTATAAATAAGTCCTTTACCAGATGTGAGACTGGTAACTTCTTCCCCCCATCTGTGGGTTGTCTTTTCATCTTTTTGGTCATGTCTTTTGAAGTATAAAAGTTTTAAGTTCGGATGAGTACAGATTGTTCTGTCTCACATTTGGTTTTGATGTCAAGCAAGAAACTTGCCAAAGCCAGTATCATAAAGTGATGCTGTTTCTGTCTGTTTTACAGTCCGGTAGTTTTCGTTTTTGCACACCTCATTACCAATACATTTACTAAGATGTGTTTTCATCTTCAGGGTGGAAATATCTACAGGCTCCCCCATCCGATGAAGGAGGAGAGCATGGCAGGAGGATGGTGAGTTCAGAAGCCCCTGCCTCGCTCCCTGGCAGCCCAGCTCTTGGGAGTCCTCTGGTGACTGCTCTCTGCTGGCCCTGAGCACTCTCAGTCCTAAAGAGGCCTGCCTCGGGCCGTGAAGAAATAGGGTATCATCTTCATGCCCTGGGATTCACCAGGAGTTGTCAGTAGATCAGATTTAGAGGTAGAAACAAAGCAGTGATTGGAGGTGGGGGTCTAACTCACCCCATTTTTCCTCCTGCCTTGTCTCCCTGCAGTAACCAACAAAATGGGGTCCCTCCAGACTGGGCGGAGTCAAGGAGCACTTTTGTCTGCAAGAACTGTAGCCAGATGTTCTATACGGAGAAAGGACTGGGCAGCCACATGTGTTTTCACAGCGACCAGTGGCCATCACCCCGAGGGAAGCAGGAGCAGCAGGTGAAGGGGGTGCGCACAGTAGGTTCTCTGCTTTTGGGGTTGCTCACAGGCTTTGGGGAGTTGACAGCTGGTGGTTATCATGATGGGGCAGTTTCCCCTGGGGAGCTTGGGGAGGACCCAGGGGTCAGGCCGGAGAGGCCCTTCTGCTCCCTGCCTGCGGTTTCTCTTAAAGAGCAGTCTGTTCTCGTGTTTAGGTGTTTGGCACAGAGTTTTGCAGGCCAGCAAGACAGGTACTGCAGCCAGAGGGGGATGGGCAGAGCCCCCCAGGAGCCAAGAAGGCCTTGGACAGCACAGCCTCCGCCTCTTTGGTGATCCCCGTGTCGGTGTCTGTGGCTCCAGCCAGCCGGCCCCTGGGGAACTCGGCCAAGGTGGGTGCTCACCAGCCTGAGGGAGCTGTGGGAGAAGCTCAAGCCCAGGCCCAGGGAAAATCCTGACCACAAAAGAGCTTGCTTTGCCTATTTGTTCAGTCATTCAGCATTCACTGAGTCACCTCTGTAGCTGGCTCTGTGCTGGGGACACAGCCACTGATATGCCGGCCCCAGCCCTAAGCCCTAACTCTGGGGCTCACAGTCCAGTGGAGGACGCACTCCCATCTGTCTTCCAATGGGAATGGCCCAGGGTGGGCAGGGCTGGCAAGGAGCTTGGAGCAAAAAGCCAGAAGAACCCTGAAGGGGCTGAGTTCAGAGTGGCTTCCTGGGTGAGGGTATTGGAGCTGACACCTGGGGTGAGGAGGAGTAAGGCTGGCAGAATGCACGGAAGCCTCTGTGAAGGTGAGACAGCATTGTCATTTCTAGCACTCAGTCTGTTCCTCCTGTGCTGAAGGATCCCAGCCAGAGAAGGATGTGTTAACTCTGGGACTGGAGGTGTGAACCCAAAGTGCTCTTTGGGTCTCACAGGAGCTATTGTCATCTTGAGGGCAACCATTTTTCATTTGGTCACATGGTGGTCCTGCCTCTGTGACTACCACTCTGTCGGTCCCAGGCAGTTAACTGTGGAAGCTGTCCCCACACTGTTATAAAACCCCAAATCAGCATCTCCCGCAGGGTGTGGGTGCATGAGAAGGCTCCAGGCTTAGGACCTTGGGTTTAGCAGAGTCCTCTGCTGAGAGCTTGGCACACACGCAGGCTGGGGATACATGTCATCCATCCTTCTGCCTCTGAGGTCAGGACACTGGTCCTGTTCTGTCCATTTTGAAGACTGGCCTGTGTGATAGGGGACCTCAAGTGATCCCTGGCGGTTCTGAATGCTCCTCTTCTCCAGGGACAAGAGAAAGACGGGGAGGAAAGAGACAGCAAGGACAGCAACCAACACAGAAAGCGGAAGAAGCGGCCCCAGGCCAAGTCATTGTTCCTCCCACCGGCACCAGTGACATTTGGGGAGCCAGGTCTGGGAGGATGCCACCAGAGCTGCCTGCGGTCCCCAGTGTTTCTGGTGGACCACCTCCTGAAGGGGTTGTTCCAGTGCTCTCCCTACACACCACCCCCCATGCTGAGCCCCATCCGGGAGGGGTCTGGGCTGTACTTCAACACTCTGTGTTCCACATCCGCGCAGGCTGGGCCTGCCCAGCTCATCAGCACCGTGCTTGGTGAGTGAGGCTGCGATCTGTCACACAGCAGCCTGTTGGGGACCACCACCACCCCTCCTGGTAGCACCTGTTCCAGCAGACCTCTGGCCCATGGCTGTGTTTGCTCTAGGGGGTCCTTTGCCATTTAGAAGTATCCCAGGACTGTCTTGGCACCTGTAAGTTTGCAGTCAGAATGAGCATACCGCCCTTCTTCCTGTTCTGTAGAATTTTAAAAATATCTCACTGAGATATTATTCACATTCCATAGGAGTCACTCATGTAAAGCACGCAGGGCACCTCCACATTTTCCTCACCCAACTCCATAGTCATCACACACGTGCACACACCTGCCCCACAGCTCCCATTCTGCTGACCTTGGGAGCCATCACCTGCTTCCTCTTCCTTCCTGTTCTGCACTTCTCATGGAACTGGAGTCGTCTCACACTGATGTGCTGTGTCTCACTGTTCACCCAGCATCCTAGATTCAGGCTTCAGCCTGGATCAGTGCCGTAGCCTTGTATGGTCTGGCCTTGCCCCCTCGTCTGTACAGGCCATGTTTGTATCTATCCATTCCTCAGCGAACGGACATTGTTTCTGCTTATTGGCGCTTGTGAATAATCCTGCTGTGAATACTCATCTATACGTTTTTGTTAGACAGATGTTTTCCTTCCTCTTGGGTAGATACTTAAGAATGGAATTGCAGGATCAGATGGTAACTATTTTTAACTGTTTAAGGAACTGCCAAACTGTTTTCCAAAAAGGCCGAGTCATTTTAAATTCTCATCAGCATTTGTGTGAAAGTTCTGATTTCACCACATTCGTGCCAGTACTTAAACTGTCTTTATTATAATCCTTCTGTTTTGATGTGATTTGATTTGCATGTCTCTGATGGCTAATGATGTTAGGCTTCTTTACATGTGTTTATATATCCATTTGTAGAAAAAAGCCTCTTCAGTTCCTTTGCCCATTGTAAAATTGAGTTGTTTATCTTTTTATTGTTTGGGAGAGTTCCTTATAATTCTGGATGCAAATCCCTGATCAGATAAATAAATTTTATTTTAAAGGTTTATTTATTTCTCCATACAGAACAGGGTACGGGCCAGCGGTACAGGGGGTGTGTGTGAGAGGATTCACCAGAGACATTGGGGAGCAGAACAGGCAGATCGACGAAGTCCACTGCTGAGGGGAGCAGTGGGCGGGTCAGGAGAGGTCTGCCACGCCATGTGGTCACCTCCTTGGCGGGTGGGGATCAAACTCATGTGGAAGTGCTTTAGCTTCTCAGTGCAGTGCTTTAACCCGCTGCGCCACCAGGGAGGGCCCCCGATAAATTATTTATACCATTCTCTCCTATTCTGGGTGTTGTCTTTCATTTTATGCCTGGTATTGTTTATAGTACAAACGTTTTTCATTTTGTTGAGGTCCTGGTTACTGCTCCTTTTGTCAGTTTGATGTTGTATCTGAGACTTTATCTGACCACAGGTTGCAGAGACTTGCTTCCCTGTTTTCTTCTAAGAGTTTTACAATTTTAACTTTTATATTTAAGTTTTGATCTGTCTTAACTTTTGTATGTTGTGTAAAGTAGGGATTCTTTCTTTTGCATGTAGCTATACAGTTGTTGCAGCACCACTGGTTGAAAAACTGTTCTTTTTCCGTTGAATTGTCTTGGCATCACCATGTATGATCTCAAATCTTTCTTTCAAATACATGTACAGCAGGAGTACTCTCTGAGCACTACATAAGCAGCAGCTCATAAATTTTATTATGTTGTATTCTCTTACTCATCTCAAATTATTTTCTAACTTTTCTTTTGATTTATTTGATACACTGATTATGAAGAAATGTGTTAATCTCCACATACTTGTGACTTTTCCAAATTGCCACCTCGTATTGATTTGTAATCTTGTTGTATCAGAGGACATACTTTGTATTATTTAGTACTTTTAGATTTATTGAAGTAGGCTTTATGTATTAGGATTTGTTTTGCCCTGGACAGTGTTCCATGTGCTATTGAGAGGAAGGTGTTTTCCCAGTGTCGCATAGAATGCTCTAGAGATTGTTGCTACGTCTAATTCATAGTCTTGCTCAAATCTTCTATTCTCTTGTTGCCTTTCTACCTGCTTTTGTCCTATCCAACATTGAAAGTCTTGAAATTTTCAACCGTTGTTTTTTAATTGTTTATTTCATCCTTCAACTCTGGCAGCTTTTATTTCTTTAAAGGTACATTTATATTAACAGTTGTCGTATCTTCCCAGTGCCTTGATTTTTTATTACTTTGACATGATTATGATAGCAGTTATCATTATGACAATTTTAGTTATCTCTAGTAATTTCTTTTTAGTTAATTTTCGACAGTGTAAGCCATTCCATCCCTATTATGGTGGTGGTTTGCTCAGTATATATTTCTGTGCTTTTACCTGCAACCTGTTTGTGCTTTAAAAATAGTCAGTCTGCCTCTTCTGCTCCCAACTCTCTCTCTGGTGAATCGTTTTATTCCCCACCCCACCCCGCAAACCCCACTTCTTGGCTACATCAATAAAACATCTTAAAAATAAATAAAGTGTGTCACTTGCAGACAGCATTAGTTGGATTTATTTTTTATATACTCTGATAACTCTGCCTTATGATTGGCTTGTTAAGTTCATTTAATGTTATATTGATAGGGTTGGACTTAAATTACCAGTTTGCTCTTTATTTTCTGTATGTCTCATCTTTTCCTCCCTTGTGTTCCTGCTTCCCTGCTTTTAAGTGAAAGATTACTTTATGTTCATTTGCATAATTTGTTCCTCAAGTGAAATATGCATGCATCAGTCACCCGGTGCCAGATTCAAACTGGTGAAATTTCCTGTGAGCACTATTTGATTGTTTCTGGCACTTCGGGGAGAGGTGTGTCAAAACCTCCCTACTCACTCTCCCTAGTCTACCATGTTGTAGGAGTGCATTTTTTAAAAATGATATAATAGTTTATTTTTACATCATTTTGTGCATTCTTTCATCTCAGTTGTAATCCCTGTGGGCTTCCCATCACCAGATCACCCGTGTGCTGTCACCATAGTCCAGTAGGAGTGCATATTTTTATTGCAACATGTCAATTATTTCCATCAGCTCAACCCCCTGCCCCCACTATTGGCCGCCACTTTTCGATTTTTGATGATAATAAATTTAACTGTTTCAGATATTTCACCTAAGTGGAATCAGGCACCATTTCTCTTTCTGTGAAAGGTTTCTTTCCTTACACAAGATGTTCTTCAGCCTAAGTTTGTTCCTTGTTGTGGAATTCCCTTTCACTTTTTTTAGTGTTCCATTACTGCTTCCAGAATAACGTCTAGGTGCTCATTCATGGGCCTTGCTGCTCTTTGTCCAGACATGTCTTTTCCTCCACCATGTGTTTATCTTCCCTGCATGCCCTGGCTTCCCCTCACTCCGTTACTTCTTCCCCAGAGTGCAGTGACACTCACATCTCCACAGTTTCTGTACTACACCCCCTTCGCCTCTGCTTTAGAAATCTCATTCCAGTCTGCATCTCAAGTAAAATATCTCGTCTTCTTTGAAGCTCATGTTTAGTGTCCTCTTTTTATAGTGACTTTTTTATTTTACTTTCCCCCACTAGATGCCCAGCTCACTCTTTCTCCCTCCTCCCTTACTCTTAGTCTCATAACCTCACTTTGTCATCAGCATCCACAGGTTTATCATTTTTCACTTATTGGTTCATCCACTTTGCTTCCTTACTGTGAAATCATGCAGTATTTGCCTTTATCTTTTGGACTTGCTTTGCTACTCCTAACTTCCCTAGAGCTCCCTCCATTTTGCTGTAAATGGTAACATTTCATTCTTCCATAGAGCTGAACAATATTCCATTGTATATAGACCATGTCTTGATTCAATCCCCTATCTAGTCGTAGCCTGGCTATTATATGTAAATAATGCTGCAGTTCACACTGTGGAATTTCCTTTTTTATTTTGAAGGGCTAAGTTGTATTCCATGGTATGTATGTACCATATTTCTTTTTATCTTTTCCTCTGTCTGTGGACATTGAGGTGGTTTCCAGGTCTTGGCCATTGTGAACAGTGCTTTAATAAACAGAGGTGAGCCCAGGTGTCTACGAGATTTTTATTTCAGTGCTCTTGAGATCAATACTCAGAGAGAAATACTTGCTTGATCATATGGTAGCTCTGTTTTTAATTTTTTTGAGGGATTGCATCCTATGTGACCTTAAGGAGGCTACTTTCAGCTCCTTTGTGAAGGTAGGCAGACAGGGCTGCATGGATCACTCTGGTCAGTCTCCTTGAGGTTTCTGTTGTGTGTTTTCTAGACCAAGTGGATGGTTCTTTTGGCATCTGTGTGGTGAAGGACGACACCAAGATCAGCATTGAACCGTGAGTTGGAACAGATTTCTACCTGAGGGCTCTTCCCCAGAGGGGGTGTTTACAGGATCAGTTTTTCCCTACGGCTCCTTCACAAAGGGGTTGAGTTTAGCTACAGAAACCCCCAGAAGGGAAGTTTCTCCAAGCATATGTGCGATGATTTGCTGTGTACCATAGCGGGACGGAGTGTGCAGGACCAGGGGGTTCTGGGTGAGACTGGCTGCATAGTGTTTGATTGTGTGAATCTGTGGAATGTGGCTGGTTGAGTGTGGCCATGGAGGTATCAGCTAGTGCCACTCCTGTCCTAGCTCTCAGGACAGATACCTGAGGCAGAAACCTGGCAATAAAGGAAATCAGAGCCTCAGAGAGGGTCCTGAAATGCCTGCCTGAGGCACCTGAGGGAGGATGGGTTTCCCTAAAACAGAGCTGTGGCCTAAAAGCAGGTTCACAGCTCCCTTCTTTTATCACCCACCTTGGTCATGTGTGTGTGGTCTCATTTCAGACACATCAACATAGGAAGCCGGTTTCAAGCAGAGATCCCAGAGCTCCGACAGAGGTCACTGGCTGGAATCGAGGAGCATGTAGCATCTCTGGTCTGGAAGCCGTGGGGAGATGTGATGACTAACCCAGAAACGCAGGATCGAGGTGGCTGAGACTTGGGGACCATGATCCTCAGCACTCTCCTGTCCCCTTTTCTGCTCCCTTATCTCCAAGGAGCCTCTTCTCCCAGTTTTCACTGTGACCCAGATTCGCCTCCCACCTGACTTCTCCTGCCCCTCCTCTTCTGTCACAGTGGCTGGCCAGGTCTTCCAGAGCAGGTGCCAGGGGAGGGGTCTGCCCTTCTCCCTTGTCTCTCAAACCCCACACGGCCTAACTGACTTGGGAGGGGAAAGGACCCTCTCTGCTGTCGGGTAGTCCCTCCCCCAGTCCTTGCTGACTCTGTGTGTCCTCTCCCTCGCACTCTGCCTGGCTGCTTACTGGAAGCACAGTGACCGAGCTCTGCAATGTGGCCTGCTCCAGTGTGATGCCAGGTGGGGGCACCAACCTGGAGCTCGCTCTGCACTGTCTGCACGAAGCCCAGGGTGATGTTCAGGTAAATGAACAGGGTCAACGGCAGGCTCAGAGGGGCCTGGGGATCTCCCTGCTCTCCTGGCGACAGCTGCCCCGGGCTCAGTAGCTTGTGAAAACCAGTCAGGCCACCCACTTCTCCCCAGTGGCTTTAGGGTTGGTGTGTCCTGGGGAGATGCAGGGGAAGTGTACAGTTGTGGGTTTGATGAATCAGTTATCTCTCTGGGGTGCCACACTTCCTCCCAAGCCGTGGCAGGGAGCCTGGGAGATTGGATTCAGGTTCTGCATTCATCCGCTTTATGGACTTGATCTTCCTGATAAGGATCCCATGTGTGAAAATCTGATGCATCAGTAACGCTCCTGCCTTCTTCCAAGACTCTCTCTTTCCTGAGGTCTGAAAGGAAATAAGAAGTCCAGCCCTGAATATCAGCATCTGAGACAGGGACCTCTAGGCCTGTTCTCTCAAGCTGAGAGGCATTGACTAGCACGCAGTTGGGGTTCAGCAGAGTGATCAGCACATGGGGTCCTACCTGGGGCTGGTCACTGGTGCTGGGCCACGGCTGGCGTAGGAGCATCTCTACATTTCATGCTCTGTGGCTGTTATCTTGAAATTGCTAATTTCTGGACAAGCAGTCCCAGGTTTTCATTTTGCTTTAGCCCCTTGATCCCGTAGGTTACACAGCCAGCCCTGACTGAGCTTATGATGCTGGTGAACAGGGCCAAACCCCTCTCTTTGGGTGGCTTCCTTCATAGGAAAGTCAAAGCAAGAAATAATGGCTAAAAATAGATAACGATGAGTGTCCTGAAGGAAATGAAATGGGCCACTGGCAGGAGTTGGTACTCTTCAAGACACTGGTCCTTGATGAAGTAGTTAGGGGCTTATGACAGGGAAATGAGTCCCCACACATACAGAACCTCCATCAAGAAATCTGACTGTGAAAAATATAATAGCTGCACTCCACAGCTGGCTTCATGACCAGGCTCTGCATTGGCCAGTAGCCTGGGGTAATAAAGCCTTGAGGAGGCTTTAGTGTTTTCTAATAAGAAGGTGAATGCAGGTTTCTCCGACTTCCTCCCTCTGTGAGTACCTGCTCTCCTTTTGTTCCAGATTGCCTTGGAAACCCTCTTACTCAGAGGACCCCAGAAGCCTCACTCTCACCCCCTGGCTGACTACCGCTACACAGGTGAGCAGGAGAGGGCTGCTGGTGGGGATTACCTGTGAGACTCCCAGAGCCCGCCAGCCCCCATGGGCTTGTGCCTCTGGGCATGCTCCTGGGGCTTCATGCTTTTCCAAGAAGGGCCGGTCCTGTCCAGGGAGACCCTTTGGGCATTGTGTTTTTCTCATTGGCTCGTACCTTGCCCTTTTCCCAGTTGTTTCTGGGCTCTGTTTAGCCACAGAGGGGCTGTGCCTGGCCACGGAGAGGTGGAGGAGGGCTCAGGGAAGTGCTTGAGGACAGCAGCCCTGGAGTGAATCAGGCCGCCAAGCCCCCCCCCCCCTTGGCAAGATACTTCGCACCAGCAGAAGCCTCACTTGGTGTGTCTGTAAAGTCAGATCCTTACCTGCCAACATTTTGTGGGATTGTGTGAGGGGTTGAGCAAAACACTTGTCACGTAATGAGTAATAGTTAGTGCTCAGGGTGATCTGCAGTTCAGCCACAGCTGGAGCAGCAGTGTCCTGACCCTCCCCTGCTGGGATGTTTCTGTAATAGGTTCAGACATCTGGACCCCCATGGAGAAGAGGCTCTTTAAGAAGGCATTCTGTGCCCACAAGAAGGACTTCTACTTGATACACAAGACGGTAAGGTGGGCACAGGAGGGCTGGCTGCACAGCTGAGGCTGACGGGCCCGCCACTGCTGGCACCGAGGGCAGTGTGTAGTTTAGAAGGCTCCAAACAGCACAGAAATGCATCACAGACTCAGTGCCCATGTCCCCTCCCACAGCCTATTTCTTCTCCTGACCTCTGACTGCTGGTGGTACAAGTACAGGCATTTACCCCGTGTCGATCTCACATGTAACTGCATGTGCTTTAAAGAAATGAGATCATACAACATTCAGTATCCCGCTGAGTGTTTTGTTCTCTTTTGTTTCTGACTGGATATGCACAAAAGTGCATATAATCGAAGTGTAAGAGTCAATGTTTTGATATATTTGTGCATTGGTAAGACCTTTACCATGATCAACAGAGAAGAATCCCCCAGAGTAATAATTACTATGTTAAATACATTAAATGAATATATTAAAAGGTAATATAAACTCAAATGAGAACTCCCAATAGTTCCTCCCCATCCCATAGTAATCTCTCCTGCCTGCACCCTGGCCCCAAGTCAACTCCTTACCTGCTTTCTGTCTCTGTAAATGTGTTTGCATTTTCCAGCTAGTATTCCCTGTTTTCCCTCAGTTCACTCTCGCACATCCACTATGATTTGAAGATGCTAAATGGAAAATTCCAGAAATAAAGAATCCTTCTGTTTTAAATTGTGCACCATTCTCAGCAACACAGTATCTTGAGCATCTTGCTGCTTCCTTTCCGGAATGTGAATCCTCCATTAGTCCAATGTGCTCATCCTGTACAACCTGCCTCCCCTTTAGTCACGCAGTCCTGGTGGTTTTTGCTTTTTATATTCTACTGTAGTATGTCTTATTAGTTGTGTTATTCTATTATTAGTTATTGTTGTTAACCTCTTTGTGGGCCTAATTCATAAATGAAACTTCATTGTAAGTATGTAGGTGGAGAGGAAATATGGTTTATGTAGGGTTAGGACCCGCTGGGCTTCTTGGAACATATGCCCTTTAGGGTATCTTAGAACCTGGGGGTTGTTGCGTACATGGAACAGTCAAACAGGATGTGCCCTGCTTGGCAGACATTTTATACTCAGCACTAATTTGAGACTCACTCAAGGGCTGTGTCTAGTAGTATTTTCTTTTAAAGACTTTTTATTTATGCATACAGAACTTGAATACAGGCCAGAGGTGCAGGGGCTGTGAGAGGACTCACCAGAGATGGGGGGGGGGTGAGTAGAACAGGCAGATTGATGGAGCACACTGCTGAGGGGAGCAGCGGGCAGTCAGGAGAGGTCTGCCGTGCCATGTGGTCACCTCCAGGGCGGGGATCGAACGCATGCTGAAGTGGCTTTAACTTCTCAGTGCTGTGCTTTAACCTGCTGCACCACCAGGGAGGGCCCTTCTTTGTTTTTTATGGTCTGCTATGATGTATCTTTTTTCGTCTATCTGACAGATTTTAGGAATTTCTCTTTATTGTTATCTTTGAGCAGTTTTATGTGTATATAGTGTTTTGGTGTGCTTAATTATGTGGGCTTGAATTTTGAGCTACTTAGATCTGTGGGTTTACAGTTACAGTTTTTATTAAATTTAGTAAATTTTTGGTCTTATTTTTTCAAACATTTCTTTTATAACCCTCCCTACCCCCAGCCAGGATTCCACTTACATGTGTTTTCAACTTCTCCTGTGGTTTTTACAGAGGCTATCATTAATGGGTTCACTTTTTAGTGGAGGGACGAACAAATAGCTGGTCTGTGAAGCCCTGAGGATGGTGATCTCAACACCTCCTCCTCCTCCTCCTCCTCTTTTGGGTCACTTTCCCCATACTGTGGGGTTCTTCCCAGCTCCTACAAAGGTGGTCATGATCCCTGCTTGGTTAGGCCTGGCTTTCACCAGTATTCTTTCATGTCTGTCTTCCTGTAGGGAGGAGCTTTCTGCTCAGAGTGTGTAGGACTTGGGTTTGTGGCCTCCTAAGTACCTAACCCACTGGAGCATATCTCTTCCCTTCAGGCAAAGGGATATGTCTAGCCAAAGGGGAGTGATGTGTGGCTGGGGAGTGATGGTGGCTTGCCGCACATGGAAGGGATTTAAGGTTCCATGGCCGCCTCACAGCTGCTCCTGAGGCTGCCCTTCGCTGCTTCTGTTTTCTTTCACTAGATCCAGACAAAAACTGTAGCCCAGTGTATTGAGTATTATTATATCTGGAAAAAAATGATCAAGTTCGACTGTGGCCGAGCCTTGGGGCTAGAAAAGAGGGTCAAGAGAGAACCAGATGAGGCAGACAGGACAGAAGCAAAGGTAGAAGTCCCAGACCTGGAATTCCCACTGGGGGGTTGGAGGGCAGAGGGAAGGGTTTCCTTGCAGAGGACATTTGTGCCCTGAATCTCTACCTCTACCTTAGAAGGATAAAAAGTCATTTTATGTCATTTTTGTCTCCTCTGCAGGCCACTTGCAGCCCTCGAGAGAGACCCAGTCACCGACCAACTCCCGAGTTAAAGATAAAGACCAAGAATTACAGGAGAGAGTCCATCCTCAACTCCAGCCCAAACTCAGGCCCCAAGAGGACCCCTGAGCCACCTGGTAGCGTGGAGGGCCAGGGTGTTTTTCCCTGCAGAGAGTGTGAGAGGTACCAACTCTTTCCTAGACGTGCTCTAATCCCCCCCCCCTTCCTCAGGGCCCGCACTGCCCCAGTGCTGACCTCATGTCTTCTGATGGCTTCTCAGGGTATTCGACAAGATCAAGAGTCGAAATGCCCACATGAAGCGGCATCGGCTCCAGGACCATGTGGAGCCCATTGTCAGGGTGAAGTGGCCTGTGAAGCCCTTTCAGATGAAGGAGGAGGAAGAAGAGGAAGAGGAGATAGGGGCAGACATTGGCCCCCTGCAGTGGTGATTCCATGGTGGGAGCAGAAGCAAAACAACAAGTCTCCCTTCAGTTTCTCCAGAGTACCTAGGGCACCCCTCTGCTTCCCCCTTCCCGTCCCCCATGGGCCAGCTCACTATGGATATAGCAGCATTTGACTATAAACCAGGCAGGAGAAGAACATGGCTATGGGATCTCTATTCCAATGGGCCGAGGCCCATTGCCATTGCCAGAGGCTCAGTACTCTTAGTTAATAGTCTCTCATCTGTCCCAGTTCCACTCCTTGATGGACAGAAAGGCTGGAGAGAGAAACAGGTTGGACCCAGATGGCTCTTAAATCTTCATCTCAGTTCTGGGATTGGGTTACATGTGTTAGATAAGGCCAAGATGTAGAGAATCAGTGGGAAGATACCTTCAAATCTCCAGCATGGGGGCAAGGGGCTCCCCTCCCTAGGGGTCTCTCTGCATTCCAGATTCAGTCCCTAGTCTTGCAAAGACTTGTACATTGTTAGGTTTTTTTTTGTACGTGTCTACTTGTAAATCTTATTAAATTGGGTTCTTGAGCCACTGTCCTCTGGCTTCCGTGACCCATTGATCCAACTGAGTAACTCCGACCACTTGCTAGAGCCATGAACATGAGTAAGCCAGGGAAATGAGTCAGCTCTGGAGGAGCTAGGGGCTGGTACATTCATTCAGCCATCATTTATGCAGCATCTACTGTGGCCTGTGCCAGACAGTGCCCCCTCCTTGGGAGGGGAAGGACAAGCCCCCTTTTCCTAGGACTTACATGTTAGGAGCAGGAATAAGTGAAGGTGATTTAGCTACTGAACATGGGTATGCTTTTGTCCATAAGTAACAGAAGAGGCAATACAGTTAAACCATGAGTTTCTGTGGCCATTCCAGAGGTTCCACCCTGAATGAGGCCCACCAGCAGCAGTAGGAATCCCTGCCTAAAATCTGTGTGCAGGCCAGGAGGTAGGCAGAGAGTGCATCCCTCCCTCCCTTGTGTCCCTTTTCAGAGTAAGGACAACTCGTAAGCCACCTCCTGTGCTCCCAACCATACAGACTGTCCCTCAAAAGCTAGCCCATGCTCACCTCTAGACCAGTCCCTGCTGGTGGGAAGACAAGTAGCCACCATCATCCTGGACATTCAATATTTTTCTCCAGAATTGGAGAAAAACCAGTCAGTATCACCCTAAGTTTGTTGCAGTTTGGCCAAAAATACAGTTCTTGTCAGGAAAAGAAGAGAAAGCAGAAATGACTTCTGGGTACAACTTGCATCCAACACAAAGTAACATGAAGGGGATCAGGTGCTAGGATGTGACCAGGGTGTGGTCCACAGGGAGTGCCTCCCTGAGGAGATTGCTCAAGCTGAGGTTTGGACTCCAGACTGGAAAGTAGTAGAGGACGTCAAGAAACAAAACCCTGACCTGGATGAAGTGTGGAGGGCACAGGAGGCAAGCTGGGAAGCCTGGATAATAGATTGCCCACCCTAAGGTCAACCGGTGATGGCCTGGGCTGGGGTGGCAATGAAGAGCAGAGCAGAAAGGTGGGAATGCAGATGGATCTTAGAAGTAGATGTCACAGGCCTGTTGATGGGTCACACGTGGGGGCAGTGGGAAGGGAAAAAGGTCATTGTTGCCCTAGTAGGTTTGCAGCTTTAGCAGCTGAGTAGGAACCATTAACTCAGTAGGATACAGCAGAGGACTTGGTGGCTCCGTGATCGTGATCGGGACTATCCTATTGTCTACTGGATTGTGGGGTGGGGCATGGAGGGAGTGAGTGGAAGGTAGTATCAGAAGGTTTAAGCTAAGTGAATCTTAAAGACTGGGAAGGAGGAGGAGCGGAGGGGGAAGTTGAGCTTGGCTGTTAGGACCTTGTGATGAAGGGAAAGGGACAAGGTAGCAAAACAACCAGAATTTACGTGCTGGCTCCTCTTCCTCTGGTGTGAGCTTGACCAAGTCACTTTCCAGGCTTGGGACTAAGTTGTAATATAATATTCTGTAAAATACTGTAGAAACTACCTTCTGTGTTTGTTCAATGAAAAATTAAGAACTTGGCTTATGGTACTGTCAGAGAGATGACTACTTAAAAGCTTTCATGCTACTGCTGTTATTGGGTAGGTCGCACTTTAAAGAGCAAGTTAAGCTCAATGGCCCTGAAGATGAAAGGCTGGCTGGAAGGATTGGATATATATTCATTTTCTGTTGCAGCGTAACTACTTAGATATTGAACTACTTAAGCTTTGATAATGCTTACATGGTCAGGGCCCTGGAACTGCTTGTGGTGATCCAGACTCACCCCCACCTGATCTGTGGTAAGGATATAGAGGCAACCGCAAGTGGGCAGTCCAGGGAAATCTGTGGATCTAAGAAGAGAGTAAGGCAAAGATTTCCCGAGCCTCATCCCACCCCTCAGCTAAACTACCTCATTCGCATATAAGTGTTTTCACAACCAGTAGTCTAAATTACCTACATCACGATCAGTTGTTAGGTCCTATAAGTGCAGATCTCTGTGCCCCCTTCAACTTTCATAGAATTCTGAAATTCAATGTCGTGCTCCCAATCCAAATTTTTAAAAGCTTTACAGAGAAATTGGGAAGATTGTAGGGAAACCCACAGACACATACCCGGTCCCATCTATTGAGGACATATTAAGCGACACACTCGTTAGAATTAACAACACTGCTGCACGTTATTATCAAACCCACACTTTTATTCAGAGTTCCTTAGTTTTTGTGTCATATCCCTCTTCTGTTTCAGTATTTTACATTACTTTTAGTAGTCTTGTCTCCTTAAGTATCCTCCTGGCTGTGACAGTTTCTCAAACTTTCTTTTTGGTGATTTGACAGTTTTGAGGCGCTGTTTTGGGAACTCTATCTCATTTGGAATTTATCTGGTGTTTTCCTCATAATTAGCCTGGAAAACTACAAAGCTGAAGTGCCATTTTCTTTGGTAGTCTGAAAGGTACATACCATCAACATGACTTACCATTGTTGATGTTGACCTCAGTCACCCGCTGAGAGTGTCAGGTTTCTTTCTGTTCTATACTTTGGAAGGAAGTCCCCAGAGCACAATTCCCCCTTCACAATACTCTATTTTCTTGAGAGCAAAGTATCTAGCCTATTTACCCAACCATTCACTTACATCAGAATGACTCGTGGATATTTTAAACGTTGGGTTATAACTATTTCAACTGTGAGCATTGGGAGTGTTTGCAATTGGTTCCTATGTCCCTTTGTCATATTCCCTGTGTGTGTGTGTGTGTGTGTGTGTGTGTGTGTGTGTGAGAGAGAGAGAGAGAGAGAGAGAGAGCCCGCCCGGGAGAGAGGGGTGAGTGGGGAGCGAGAGGGAAAAGCCATGGATTCTTTCTGGCACAAGATGCCAGAAAATTCCTGCCCTGCCCTGTTCTAGAACTAGACCATTTATCTAAGGAGAATGGTATTAAAAACCAAGACCTGAAATTTTAACACTCCCTCCACCTTTTTTTATGAAGCCAGAATTTGAGAACCTGTTATCATTTTTGTTTCCAAACCAGTTTCACCAACAGAGGGCGCAAAAAAAAAAAAAAGTATATAGAAAGGCTGTTTTCTTAACTCCTTTACTTTCCGGGAGGCGGAGATAAGGCGCGGAGGCAGGACTAAAGTCGCGGGGCAAGGGAACTGTCAAATCCAGGCGTGGGCGGGGCGTGCCTTCCGGCAAAGCTGTCACGTGAGAGTCTGCGGTCAGCTGACTATCTTCCAGGATCCGCAGGGAGGGACAGACCCCAGTGTTTGACGTTGGAGACTACGATTGGCTCTGCGGTGTCACGTGGACTATTGTGAAGCCGCACCAGGAAGAGAGTAGGGTGCACAACGCGTATGTATGCGCATGCGTTGAAGCTTCGGGTCGGCGATTGGGAGCGGTGAATCATAGGGCTGCTGGCGGAGGTGTGTCCAGAGGGGCGCGCGCCACTCTCTGAGGCCGATGATTGGCCGGCTCCGGTCACATGGTTTCGGGCAGCAGGCGATGCGCGCGGGTGCGACGTCAACGCAACCCGCTGAGCTCTTGGTACCTGTCTACCGCGGCCCGGCAGCCGCCGAGTCCTTCGAGGCCCCGGGTCAGGCGGTTTGGTAATTGCCTTCGCGGTCGCCATGGACAACTCCGGGAAGGAAGCGGAGGCGGTGGCGCTGCTGGCCGAGGCAGAGCGCAAAGTGAAGAACTCTCAGTCCTTCTTCTCGGGCCTCTTTGGGTAACATACGCGCCGAGGGTCAGCGGGGACCTAGGCTAAGGGGACGAAAGAGTGCGGGGTAGAGCCTTAGCGGACGGAGAGGATTCCGGGATGAGATGACCTGGTTGAAGGCGGCAGAGAGGACACTGGCCAAGACCTAGGGGGCTCCGTCAGACCGTGGCAGAGCGGTTTTAGAAGAGACAGCCAGAGATGGTGGAGGGGCGAGGAGATCCTGACCGAGGCGACATCTGCTGGGGCGGAAAGGGAGCCTAGGCTGCAGACAGTCCAGGAGTGGAGAACAAGGCCTGAAGCCTTTAAGGAACCCGGGGCCTGAGCCACAGGACTGGGTGAGCTGCTCGGTTGAGAGGCGATTGGATCTCTAGGAGAAGCCGCCTGGAGGCCCCCAGAAGGGCGCCACGAGGCCTGCCAGCCAGGACACCTGCCTGAGGCATCACCCTTTTTGATGCCCGCAGCAGTGAGTTTTAGAGAGTGATGGAGATGAGGGAGTTAGGGCTCACGCCATCCTGGGAGGGGTGAGCCGGAGCCTGAGTGTGTGAGTTAATCTTGGCTAAGGCGGACCTTAGTGAGAACTGAGCTGAGGAATCCGAGGGTAATGAAGTGAAGATTGAGCAGGCCTGGGATAAGAAGCTAGAAACGATAGGGGTGTGGGAATGAGGGAGGCTGGCTTGTTTAGGACTGAAGGGTCAGAAGAGAGAGAGGAGAGAGAGGAGATAATCTAAAGGGGGCTGGGGGTGGAGACCAGTGTACTCCCAGAGTCAAGACTGAGAGGTCTTGTAACACGCTGGGAGAGGACCTGAATTGGGATGGGATACAGAACTGACGCAGTGCGACAGACACTTCACATTAAGTTCTCCTTAAGCTCTTAAAAGTAGCTTTGATGACCAGCCTTTGAAGAATTTCAGTGGTCTGGGTGTGTCAAAAGCTGAGGTTTGAAATGTGACTCCGGCCCCTACTTTTTGACCTTGTTGAATAGGATCCACTATTAAAACCTGCCTCAGAAGTTTGTTACTAGCATTGAAGAAGAGTACCTAGAATTGAGTCTTACACATGCTGAATGCTTTGAAAGTGTTAGGTATTGTAAGTAACTAACAAGTGTTACTTCTGGAATTTCAGCCTATAAATTTCTTAGTGGGAGTCTAAGGGAGAGGTCAGGGAAGTGTGGGGGGGGGGAGGGAGAGAGACTGAGCCATCCGGGGAGAGGATCTGAGTGGTAATGCCAGAGGGTCCCAGGAGGGAGTGGGGAAGGAGAGCCTTGGGACTGGGGAATAGATATGGACACCAGAAGAGCTTAGTGAGAAATGAAGGGGAGTGTTCTTTCCTGGAGAGGAGATGGATCCACCCATTGTTATTTAAGGTTAATGTTTAGCAAAAGAACTTGAAAAGCACCGCTGAGAATAGAGAAACACGCACCGGTGGATTGGATTGATTAGGTGATTAATGTTTTATTTTAGATGCCGAGAGTACTGGAAGGATATGTGTGTATTACTTCACAAAGGGGTGAGGTTCAAGTACTGAGCTTTGGGTATGGGTTTACAAGCTCACTTTGTGGTAGTAGTTTTGGCGGCCCTTTGGCCTGGGCATTCGTGTGCTGTTGTGTACACCCTTTAGTGTACTGTTGTGTGCTTGAAACAGGCAGCTAAGTCAGCCCCTGACACGTTTGCCACCTGTCTGGGAAGGCAGGGTTAACACGTGCCCAATGCTAGTATACAGAATTGTCAAATGCATCTAAGACAGGCTATGTTTTTCATGTGAAGTTCCTGAGCTGAGAGGAAGCTGCATCAACTGGAGGCTCTTGGTGAGGAGTTGAGGTGGGACCCCAGAACTCTAGGACGTATTAAGGGATGAGGAACTAGGAGGGTATTCAAGGCAATGGGAATTGAACAAGCAAAGGTCTGATATCAGGGGAGATTCTGCCCAGAACGACGGGGAACTGAGATCCAGAGGGACTAGGGATGGGTGCCCTGGAGGAGAGGCCTCCTCTGGAGGTACTGCTCCAGGCAGAGGGACAGCTTAGCAGCGCCAGATGTGTGAATCCCAGTCGTGAGAGTTTTACCCCCCTGACCTGGTCACCTTCCAAATGCCTCACTGCCTAATACATATCATTTTGGAGGAAGAGTTTCAACATGTGACTTTGGGGGGGGTCAGGGCCAGTCCTAGAGGGCCCCCACTTGCCTTTAGAAAGGACTGCAACAGCTGATGTGGGGAAAGCATGAAGGAAGTGCCAAAAATCTTACCAGATCGAGTTTATTAAGTGCTCACTCTGATTCTGAGTGAGGCTTTGGCCAAACACTTTACCTGTATCCTCGTGTCCAGCCTTCAAAAAACCCCTGTGAAAGCACACAAAGGAGCGCTTGGAAGAGTGGGTGGGTTTGCAGTTTCCCAGTAAGTGGGAGATCGGCCATCAGAACTGGCCTGTCCCAAATCCCTTGTGGGCACTATGTTTAGGAAGGATCTTGGCCAACCAGGGAGTGCCCCCTCCCCGCCATGGCATGTTCTTCAGACTTTTGAAAGAAACAGCAGGTGTATTCATCCCAGGCCTTTCTAGCTCCAGGAGATGTTGCTGGTACCCAGGTGATAAGCTGGGCCAGAGAGGGCAGGGGAAACCATGGACGGAGATGGGGCCTGTCTGAGGGCTGGCATGTAGTGTGAGGACACCCGGGACGGAGGACTCAACTCAGCCAGTGTAACCACTCCTGGCACCTCCTCCCCGGGAGCTGGGGTTCCCAGTGTTCAACAGGGCGACCTTTTTTCAAAGGCCTTGTGGCCTCCTGAGACTGGGAGAAGGGTTGTGAGAGGCAGTGTTGGGGCTCAGCTCTGTGTCCCACCCCTTCCAGGGACCTCAGTTTTGCCTACATTGCCAATTGAGAGCTCTCTGTCAAGGCGAAGGAATCAAGTGGGATCTTCCCCCAACTGAGGCACCCCCTTGGGTGTTACTGCCACCTCCTCTGCTTGTCGTGATTCTGGCCTGCCTGGCACTAGGGGGCTTTGGAGTGTCAGCCACCTTCCTGGGAGGCCAGACCAGCCTGGTAGCAGCTCAGAGCCTATTCTATGACTTCCCTCCTGCTCCCTCCCCCCTCAGGTCCCCAGCCTCTGCTGTGGCCCATAGGTGGGGGAACTGTGGAGGAGTGGGGTACAGCCCATCTGCTGCTTTGGAAATGAAAAGGTGGCGCTCTCCCAAGTGAAGCGCAATGATGCTGCAGGAACGGGCAGAGACAGGCACTTTGGATTTCTCCTTCCTGTTCTAATCTGATGATTTGACACTGCCCTGCTTGTACCCCTTTGGGATGGAATGGAGTCTAGGAGGTGATTGTGTTCTGGGCTTTTCCTCATCCTTTATTTCTTCCTCTCTTCCCCCTCCTCCAAATCCAAAATAAAAACTACTTTCCACGTGGATGCCAGTACTTACAGAAGTTTCCTGATCTAGAAAGTGACTGTCATGATATCCCCACAGAGCAGATGAGCACAGGGCCTGACTGGGTCAGTGCTGCTTTACGCCTTCCCTTGTTAGTTGCACGCACTGTTGTAGGAAATTGAGCTAGAGGTGCTAGAGAAATAGAGATGCCCGGGTGTTCTGTGTGCAAACAGCACGTTCCTAAAGAGCAAATGGTGACAAAGCAGTTCCTGTTTGAGTCACTCGAAGGCACCAGCAGCAACCCCCAAACCCCCACGCTACCTCGGAGTCCTGGGGCTTTCATGAGGGAAGAACTGCTGCTACTATCTGCCAGGGTGGAGGGCCCTAAGCTTGGTCAGGTGTGAGACCCACAGCTCTAGCTTTGCTTCAGGACCATCATTCCCTGCAGAGCCCTAAGCCCTTGGCGTGGCCTCCAGTGGGAGCAGAATGCCTCGGTGCGCTGCCAGCTGCCAAGCCCCACAGTTGAAAACTTGACCTCTCTTGCCTGCCATCAGAGTGGATTTTTTTCCTGAGGGAACGCTAGAGGGCGATGGCCCTTTCAGCCTAAATTGGTTAGGGGTGATGTTTCCCTTTGGAAACTGGAGAGGCAACACTTAGCTCATCTGGGGGTGGAGCTTGGAAATAGGGGAGCATTTCTAGAATCTGCTCTCCCTGAGCCAGCTGAGAGTGATAGCGAGACTCAGGCCAAGCACTTGCTGTGTGCAGGCCGCTCCCTGCTGCGTGCTCCTGCTCCTCGAGCAGCCAGCCGGTAGAGGTACCCCAGTAACGCTGTGAGCCACACGTGAGGCCAAGCCTGCCTGACTCCGTCCCCACCCGCTTCCACCTCTGCAACTCAAGAATCCCTGTTCCAAGTGACTGGTATCCTTTGGAGCCTATTTCTCCTCCTGCAGATAGTAGCCACCTTTGAGCACCTGCTGTGAGCCACACGTTACCTCTGTCCCCATGAGGCTTCTCCTCGGTGGGCAGCGTCATCTCGATTTTAGTTGCATCTTATCCTCACAAAACTGCTCCCAGCCAGGCTTCATGGTCTCCATTTTACAGATAAGAAGCTGAGGCGCAGTGATACATAGCCCGTAGCAGGCTGGGACCTTGTCCTTCCTCGTTTTAAATAGGATGGAAGCTTCTTGTCTCCCTAGAGAGTGAGAGGCCAGAGCAGGAGTAGATGGCCCAGCCTTCAGCTTCCTGGCAGTGAGAGCCTGCACAAGCCCCTAAGCCTCTCAGGGAGCCCCAGCTTCCTTCTCTGTGAGGCAGGGATGATGGCCAAGGATTGCATAAGGAGCTCCATGCTCCTTTTGCAGGGTGCTAGCAGCCCGTTACCATGAGGATGAAGATGATCACATGTGGAGCGCTGCAGCAGACGGGAAGGGGGCAGGCTGCTGGGTCCCTTCGCCCCAGCGCCCAGTGTACTAACTGAAGATAGCGCAGGGGCCTTAAGTCTGAGGAGAGGACCAGGGCTTGTGGCTGTGGCCTGGCAGAGGGACAGGAGATTATAAGAACCAAAAACATCCCTCCACTCAGTCTCTTGAGGTGCTTTGGAACTACAGGTGGGTGGGTGGGAGTTGCTGGGAGCCAGGAAATGCCCAGGGGATGGAGGAAGGAACAAGGGAAGCTGAGACTGCCCTGCAGAAGCCCCTGGCTCTGGTGCTGCATCCTGGCACTGCTCACTTTTCTCCATATGGTTGTAGCTGCGGTTTGGTGACTGTGCTGGGAGACCTGAGACTTTCCTCCACCAGAGTGGGGAGAGCAAAGCTGAGTGGGTAATTATAGAAGCCTTGTACCAGGCCAGCCGAAACCAGTTCCCTCTATTCCAGGCTCTGAAGCACCCGCCCGCCCGCCTGTGGGATGGAAGAGCTAAACAGAGGCAGCTTGGGGGAGGTCAATGGGGGAGGGAGAGTCAGCTGTCACTGGCTCTTCAGAAGAGCGGGGACCAACTAGCTTTGCTGGATGCTGTGCAGGAGACAGAGAGGAGGCCTGGTTTCTCCCCCTCAGAGAGCCCACCCTTACAGCTTCAGCCAACCTGACCCAGGTGAGAACTTTCAGAGTGAACTTAGCAGGTTGTCAGTGTGGGAGACAGCTGGTAGAGCAGTTGGGGCAAGGGGCTTTTTTGGGTTTCTCTGCCAAAATCCCTGCTGTTAACATCACAATAGGGCCTGAATCCTCCTCTCGGTCTTGGGCACTGGCTGCCTCCACTCTCTTGCCTCCCTTGTTGATGCCAGTCCCTGTGCTATAGCCACCCTGGCCCACTGCTGGTCCTTGAACGGGCCAAACTTATTGCTGTGGCAGGACCTTTGCAGATGCTGTGACAGCTGCCTGGGTGCCTTCTCTCCCTTCATGGATGGATCCTCCATCATCTGGGGGGATCGCGCTTCCTCAAGAACAGCTTTCCTGACCCTCCTAAGAGCTCCTCTTCCTCTGGCCCCTCCAATGCTTCATCTCCCTGAAATTGACTTGCTGGTAGCCTGTTTACTGAGCACTAGGTCCTTCTTTGTTTACGACTTTATCTCCAGTGCTGGGCACATAATAAAGGCCCAGAAGTCTGAGTGAATAAGTGGCCTACTTCCAGATCTGCCAGTGACCGTAGGCAAGTCACGTTCCCCCTTTGAGACTTCCATTTCCCTTTCTAATTGAAGAGGGTGGAACTCCAGGGAGTCCCCTGTCAGTGCCAGCAAGAAAATGGGAGTGTTGAAGGGAAGGAGGAGGCAGACCCAGTTGCTTGAACAGCTGTTAATTCCTCTCTGGCTTTTCTACCCGACAGTTAATTGCTCACCCAGCTCCAAGTTGGCTCTGCTCAGTCTGGGATCAGTCCTGGCAGTTGACAGACACTTGTGTTCTAGTCTGCTCTTTCCCACTGAGCTGAAACAGATTAGCGAGACAAGCTCTATTGTCCATCCCCTGACTCTGGGCCTCTCTGTGGGCCGAACTGGCCTAGGCCATTTCTGCTCACCAGAGAGCTGATGTTATTTTCAGAGAATGAGGCCGGATATAGGATTCAGCCACACCCACAAAGAAGAGAGGCAGTGCCAGGGCATAGATAGACTTGTGAATGGTCTATGGGTGCACCCACCCCATTCAAGACAACATTCCAGAGGGTTCCCCAGGGCTGTCTTCTGAAACTGCTTCAGCCAAAAGCTTGTGAATGTTCCTCTCCAAAATCAAGAGTGGGTTCTCGAGGTCCCCAAACAGGGGCCCTAAACCTAAGGTGTGCTGGGCCAGCTGGTAAGAACCCAGCAGGCTGTGTGGGGAGGAGCGCGTCCTCAAACCTCTTCCTGGGGAGCAGTAGATTCCCTTCTGGGAGATTTTTCACCTGAAAAAGAACCTCACTCAGCAGATTTGGGTTCAGGAGACACCATTCCAGTCCCAGCCAGCTCACCTGGGGGTATTTGCCAGCTGGCCTTGTGTGACCTGGGACAGTGAGGGCAGGTCAGCTTTTTTCTTCCCAAATGTACCTCATCTTCGGCATCACCTGGGACCATTCAAAAACCTGGGTGGGGGAAGGAGCGGTGCAGACATTATTTTCCAGGAGCGCTCTGGTTTGACGGCTCTGGTTTGATGACTGTAAGGAGCTTTGTGAGCCAAAGAAAGGGGAAGGTGCCCCACAGAAAGGCACAGCTGCCCCTCCAGGCTGCTTGACACTTGGGGGTGGTGACAGTGCTTCATGTGGTTTTTAAGTGGAAAACACTTCCCCCCTCATTCATCTGTGGATGCCAGGGAAAAGAATCCGATACCGTGTGTTGGGCTCCTGAGTGTGGAGCCAGCTCTGGTGGTTGCTCTACTGGTCAGGCAGACAGTGGGGGCTTGAACAGTACCAGGTCATCAGACCTGTGGGCACCGCCTAGTTGGCTTAATGGTGACTCAGACGAGGTACTCAGGAAAGGTGCCCTGATTCAGGAAGAGTCTTGGGTGCACCACTCAAAGATTGAGAAAGGGGCCCCGCCCAAAAGTACCCCTCTCTTACTGCTGCAGGCCCTTAACTGTTGGCATAGCAAGTTTTTTGAGATCTGCTTTGCCGTTTTAAATGATGTTGTACTGGACATCCTTGAGCTTCTTCAGTGAGTTTTTGAGGATACATTGCTGGAAATATCAGTTAATTCCTGAACTGCTAGACCAAGTATAAATCATATATATTTTTTTCTTGGATAAAATAGGAAAATGGTTTTTTGTTTTTTTTTTTAAAGTGCATATGAACTAGACTATGGTGATGGCACATGGGTGATTTGGTGATGGGAAGCCCAAGGGGATTGCAAATGAAATGGAAAAAGGCACAAAATGATGTAAAAATAAACTTATATTACTTAAAAAAAAAAAGTGTATATGAGAGCTACGTAGAAAGCAGTCTTAGGGGCCCTCCCTGGTGGCTCAGTGGGTTGAAGCACAGCACTATGAAGCTCGCTGCAGCTGCTGCAGCACAAGTTTAATATCTGGCCTGACCCGCCCGCCGCCCCCCTCGGCAGTGTACCTCAGTTAATCTGCCTGTTCTGCTCCCCACTCTGTCTCTGGTGAACCTTCTCCCTCTGACCTGTACCTCAGTTCTTGCATGCATAAATAAATTTTTAAAAAAGAGAACTTTCAACACCATTTCTCCACCTTGGAGACAAATTCTATAGCCTCTGTTTATTCATAAGTGTATGTTTTTGATCTTCTTAGCCTCTTTTTTGTTTTAACCAAAATTGGGGACATTTTGTGTGCACATTTAAAAGAAGTAATTCTTTGACTGTGTCACAGTACAGGCATACCTTAAAGATACCTTGGGAGTAGGGCTAGCCTGTGGCCATAAAGTCACACAAATTGTTTAGTTTCCTGGCACATTAGAAAAAAAAGTATTTACATTGTACTGTAGTCTGTTAAGTGTGAAGTAGCATCATGCAGGAAAACACTATCTAAGTTGTTGGAAAATGGTGTCGACCAACTTGCTGGACTCTGGGTTGCCGCACACCTGCAACTTGTAAAGTGCCCGGAGGTGAAGTGAGGCATGCTTGGATACCAGCCTGGTCCTCATGTGGTGATGACATGCTTTTAGAGTGAAGAGGCCTTCCTTGAACAGCTGCGATGTGCCAGGCATGAGTGGGAGTAAGGGGTCCAGAGCGAGACACCTCCCCAAACTGCTTTGCTGTCTCTTGGGGAAAGGAATTTGCAAAGAGCCTGGGAACCTGTGCTCACTGAGTAGCCCAAACAAGAAGTGGAAGAGGCTGTGCGGAGAGTGCCCACCATGTCTTCCCCAGGGAGGACTCAGGCAGCTCTTGTGTGGTAGTGGGGGGGGAGGGGGTTCCACTGAGCCTGTCACAAAGGCCTGGGCTGCAGCTGGCCTTGGGAAAGCTGACCTCACAGGGAAATCGTGGGTGCCGGGGCCAGGGACACGGCTGCAATGTCACAGCTGGGGTGATGCTTGTTTGCTTTTTGGACCAGGCTAGATCGTCTCAGCTTCTTCCCCCTTTCTCTTTTTCCCCAGAGGCTCATCCAAAGTAGAGGAAGCATGCGAAATCTATGCCAGAGCAGCGAATATGTTCAAAATGGCCAAAAACTGGAGTGGTACGTGATCTTTCAAGGGTCCTCTGTGGCTCGCTCTTTTCTCTCCCCTCGACTTCCAGGCCGAAGGCCGGCCAAGAGGCCAGCCTAGTAGGCCTCTCTCTTTATGCTGTCTCTGGCATCAGAAACCTCTTGGCCTATTGCTCGTCATTCTGAACCCACAGGCTGATTGTAAACTTGGACCAACAGGGCCTTTGAGAAGGGTAGAGGGGTGAGGATAAATAGATTAGTGAATCCAGGTGAGTGGGTGGATGAATTCCTTGAGGGGGTTTCTTCTTCAAATCAGGGTGTCATGTTTCCCCAGACTGTTTCCTCCTGCTACCCTTTGAGTTCTGGGTTGGGGCAGAGGGTCATTTGATCGTCCCCAAAATAGCAGAGTTCACAGGTATACAATTCAGTGCTACTCAGCTAAACCCAGACCTTGTGCTGTTAACCAGTCAGAAACGGAGGTTTGTCCCAACCCCTGGCCCGAGAAAGGTAGAACCAGTACATCACAGACTTGAGAAACCAGAACTCTGACTCAGGATCCCCAGTGCCTACCCTGCTGTGCTAGTGGCTTCATGCTGTCCTCAAAGCCAGGGTGACTTGGGTTTGTGTCACAGCTCAGGCTGGCCGGGTGACTCTGGGGAAGTCACATGGACTCTTCTAATGTGTTTCCGCCTCAACACAACAGGAGTAAGACTGCTGAACCCTGGGAGCCCTGGAGGTCAGCCCACTTGGCCGAGGGCAGTCCTCAACGGCTGTGAGCACCATTCCTGTGTCTGTCGGCAAGGTTGCCTCCTGCTTTGTGGTGGGAGGAGAAGCTCTTAGTGGCCTGGGTCACCAGATCAGCTAACTGGAGGAGTGCCTCCCTGGTGCCCAGCCCCACCTTCTGGCACTCTGGCTGGCAGAGTACGTGTGCAGAGGCCCATGCAACTCCTGCGGTGCCCCACCTGGCCACTCACATGCCGCCTGAGACTCCAACCCATGCTTGGTGGCCTCTCCCACTTGCCCATAAGTGCTGCGGTCCAGCTCTGGCAAGGCTGGAGCTGGGCAGGCGAGGACCAGCAGGGAGGGGCACAGAGGCGAGAGATCTGTTTAGGAACCACCTGAGGGCTTGGAAGAGAGGATGACCCCACAGGGCTGATTTCTCAGCAGGGCTTGTAAACACCAGCAGGAAGGATTAAGGAAATAAGGCAGGACATGGCTCAGACCTGGGCGGGACTTTCTGACCAGGAAGGAGATGAGAGGCGGGATGGGACAGGAGAGGCACCTTTCTCAGGGAATATGTGAGCTTTCACAGCATAGATTGTGCTGCAAGCCAAATGCTGTGTGTATTTTTATACTCCCACCCTGAAAAAGTGCTCTTGAGAGAAAAATAATCTCAGTCATGTAAATGCTGCTTTTTCTACAAGATTTGTGTGTCCCCCACCTCCACACACCTATTCACATCAAAGTCCTAGGCACTTTTTCCGCAGTGATGCTACCTGATAATGTATTTTTAACTCAAGGAAAACTTAAGAGAAATTTTAATTCAAGTGTGGAAGCCTTAAAAATAATAAAGAAATGCTCCGTCAGGGAAACCCAGGTGACTCTGTGCCCTCCCGCCTTACAGGCATGAGTGCAGCCTCTTCTGAGTTGGAGGGGCTCTCAGTGCTTCCCGAGAGGAGCAGAGACAACATGTGTGACCAGAGTAGCTGGCACTCGGGGAAGGTGAAAGTGCTCAGCTGGGTCCAGGACAGACTGGACATCAGGCGTGGTCTCCGCTGCCCTCAGCCCACAGGCACTTGACACCACCCCCCGGGAATTCCTGATGTCCCCAGCCTGCATCCCTTTCTGAAAGTGAAACTTCTGGAGGAGCAGATCCTTTGTCCTGCCCTCCTCTTTCCCCAGCCCCCAGCACCCCCTGCCTTGTGGTTAGCATGGCTCCTTCACTGGCATGCAGACAGAGAAGTCAGGAGAATTAGACAGGAAAAGCTACTGGGGACCAAGGGGAGAAACACTGTGTTGTGTCGTTGGCTCTTGAATGACCCGCTTCCTCCATGAGTCATCCTTGCCCACACTCTGCAGTTCCACATCCCACCCTGGCCGGGACGTGTTCCTCAGCTATGTGCACATGCTTGTGGTTCTCGGCCTTGTCTGTCTTCTTCTTCAGTCTTTAGCTGTGGGGGCCCTGGAGATGTTGGCAAAGACTTTAATCAGGGCCACGGAGTTAGCTGAGCTCACCCCGGCCCATTTTCTGAACAGCTGGGGCTCAGGAGAATCCCCTGAGGTGGCCTCCTCCTTGATCAGAGACCCCCGTGTGGATCACCAGGAGCCTCAGTGCAGGGCTCAGGCAGCCGGAAGCCCAGGCTTCCGCCTGGGACTACCCAGCCTGCCTTTTCCTCTCTGGGCTCTTTCCACACGCTTGAGAGCTCACCCTCCTCCAGGGTCATCTGTGGCTGTAAAACATGAAGCCTGGCTCAGGCCAAGATCCCTCTTCCTTTTTTCCAGCTGCCGGAAATGCTTTCTGCCAGGCAGCCCAGCTGCACCTGCAGCTCCAGAGCAAGCACGACGCAGCCATCTGCTTTGTGGATGCCGGCAACGCCTTCAAGAAAGCCGACCCTCAAGGTGAGGGCCTCTGGGCCACGGGGCTGGCTGCCCGACCCACTGAGCATTGTGTGGGGCTGTCCTCAGTGTCCGAGGGCTGTTTCTCTGGTGGCTGACACGGGACAGGCTGGCGGGTGGGGCTGGTGATCTCACCAGCATTGGCTCCCTTCCGCTGGCATTTGCATCCCGCCCAGAGCCTCCGCCTCCCCTTTCTTCTTCGTGTGCTGCTGATGGCTCCCCTCCCGAAACCCAGGAGCATTTGGGAGTAGGAGGTAGATTTCAGACCCACCGCGTGCCAAGCAGAGTGGAAAATCTGTTCTGTAGTTAGAATTAACATGCGGAAGGGGGTGCAAGGGGCTCTCAGAGCAGCCAGGTAGGAGTGCAAAAGGAGCGGAAATGAGCCTCACCTGGCCCCCAGCCCCCAAAATCCGAGAGAGCAGAGTCAGACAGGCAGTTTTCAGAGACATTTCCTTCCAGTGAGAGAGCAGTGGGGACAGACGCCCTCCAGTTGGGGAGGGACTCCATGAGAAAGCTCTCTCTGACCTGCCTGAGGTGGAAGCCCAGTGGCTCAGTGGGCTGTGAAGAGCTGGGCTTCTAGTTCACATTTTCTTTCTTTCTTTTTTTATATTTAAGGAGGTTTATTCGAAAAGGGACAGAAAAGACGCTTGCATAGGCGCAAGCAGGCAAAAAGAGCTGCCCTAGTTCACGTTTTCATCTCGGTGCAAGACAAATAGCTCCTTTATATTTTAGCAAGCAGTTTCCTAAGAGTGGCCTTCTGCAGTCACCATTCTCTCACAGACGATGGGAGATAGCCGAAGAGTAATTCTTTTAAAAAGAAGTGCCTGATCTTGGAATAATGGTCTGTCCTTCCCGAGCAAGGCCAGCGGCCCAGGGACCTGGAGGCCTCTAGGTCCACCAGCCCCACTCATGTGCCGGCACTAGGGCTGCTGTCGTAGGCACTTCGGTCCTGCTGCCGGGGACCTCATGTCCACAAAGATTTGATCTCCTTGTAGACTGAGCCGCCACCTCACAGATATAGTCACGTGCCGGTTTGGCCAGGCTTCTGCTGCCGTAGGTGGCTGTGGCTCAGCACAGAGCAGAGCACCCCTGGCTGATGGGTCTGGGCCACAGCTGGCCATGTGGGAGACAGGATGACGGCCCAGGCTGACCCTGGACTAGACTTTCCCAGTGCGGATTACCCAGCGGAGTTGGCCTCCCTCATAGAGCCCTGACCCCCAACCTTCCCTCTGCTCTTGGGAGATCTGGTTGGCCTGGAGATGCTGCCCTTGCGTCTGTGACACACAGTGGCTGCTCCAGAGGGACTTGGAGGACCTGTGTCTGCGCTGGGAGTTGAGTACCAGGCTGCCTGACAAGGGCCTAGTGCCACTTGCTGTCAGCAGCCCACCTGGTATCATGATGTGGTCAGGCCATGAAGCTCTACAGGGTGCGTGTTGGGTGCTACGGTTGGGGTCTTGCCCAGTGCCTGGCCTTCGGCAGTACTGAGGCTGGGGAAGTCCAGGAGTTAGATGCGCTGACGTGTCTTCAAGGGATCAGTATCCATTGGCTGCCCTGGGGGCAGAGGTGGGGACTCTGTGATAGGCGTGAGCTTTCAGGGGATCAGAGAGCCTCATTTGGGTTGAGTTGGAAGAGGTATTCAGTCTCCCAGCTTTGTCAGTTTGGGGTCCAGGAAGAGGGACATTTGCACTGTGGAGCTGACAACAGCTTTGTGTTGGGATCAGCCTAGCTTCACCGAGGCCCTTAGCGGTCTGCAGTCTCACGTGCTTGATCCTTGGGGCCTTCCTTTCCTGTGGGTGAAGCACAGGCTGGGTGAGACAAAGCACAGCTGTGCCCAGTGTGGCCCAGGCCTGTGGGGACTGTCCAAAAAGGGAATGCCCTTGGCTCCCATCAGAGGGAGTCCTGGCCCCAGGTTCCCTCTTGGCCTTGTGTCTTGTGAAGAAACAACTTGAAGTGACTTGGAGCCAGGCCTAGTTTCCCCTAGCAGGTGGCCAGCTCTCTGGCACCTTACTGGTAGCATCACCTTGCACAAAGGCCTCTGTCTGATATCAGCACTGCCGACTGGATTCCTGGGGGGCCTTCCCCTCTAGAGTCAGCTGCTGCTGACTTGCCTGGAGGCCTGCCAGAGCCAGCAGGGCAGAATGAAAGGATTTGGCTCTCCTCAAGGGGTCAGCCTTGACTGAAGGAGGTGGAGCCTGTGGCCGCCAGTGTTCCCTGGGGTTTCCCAGTTGCTGCAGGCTGCTCTGTGGACTCAGGCCAAGGAGGTCTCTTACCTGCTTGCCTGATGGCTAGACCCAGGGTACCTGCAAAGGGGTATGGGTACCAGGCCCCCCTTTGGGCCCCCGCCTCATGCAGCCATTCCTACGGGCCCACTGTATATCACCTTGTGACCTCTTCTCTCATCCATTGCACTACCTGTGGGATTCTGTAGTTTTCCCCCATGTTACTGAGGGCCCCATGTTCCTGGGAAGTTGTGGGAGCCCCTGCAGTAGGATGGAAGGCAGCTGAAGCCCAGAAGGCAAGTAGAGGCCCCGGGACTCCCTGTTTCCCTAGGCTGGTGCTTTCCCCTCGCTGGGCCTCCCCCTCAGCCTGGGCTGGATCCTTCCCAGAGCAGCTTCCTGACGCCAGCGCTCTGTGGGTGGATAGAGGAGGTGGCGGGTACACTGAGTTTTGCTCTGTTTGACCCGAGGTGACCAGGGGTGTGCCTGCTGCTGATCCCTGGGTTCTAGTGACTGGAGGAGATAAGCTTGATGGTAACCAGTATGTCAGCAGCTCGTTTGCTAGCTGCTTGCTGAGGTGGAAGCTGGCGGTCTGCCACTCTGAGGGACAGCTGTCAGGAACTGAGGAGCAGGTGTGAAGGGAGCGTAACACTGTGAGCCATGTTGTTGCTGCCTGGGGCATACCTCCCTCCCCTATGCCCCTTCCTCGGCCTTGCTAATAGCCCTCCAACCAGGGCTTAGAGCCTGTCCTGTCAGGGATCTTTCAGCCTCCTTCCCCGCAGAGCTGCTAATGTCCTAGGATCAGTCTTTGCCCCCTCTGCCTGCAGCTGCCAGGCTACCAGGAGAGGGAGCTGCAAAGTCACCTGGGTGGAGCAGGGTGGGTGTGGGAGCTCACTCTTCATCCCTATCATCCTGTGGCAGCCCTGGGTCCAGCTCATCAGTCACTTCCAGAAATGCTGTTACAAAACGTGTGCATGTGTGTGTGTGTGTGTGTGTGTGTTAAAGTGGCATTGTTTTCTGGCTGTTCTTTGGCCTCCTTTTTGCCTACCTTTCCTCTTCCTGCTGCCTAAGGGCTTCCAACAGCAACTTTAGACCCTTAACAGACTGGTGTACAGTCTCAAATTTTCAGGAGATTCCCAGAGGCCTTTCAGAATTGTCCAAAACCTACAGATTCCCCTCTCCCATGGTAGCACTCACAGATACCCACTTTTGCATCAAATCTAGGGTGCTGGTGGACTCCCAGACTAAAACTAAGCACCTCTGTTCACATATTTCCTGGGAAGCCCCTGGAGCGCAGGCTGACTGGGGACCCCGGTGTTGGGCCAAGAGCCTTGCCATGCCCCTGGACTGTGGGGTGAACCCTTAGCTTCATCCCAGCTCCAGCTCCACAGCCTTCAGTCTGTCCAGGCTCTGTGCAGGCCCCCTCACCTCCCCCAACAACCTCTCTCCTGGAGGTATTAGAACAGTGTTAAAAAAAATTCCGCCCAGAGAGCTCATCTCTATCTGCTAGAAAATGCCTCCCACTCATGCTTCTCTCTCCTCCAAATAACTTGTCAAAAAAAAAAAAAAATGCCATTCCCAAATTTAAAATTTTGCTAGAGATAGTACAACAAAGGTAGCCCAGTTCTTCTCAGGTGCCATCTGGGGTGGGAAGGAGGGTATATGACCCATGGTTTGAGGGCCAAGGTTACAGTGCCGGGGGGGAGGGCATGGGCTCTGCCAGTGCCGAGGCCTGGGCAGGAGAGAATATGTTGGTGCCAGCTCAAGAGGCCATAGTGTCAGGGCATCCGCCCCCTGCCCTGGATGGGCTCAGAAGTGCAGGCAGCAACGGCCGGCTTGGTCTCACAGTGGAAGGGGTGGCGGTGGTGTCGCCTGCCAGCAGCTCTGTCCTTAGAGGGCAGGCCTGGAAGTCTGTCCCAGACATCCTTGGGTGATGCCGTCGGCCTGCCCTGTCGCTGGCCGCACTCTGGGATGGCTGGGTGGAGGCTGAGGGTGAGGGCCCGCAGTGGCAGGGCTGCCCCGCAAACCCAGCGAGCCATAGTCTGGCCAGGTCTCCTGGAACTCAGGCTTCCTGCACCTTCCAAGCCCAGCACCAGAGAGGGTAGCCTGGCAACTCCCAGTGCCTATTGATCTCCCTGCAGGCAGCCCCGACAGCCTCTTCCTCTCCTGGGCTTCCGCAGAAATGACTTCACTCTCTCGTTTCTCCTCCCACCCCCCTTTTCTCTCCCCAGAGGCCATTAACTGTTTGATGAGAGCAATCGAGATCTACACAGACATGGTGAGGCTCCCTGCTTACCTGGCTCTCAGCCGAGGCCCCTGTTGTCCCAGCCTCTCCTTGCCTTCCTCCAGTGCCAAGGGCAGGTGGGAAGAGGGCAGGAGGGTGCTGGGAAATTTGGGTCCTCACCCAGCACCCCATCTGCCTGACTCCAGGTGGCAGCTTCTAGCACAGCACAGCTCTGAGGCTCCCCCAGCTTCCTACTTCTGGCCTTCCGGGGCCATCACTGTTCTTATCTGTGAAGCTTCAGTCACTGTCTGACCCTGCCCACCATTGTCTCATTTGACTAACAGCCTACATCAGGGAGCTGGGACTGTGGACCCAACCCAGCTGGGCAGGGGACGCTGCAGTGCTCTGTACAGTAGTGACAGCAGCTCCTTCTGTTGGCCAGACCCCGCCAGCGGAGTGCTTCCATCCTCTTCCGCAGCACCCTGGGACATGGGCCTCTCGCTGCCCTCTCTGACTCTAAGGAAGGGGGTTTGGACCTCCGACCCCTGCCCAGACAGGTGGCTCTATGCAGGAGTCGATGAGGCCCAGACTGGGTCTGGCTGAGCCCAGGGGGCAGGTGCCGGACTGTGGGCCAGGCCCTTGGGCCCCCCACTGGGTGGAGGCAGGTTGGGGCTACCCCGGCCCCTGGGAGCTAGAGATTTCTTTGGGAGAAGTTGTGGGTGTCCACAGGTGAAGTGTGGCCACAGGGGCAGTGTGGAGAGTGGGGTGTGGCCTGTGAAAAGGGGCCCCAGGGCCACACTGGGGAAGGGGGAGCGGGAGGAGGCTGTTTCTGGGCAGTGGGGGTGCTCAGGCTCTTGGCCTGGTTTCTCCAGAGCACCTGCCAGGTAGTGGTGGGCTGGTCCGTCCTTCTCTGGACCATCTGTCCAGTGCTTCCTGAAGGCCAAGGCTTCTGCCAAGCACCTCCATATACATTGGCTCTGGTGACTCCCAGCAGCCTGAGCCCCAGGAGCAGGATGAAAGTGGAGACCTGGGGTGGGGGAGGCTGGCCTAGGGGCAGCCCTCAGACCCAGCCCCCCCTCTAGAACCCCCTTGCTGAAGTCCTGCAGCCTTCTGTCCCCCTCTCTGCTGCCCTCATCTGTAGATCTCACCTCCCTGGTACAACCAGGGAGCTGGGAGGTCACCAGCTTTGGGGGTGGGATAGGGCAGGGCACTGAGGTGTCCCTGGTCACAGGCAGCCCCTCCCCATGTCCCACCAGGGCCGATTCACCATCGCGGCCAAACACCACATCTCCATCGCCGAGATCTATGAGACGGAGCTGGTGGACATCGAGAAGGTGGGTGGCGGGGCGGGGGATGCCTGCCTGGCTCCCGACAGGAGGGGCGGCAGGGCCGGGACCGGCTCCTCTGTCCTGTCCCCTTGGGCCTCTGAGCCCTGGCCCAGGGGCTTTTTTGGTGCTCACCTCACCCGCTCCTCCCCGGTGTCTCCCAGGCCATCGCCCACTATGAGCAGTCTGCAGACTACTACAAAGGCGAGGAGTCCAAAAGGTACCCAGGCACCCTGCTCCCTTCTTGCCTCCCCGGCCACACAAGCCCCACCCACCTCCCCCTCTACCCCACACAGCTCAGCCAACAAGTGTTTGCTGAAGGTGGCTGGCTACGCGGCGCAGCTGGAGCAGTACCAGAAGGCCATTGACATCTATGAGCAGGTGAGGCAGCCGCCCACTCCCCTCCCCTCCGGCAGCTCTGCCCAGCCGGGCACAGTGCTCCTTCCTGTCTTTCACTCTCTCCGCCCTCTCCCCTCCCTCATCTCCTGCACCTGCAGCCTGTCTGCAGCCACCCTCTCCCACACTTCCAGAGAGACCTAGGTGGCCCCAGAGTTAGGAAGGGAGCAGGGAGAGCGGCTGAGACCTAGAGTAGCCATAGGCAATTGCAGAGCCCTTTGAAGGGGATAGGTCGTGGGGTCCGAAGCCACACTGGGAGGGAGGGAGGAGGATCACGAGGGTGTGCAGGCCCCCTCTGCTGTGTGCAGTGGGCTGGGAGGGCCCCGGCTTCCCCGTGGGCTCAGCCTGGCCAGGAGAGAGGCAGGCAGCTGGCCTTGGCAGAGAGTGGGGCGGGCCCTGCCTCTCATGTTCCCACAACATGCCACCCCTCTGCCCACTGACGAACCAGCCTGCTGTTGGGCCTGACAGCAGGGCCGCCTACGCCCCCTGTCGTGGGCACATCAGGGGGCCCACAGACACGTGGCCCTGTGGCACACCCCCGTCGTTCCCTGACCCTTGGTTTCTCACGCGCGGCTACCCCCTTGCCTACGGCTGGGCTCTGGTGTCTCTGGCCCCAGACTCAGTTCCCAGCTCACCCCCAAGTGTCTGGCAGTGACTGAGGCCCCTGGCCGCCAGTTCTGAGCTCATAGTACCATCTCCCTGTGCCCACAGGTGGGAACCAACGCCATGGACAGCCCCCTCCTCAAGTACAGCGCCAAGGACTACTTCTTTAAGGCAGCCCTCTGCCACTTTTGCATCGATATGCTCAATGCCAAGGTGAGCCCACTGAGAGCGTCCCACCGGCCTGTGGCTACCCTGGAGCACCGTCGTCACCTGCCGGCTGCCCTCCAGCCCCTTTGAGGGCCGGCACATGCTCTCACTGGGACCTTCCTGTCCTTGATGTCACCTGCCCTCCAGCCTTTGAGTTTCCAGCTCCTGGCTAGTCCACCTGCTCCAGGCTCTACTGGAAGGGGTGCTGTGTGAATCCTTACACCCTTGGGCAGCATTGCTGTCACCCTGTTCTGACGCTGAGGTCATGACACCGAGGCTGAGATGACGCCCTTGTTCAGGACTATGTGGCTTGAACCGCAGCCTCGGGATCCCAGATCTTTCTGACTCCTCACCCTCCCCACCTCCACTTTCAGAGCTGCTAGGCAAGAGAGGGAGGGGTTAAAAGGTGATGACACAGCCTGTGCTGGCTGGAGTTCCCTCACTGGTCCAGTCTGGCTGATGGCCACGGGACTCTGCTCACCGGGATTTCTGGGCTCTCCAGCTGCCACCCCAGCCTACAGCATGTCTGAACCATAGATCTGCTGTGTGCAGGCTTCCGGCAGGAGGGTAAGCACAGGGACTCTGGTGCCAGGCTGGTTCAGCCCACCCACCTGTGCCCTGAGCCGGCCACTGTCCTTTCTGGGTCCGTGTCCCATTTTCAGAAGGGGTCATGGTCATTTGACCCTCCCAGGAGTCAGAGTCAGGTGTGACTGCATGTAGGATGTCCCTCTGCAGGAGCCTTGGTCATTTGTCCCCCACCGTGGGATACCAGGCAAGAGGGATTCCCCCTACATCCCCCGGCACCCTCTCCCTCCCTGTAGCTATCTCTGCAGCCAGACCGGTGCCGAGCTCTGCTCCCTGAGGTGCAGACAGGCACCTCTGGTGAAGCACAGAGCTGACTCAGGGCCCAGTCCCCTCGGCTGCCAGGCCAGCAGCTCCCAGGTTGCCTAAGAGCTTCTCCCCTTCTTCCACCCTCTGCATGTTCAGCTGGCTGTGCAGAAGTATGAGGAACTGTTCCCTGCCTTCTCAGATTCCCGGGAGTGCAAGCTGATGAAAGTGAGTGTGCTCCGACCCTTTCCCTCCCTGAGGGTGGTGAGGTGGGAGGAGTGGCGGTCTGGAGACTTGGGCTCAAATTAGGTTGATCTGCAAGGTAGAAGTTCTCAGGGGTCTTGTTTTGTCTTCCCTCTTCTACATGGGTCTCAGCTTTCTATATGAGATCTAAGACCTCACACGGATCTGGCCCTGATGGGCTGCGGAGCTGGAGACTGGTCTGTCTCACACATGCTCACGCGCACAGTGCTGACACTGAGCTTGACTGGGTCAAGCTCAGTCTGGGTCCCGTCCTGCCCCTCCACTCTAACCCCCCTAGACACTTTGTGCCTGGATCTCATCCAGATCCTCAGGCAGCCTGAGCCCTGACCCCTCCTGCCACTATTTTGCAGAAATTGTTAGAAGCCCACGAGGAACAGAACGTGGACAGCTTTACTGAGGCGGTGAGTGGCTGGCTCTCTTGGATACACTTCCTGTGAATCTCACCTTTCATCTCGGGCCCCAGCCCTAACTGAGTATCTTCCTTCACTCACCCCACAACCCTCACAAGAGGAGGCGCAGGGAGCATTCTCCCCATTTTAGAGATGACAGCACTGAGACTGGGTGAGGCAAGGAGGCTTGTCTTGGGCCCCTTGAGGGCAGAGCTGGGATTCAGACCCACAACCAGTGCTCCTGAGGCCAAGGTCTGACTCCCCTGGAAGCAGCAGTTTAGGGCTGCCCCTCCCCAGGCGCTTGGGGTCACCCGGAAGATGTAAGGGAGGGGGGAGGGAAATGTGTTGTGTCATCTCTGCTGCCCGCCCTCATCGCTGTAGAAAACGGAATCAAATGTCCTTAAATGATGGCAAGGCCCCACTCCCTCCTACCTGGGCCTGGGGTGTGTAAGGGAACAGTGGGCTTGCTCCTGTCGCCCTCTCCCTGGGGCACTTGGGACAGGCCTTTGCCTATCCAGGCAGCTCTTTCCCATCAAACAAGGAAGTGGACCTCTTGTCTTTAGGCTACAAAGTCCTTTTATTTCCTCCAAGGAAGCCTTATGTCCAGGCTAGTAGAGACAGAAGGGAGGCACCCTCCCGCCCCCTGCTTCTTTCTCAAGACAAGGGCTGGCTGAGACACCTTTAGAGGGTGCTAGGGGCCAGAAAACCTGGCTTCAGGGTGGGGACAGGTGAAGAACCAGGCCAGGTGGGGGATGCCATCCCACCTGTCCCCATTGCCACGACCGTGTCGGGCTGCAGGTGAAGGAATATGACTCCATCTCGCGGCTGGACCAGTGGCTCACCACCATGCTGCTGCGGGTCAAGAAGACCGTCCAAGGCGAAGAGGAGGACCTGCGCTAAGCCCCAGTCTCCATTTTCCTGCCCATCCGCCCCCCTGGCAGGCCCTCCAGCAAGGATCCCAGGCAGAGGCCTGGGAGAGGTGGGCCTGAGAGCTTGGCTGTGAGCCCCTCCCTCCCTCCCCACCCTAGGAGGCTCGGGAGCCACAGTGCGGCTCAGCGAGGCTTTGGGGACACCCCAGGCTGGGGCCTGCTGGCTAGTCACCTCTGTTCTCGCTATGTCCCTCACCCCCACCCGTTTATTTAAGCTCCCAGAGGCGCCCTTCTTCACCCAAAGACCAGAGTCCTGACAGACCTACCTGCTGTGGGTGCTGCTGGGTTTGGGGTCAGCATCAGCATCTGGCCCCTAGATCCTGACCAGCTGAGTCTTGAACTGGATTCTCTCTCTCACCCACTCGGTCTCCCAGCCCAGCTCTGAGCACATGTAGCCACTGAGATTTGCTCTCGCCCTTGGGGTGGCCTCCTTTCCCCCAGCCTCCCGCAGCCCTGACCTCTCAGGATAGACCCCAGGCCCTGTTGCACCAAGGGTTGTCCCGTACCTGCCCACATCACCTTCCTAGTGCTTTGAGGTTTGTCAGTCAGAAGCTGCAGCTGGCCCAAGAAAGAAAATTAAAAAACAAAAAAACACTTTTGCATGAGTCTTCCTCTTTGCTTCTGCTCCCCATTTCATTCTTAAGAGCTGGTGTCTGTCTTCCTGTCCCTCCTGATCCCTGTCCCCTTGAGCCCTGGGTACATTGTGTGTACCCAGTGGAGTGGAGACTTGGCTGGATCAAAGGGGAGGGAGTAATGGGTGGGAGTCCAGGATGCCAGGCTTGATTTGACTCTGGGCCCTTGGGCTGTGTGGCCAGGTTTCCGCAGCAACCCCAGGAATGCTGGAGAGGACAGGCCTTGGTGGTAAGCATAACTGGAAGAAGCCCACGGATCTCCCAGCCTCACACCATGCCCATTTTCCTGAAAGCTGGGCTGGAAGCCGAAGTGGCGTTTGTGGCATCTGCGCAGGATGGGGGGGGGGAAGAGGCGGGGGACAGGCAGAGCAATAGGACTCAGTGGGAATGGGGAGTGGGAGAGGAGAGGAAAGGCACCCATTCTCTAGCAAAGGCAAGCAAGAATCACCTACCACCCCACGGTCCACCCTTAAGTCTGTATGGCAGGTGACTGATGGGTGCTGGAGGTGAGGCTGAAGAACGCCTGGCACCTAGAAGTAGGCAGCCTCCCATGTGACCAGCTGCCAGGAAGTAGATGGCCAGTGAGCCTAGAGCCTGGGATTTGAGAAGTTCTGGTTCTTGAGGGAGAGAGTGACCGCATAGGACTCCCTGCCCTGCTCCTCTGTCCCCTCTGGCCTCCCAGTCAGTTGTGCCTAGAGGTCAGTTAAGACTCTGGAGACCTGAGATTTGAGTACCAAATACCTACATGGACACAGGTAGGAGGATAAGTAGTGCAAAAACCTTTCTCTGCTATGGTGACCTCAAAACAGTGATGTGCAAAGCTGACTGCTCTCAAATCACAAAAAGCACTCAAGCTGAGGCCGTGTCCTATTAAGTGGTGCTTTGATGGACGTTCTTCACTCTTGGATTCAGATGTACAGCTGGAATTGGAAAGCAGTGCACAGTGCAATTCTTTTCCATTCCAACCCTCAACTTCCTTCATTCTCTCAACAAACATGAAGTGAATATAGCTAGTGGTTTCCACATCTGGTAGAGGAAGCCTCAAGAAAACCTAGTTCAGAAGTGGTAAGTCAGACCCGACATCCTATTTTCTCAGGAGGAATCAGTGAGTGCCAAGCACCTCTTGTGTGCCATGCCCTGGTCTAGATCCTGAGGGTACAGTATTAAGCAGACCCTGCCCTGGAGTTCTTTCTTCCACTATCTTCAGAAATGAAGAGGTGATGCACCAACTCCTTCCCACCTGCCTCCAGGTGCAGTCTGCCTTTGAGAATTTCCCTTCTCTTAAACAGTGTCCCAGGTGTTTGGCAAAGGGTCTAGCACATATTTACTAAATGTGGCCTTTATGGTTCAGGTGCTGGGGATCTCAGTGACCAAGGGAGAGCCAGTCTCTGCCTTCTAGGGTTCTAGGTGCATGCATATAATTTGTTCTGCATAGAAAGGAGTGACACTCATGTTGGAAACAGTAGGTGTAGAGACCCAAGCCCCTCATTTTGGGGGACAACCCCCCCCCCCAGAAACATAACCCCTACATAACTTGAAGTCAGAAACACATGCCTTAAATCCTCTCTCCACCTGTCATCATGGTGTCAGTTCAGGGACTTGCTCTCCTGTCTCAAGTTCATCTTCCATAAGTTGGAATCATCTCTTTGCATGGTTGTTGCAAGGGTATATTGGCTAAATGTGTCAGGATGGCTGTGTGCATTGTGCTCAGTAAACGTGGAAATGAATTTGGGGTAACAACAGAGTAACCAAGAACTTGAGATAACCTAGTCAACACAACCCTGATTTTTACCAAAATGTAGGTGATAAAGGAGGCGGTTATTATTACTGTTATTATTTTTAGCCAGGACAAATAGCTAGATCTTTTTGTTTTGGTATAAGAAAAATGGCTTTCGGCCCTCCTTGGTGGCAAAACGGGTTAGCACTGTAAGCTAGCCACAGCCACTTAAGTGTGAGTTCGATCCTGGCCCCGGAGGTGATCCACAGGGCACGGAAGACCTCTCCTGCCACTCCCACTGCTCCTCTCAGCATTGTATTCGTTGATCTGCCTGTTCTGCTCCCCACTCTGTCTCCCCGCTCCTGCACCTCTGGCCTGTACCCCAGGTCTGTATGCACAAATATATATATATATGTATATATATTTTTAAGATATATATATATACATATATATAATATACACTTTTTTTTAAAGATTTATTTATTTCTGCATATAGAACTGGGGTATAGGCCAGAGGCTCAGGGGTGGCTAGAGGCTTCACCAGAGACAGAGTGGGGAGCAGAACAGGCAGATCAACGAAGTACACTGCTGAGGGGAGCAGCAGGCGGGCCAGGAGAGGTCTGCCGCGCCATGTGGTCACCTCCAGGGCAGGCGGGGATAGAACTCATGCGGAAATGGCTTTAGCTTCTTAGTGTTGTGCTTTAACCCGCTGCACCACCAGGGAGGGCCCTATAATATACACTTTTTAAAAAGAAAGGATTTCACTGTTTTTAAGGTGATACACTTAAACTATTAATCCGTTAAACATCAGAATACTATAGCTCTCCCACCCAACCCCCTGTTGTTTCTGATAAGTGATAGATGGAAAGCGCTTAGAACAGTTCCTGGGCTGCATTAAGGACATTAAGTTGTGTGCTTCTAGTTATTCTTCCACACGGCCCACGGCGAGGGACACCAACTCCCATCTTTTTGCCACAATTCTTCTAGCGCCCTAACCGGGACTCGGGAGGGGCGCGCAGGCGCATTGTGCAAAATCGCCTCGGGGGCCCGACTGGCCACCATATTGGTTAAGGGCATGGGAAGCAGCTTCCTGAAGTCATCAATCCGCGCGATGGGCAGGCACTCGGCTATCCAGGTCGCTTCAGTAGCTGTGGCAGGGTAGGCCTGGCTGTGACGGCGGTTAAAGGGGTGAATGGTTGAGGGGCTTGATGGGGGAGGGGGCCGTGGCCGCGGGGCCCTGCCCGTTGCGCGAGGACAGCTTCACACGCTTCTCGTCGCAGAGCAATGTGTACGGGCTGGCGGGCGGCGCGGACGGGCGCGGGGAGCTGCTGGCCGCCACCCTTAAAGGCAAGGTGCTGGGCTTCCGCTACCAAGACCTCCGACAGAAAATCCGACCCGTGGCCAAGGAACTGCAGTTCAACTACATTCCCGGTGCGTGTCGCCACGGCGCTGGGGGTGGGGGCTGGAATGTGTTGAGAAGGGTTCTGAGGCTCTGAGTCGCAGCACCAAGATAGGAGAGGGGGATCAGGGTGATAAAGGCTCATCATCAGGAGGCTTGGGGGGGGGCAGGGATTTTTGGATTCAAAATCCCCCCACCATGGTGGTGCTGAGCAGGACTCACTGGGTTGCAGAGGTTGTATGCTAACAGCAGAGGTCAGAGGTTACAGATTCCTAGAGGTCAAGGGTCATCATGTTTGGGGATAATGGATTCCGAGCTCCCCTGAATGAAAAATTTGAACTGTCCCCTCCCAGTGGATGCTGAGATTGTCTCCATCGACACCTTCAACAAGTCACCCCCAAAGCGGGGCCTGGTTGTGGGGATCACATTCATCAAGGTACCCAGAGCCCCCTCTACCTACCCATTTCCCTGTTTCCCACTCTCTTCTTGCACATGATGGCACCCAGATCCCTCTGGCAGCCCTTCCAGTCCCCTGAGGCCACTTTCCTTCCCCAGGATTCAGGGGACAAGGGCAGCCCGTTCCTCAACATTTACTGTGACTATGAGCCTGGTTCTGAGTACAACCTTGACTCCATTGCCCGTGAGTGTGCGGCCTGGAAGGGAGGAATAGTGGGGAGGGCAGGGGAGGGCCTCCGGTCGCCAGTGTCCACCCACCTGTGCTCTCCCTGCAGAGAGCTGCCTGAACCTGGAGCTCCGGTTCACCCCCTTCCAACTGTGCCATGCAGAGTAAGTAAGCATCGGTGTGATACAGTTGTGGAGTTTATATAAAGGCTAAAGGATGTGTGAGTGGAGGGGAATATACAAACTGGGGATCACAAATCTGCCCCATAGACAGTTTTTTGTTGGCTTTGTGTGTGCGCGTGCGTGTTTTAAACATTGTTCTGCTAAAGTGGCCATGAGCCCATTGACTGACCAGCTACCATTTTGTTTTCCCTGAGCCATGTGGGTCATTTGAGAGTTAAGTGAGTGCTGATGTTCCAGACTTCTGGACTTCTCACATTCCCAAACCTAGAAATGTTAATGTTGTAAACTCTGAAATGCCAAGATTTAGAGTCCTACGATTTGGTAATTCTGAGATCCTGTAATGAAGTCCTGACATTCTCATATCTCAAGAAGATAGAGTATAGACCACCTGGGATGCTAAGGTTCTAGGATCACTGTGTATGTGAATTCCATTCTAGTACTCTGAGTTCCATTCTCAGACATCAGTGTTCTGACACAGGGGTTGCCACACTTTCTCTCTGAAGCCCCAGAGGGTGAATATTAGGCTTGAAAGTCAAGATGGTCTCTGTCACAATCACTCAAGTCTTCCATTGTAACAAGAAGATAGCCATTCACACCATGTAACAAGTGGATGTGTCTGCATTTTGACAAAAATTTTATTGATAAAACCAGGCAGCAGGTTGGATTTGACTTGGGGGCAATAGTTTTGCCAGACTCCGATCTAGCAGGGGAATGTTCTAGAAACTGATATCCTGAATTGGATCTTCTACCATGCCAATAAGTCTTGATATCCATGGTGACAAATTCTGAAAATTTCAAATTTCTAATTTGTCCAGCAAGGGAGAAGACAGCTTCCAGAATACTAGAGTTCTAAATTAGAGAGGGTTTGGTGTTCTGAGGCTCTGCAGTGGATTCTAGAGCTTGTGTCTGGACCTAGACTTCATCCAGACTGGAGAATCTAACAGATGAGATCTCTGGAATTGGAAGGCTCTAGCATGCCAAATTTCTGCAGTTCTGAGATGGGGAAATCCTACAGTGTGTGAGTCTGAGAAGCTAGAAGACTTGTTTCTGTAGAACTGCAGTCTGCAGTTCTAGTTCTGGATCCAAGAACTTTAGCATGCTGTAGGCAAGGGTTTTTGCAGAAGGGTCTTAAAACACATGGACTCTCTCCCACACTCGGGTTCTGCCACACTGGGGTTCTAGATTTCTCTGCTTGTAGGGTCCAGGTCGAGGATCAACTGGAGACCGTGTTTCTCCTGAGTGGGAATGACCCAGCCATTCATCTCTACAAGGAGGTGAGGCAGGGAGAGGCTGGGTGGGCAGAGCCGGGCTGGGGTCACCACAGGCTGGATGCTGATTCCAAGTGGGGTTGGGGGGTGGGTCTTGATTCTGCTAGAATGAGGGACTGCATCAGTTTGAGGAACAGCCCGTGGAAAACCTCTTCCCAGAGCTCACGAACCTGACGAGTAGGTAAGAAAGCCCCTAAAAGTGGCCAGCAGGGATCCAGTCTGGTGACCTCCAAGAGATCAAGTGGTGGGAATAACCTCCAGTACTGCAGGGAGTAGAGACAACCTTGAGAGAGTTGAGGACTCAAGAGAAATGGGTCCACAATGGTGATCCCAGAGAAAACAGGAAGTGGCCACAGGCAGATCTGGTGGCAGAAATTGAGAAATCACTGGGCAGGTGGCAGAGGTGGTGGGGGTGTGGTCCCAGGGATACAGGGAAGGGGGTGGGTGCTCCTGTGGTGGTGGACAGGCAGGGCTGGATCCAGGTGACAGCCCTTTGTCCCTTCCACCTGCCTGCCTGCCCCCCAGTGTCCTCTGGCTCGATATCCGCAACCTCCCTGGCACATCCCGGCGACTCTCGGCTCTCGGCTGTCAGAGTGGTTATGTCCGAGTGGCCCACGTGGACCAGCGGCGTCAAGGTGATGGCAGGGCTGCGGGGGGCTGAGCTGGAGGCAGAGAGCAGCACTCTGAGTCCTTGCCCCCACACAGAGGTTTTGCAGACATGGACAGTCCTGCAGGATGGACCCATCTCCCGAGTGATCGTCTTCAGCCTCTCTGCTCCCGAGGGTGAGCAGCTCCCAAGCTTGGTTCCCCCACTTGATTTGGGACCCTTCCTCAAAGTGCCCAGCTCCCACCTCCCTCCCTTCTCGGAGCCTCGCCAGCCAGCCAGCCAGCCAGCCAGCCCCTGACTGACTGAACGCCCCTTCCATGCCCTCACTCCTCCCTCCATCATTTATTTCGCGGTCTCATCTTCAGCCTTTACCTGGAGCTGAACTTCTGCCTTGCGCCTGATGATCACTGCCAGTCACTTTGTGGCTTCCTCTCTGGCCTCTTCACTCAGCCTCTGGCTGCAGTCGAACCCTTGGCTTTTCTGGTGGACAAAACATGGTCCCACCACGCCAGGCTTCCCCTTCCCACCCACCCCCCACACACGGCGGTGAGGCCACCTACCAGGTCTGCCCTCAGCTGATGTGTCCCTTGGGTGTGTCTGTCTCACAGGCAGCTCTTGCTTTCTCCCTCTGGTCGCTAAAGTCTAACCTGAGACGTTTCTGCTGTCATCCAACCTCCTTTCAATGCTGGTCTAAACTTCGGCTTCAGAAACTGTCGCCTGCCCCCGCTCCTCCTGGTGGTTGTGATCCACCATTCTCTCGTGGACTAACCTCTAACCCTCTCTCTGAAGCACAACCCCAAGTCTTTCTCCTGCGGTCTAACCTCATTCCTCTCACTGAAGGGGGGATGCGAGACAGGCTGGGAACCTGTTCCCTCAGACTTTCCCCTATTCCCTGTTCTCGCTCCATCTCCAGAAACCACAGACAGGCCACGGCCGGAGGACTACAGCCTGCTGGTGACCAGCATGTTGGAGCCAGCGGTGGTGTATCGGTGAGGGGCAGGGTGGGGCATGGATACGGTCTAACCTTGTGTTTCTGGCTTGTGGTCTAACCTGATCATTCTTAGCAGAGAGATCCCTCGGGTGAGGTGGTTCAGGGTTGGGCAGGTAAACGTGGCCTATCCTGGGAGGAGGGATGTGGGGGTAGAATTTCAGAACTTGCAGGCACAATGTGGAGGCTTTGGGGTGGAAACCATAGGCCTAGTCCTCCTGGAGCGGGTGGAAGGAGCGTGCCTGTCAACTAGTCCAAGTATATAAAAGCCCAGATTCTTGGTGTTAGCTGAATTCTGAGGTGTAAGTACTCACCCCCTCCCTTTGGTAGATTCCAAGTCACCAACAGACGCCTGCTGGCTTGTGGAATTTCTGGAAGCTTCCCATTTGGTGCTAGTGAGCCAGTGCCAGCTAGCTGTGGCACATCTGGTAGACAGTGAAGAAATCCAAGCAGGACTTGAGCACTCTGAGCTTCAGGGACAGTGTGGGTGTCCAGACTGAGGAGTAGGAGCCCACTGTCGTGAGTTCCTCCGGGTGCACATGACAGATGACCGGATGGCCACATTGCCTCAGGAGGAGCAGGGTTGAGGCTGAGCAGGGCAGCAGGGTAGGCACTGGCCCAGGCTCTGCCGCTCGGCATGGTGGGCTCTGCAGTCTGACCCCTGTCTCCTCGCCACCCTCAGGGACCTGCTGAGCCGGGGCCTCGAGGACCAGCTCCTCTTACCTGGCAGTGACCAGTTTGACAGTGTCCTTTGTGGCCTGGTCACCGATATAGATTTGGATGGGCGGCCAGAAGTCCTGGTGGCCACCTACGGACAGGTGAGAACCAAGGGAAGAGGCCCTCACCCAGCAGTCTCTGCCATGCCCCTCCCCTCGTGTGACCGGGCTCTTCACCACCCCTGCAGGAGCTGCTGTGTTACAAGTATGGGGGCCCGGAGGCTGGATTCCGCTTGCTGTGGCAGCGCGGCTTCTCCAGCCCATTGCTGGCCATGGCTCACGTGGACCTGACGGGGGATGGGCTGCAGGAACTGGCCGTGGTGTCCCTGAAGGGCGTGCACATCCTGCAGGTAGCCAGGGTGCGCTGAGCAGAGCCTGAGGGGGGTGTGCACACCTGCTGTGTTGAGGTGGTGCTGTCATGGGGTACTTGGAAGGGACAGGGAGGGCTCGGGGAGGGGGCTTACAGCCCCAACCCTGAAGGAGGTAACCTGTGTCTGGGAAGAGGCTCCTCTTGGCCACCTGTCAGGAGAGGGGCAGCTGGGCATGTTCCCCACTGGGGGTGAAGTTTTCTATGGTGGTCAGACCCTTGAACTGTGATCTGACCTTTCTTTCCATAGCAGCCGAACGGCCGTTACCCCTAACAGTCCAGTAGCCTCCCCTCCCAGTGGCCCAAGGTCTGACCTGGAACTCACCATTGCAGCTTATCTGCCAGCAGCTGGAGTCTCATCTTTGGCCATTTCCTTCTGGCCCGGGACGTGCCTTTGCATCCTGATCTGGTGTTTGCCTCCTCCTTCCCTCTGATCTGGCTTTGGAATCCTTTCTGTTCTGGTCTAACCTGGGTTCCTTCTACCGGGATCTCCCATCACTGCTTTCTCTACAGTCTTTGTTTGGGTTTAATCCTCAGTGGAAGGGTCTAGGTTAGACTATAAGAGAAAAGATAGAAGCTGGACCCCAGTGGAGAGGCTTGAAGGCGAACCACTGTGACTTGGACAAAGGTTAGGCCCAGATAAGATGGATGTGGTTAGACCAATTGGAGAGGTCTGAGGTTGGACCCCAGTGGAAGACTGTGGTCCAACTCGGGGGAGGGGAGAAGGGGTTGCCTTTAACTGTCCTCTGTCCATCCGTCATCCCTCACTGAGATCTGATTTAAGTTCCTGTCACCACAGTGCAACCTCCTCTCTGTCCCTTCTGTTACGAGTCTAACATTAGCTTCTCCAGCTAGCCCCAGGGACAGCTAGCTCTGTCCCCTGTGTGGTGACACATTCCTCTCCCTTCCACTTTGCGTGGCTCCTGCTCTGCCCTGTCGGTCACCCTTCTGTGCCAGGGCTCCCTCACTGTGGTCCGACGTCACCCACATGCAGCTTAACCTCTCAGTCATGTTTTAATCCTCCCTACCCCTTTCCCGAGTTCTAACCTCAGGCCATACAGTAGGAGCGAGGCTTTGTGCCGCCCCTGGAAATGCATTTACGGCTGCTAAGAATATCCCCAACCCCAGGTCTAACCTTCACCCCCTCACAGAGACCCCTTCTCAGCCCACACACTGCAGTCTCCACCCCAGACCCTCCCACTGTGTTCTTCCCAGCCCCCTCCAGCTCTGTCTCAGCTCTTCCCTCCTCCTTCTCTTGTTCCCCCACAGCACAGCCTGATCCAGGCCTCGGAGCTGGTCCTGACCCGGCTTCGGCATCAAGTGGAGCAGAGAAGACGTCAACTGCAAAGGCTGGGGGACAGGGTGGGGCCCGGGTCTGCTGGAACCCCAAGCTCCTGAGTACCCACCCACTGCCCACCCCTAGCCTGAGGCCTCTTGATGTGGGGGAGGCCTGGAGAAGGCAGGGAAGCATTCCCTCGATCTCCCAGGGGCCAGAGCTGTGAGTCCCTGCTCTGGCTCCATCCCGAATATCCTGTGACCCCAACTCCTGTACTCTTCTCTGAGCCTCAGTGTTCCCATTTGAAAATGGGGTGACATTCTATTCCCAACAAGCACTGGTCAGCCAGCAAGTATTTATATGTCCAGAGGGAAACCAAACTCTCAGTTGTCTTCATTCTTTTGTTCAACAAGCATTTGATGAGCACCTGCTGTGTGCCCTCTACCATATCAGGTGCTAACCTCACCCAGAAAACTGCGGTGGAAAAGACTAGAATGTAAGGCAGAAGACTGAGGTTAGACCCCAGGGAGTGAGCAGAGGTTTATGGTAGAGAGAACTGAGGTTAGGCTTAGAGGGAGGACTCAGGTTAGACCCCTGCAAGGGAAGTCTGAGATTAGACCCCAGTGGAAAGACAAAGAGATTGGGCCTCAGGGGAAAGGATATGGATGAGAAGGAAAGGGCTGCTGTGGGGCAGTTTGGGTCTATGGCTAATGCTGAGGATGAACCGAAACAAAAATTATTATGGTTCCACCCTGTGCCAGGGACAACAGATAGACCCCAGCAGGAAATAATGGAGGTTAAATCCCAGTGGGGGAGTACTGAGATGAGACCAGGCAGACAGGACCCAGGATACACCCTGCTGGGAAGGACTAAGGCTAGACCTAATCTTAAAAGCTCCTGGAGTTCTGAGAGCAGGGAGTTAGAGACAAGCCTGAATTCCCAGGCCTATGGCCATAGGAAGTGCCCCCTCCCGTGGTCTGGATGGCAAGGAGTCAGAGGCCTCCATCTCAGGGACCAGCGGAGGGCGGGGATGATGGAAGAAATCTGGCCTTCCCCCACTGCCAGCCAGGAATAGAATCCAGGTCAGGAGGGGTAGAGAGTAATTCCTGAGCAGGCTCCAGGCTTGGGGAAGGGGGGGATCTGTATCCTGGGGGAGATGGTCCGCCCCCATGGTCATGCTGGCCACCCATCTGCCTCCTCCCTTGGAAACCCACCTAGCACTGACCAGGAAGACCGGACTGCCAGTTCTCCATGGGGGGCTGTGGGCGGTAGGATCCTACTCATCCCTGCCCACCCATCTTTTTTCCCTCTCACGGAGCCCGTGGGAAATTGCAGGGAGCTGGATCAATGCCCTCCTCTCCTGGCAGTGGGCCTAAGGGTGTCCAGCCAGGACTCGCAGTGTGCGAAGGCCACTGACAGGAGCAGGGTGTCCTCTCCCATGGCCTGCCTGCTGAGGTGGCGTCTCTATCATTTCCCATCCTGGGGGAGAGTGGGAGTCTGGGGGGTTTGGGCATTTAGTTAGTAGTGGTGTGGGAGTGTGATGCGTGTCCACTTCCGGACCCACAAATTTGCACCTCCAGGAGCCACCTGTCTGGTCCTTTGCAGTCACTTCCTGTCCTGGTGCCAGGTCCCTGGTGTGGGCCAGTGTGTAGTATAGCTGAAGCACACTCCACTTGTGCCACAGTTTCCCCATCTATAAAATGGGGCCAGTAATACCCATGGGGGCGAGGATTAGTCGTGGCAATGTATGTCAAGTGCTTATAAAGAGCTGGATAACCGTGCCTGGCACTTGCAAAGGGCAGTATGAATGGCGACTTGTTATTATTATTAATGGGAGCCTTTGTGGTTGTTTCTGGCTGGCTTTGTGAGGTTCTGTCTGCAGGCACTGTTTGTGAATTTGGATCCCACTCTGGCTAAATATTCTTGCCCTCCCCCCAGTTCTGTGAGCCTGTAACTATTTCTAGCTGTTTTTTGTGTCTTTTGGCCCTTGTGTGCATCAGGGCTTGTGTGTGTGTGTGTCACTCAGAGCAGCCTCCAATACATGCACACACCCTGTGCCCTCCACCGCTGTCCCTAGCTTGTGGTGCTGAACTGGGGTGGGAGGTAGGGGTTACCTCTTCTCTCCCGCTCCTCCAGGCCCCTCCCCAAACCTCCCCAGCCTGCTGCCGGCTTCCCGCCTCCTCCTCCTCCCCTCTCTCTTCGGCTCCTCCCCCTCCCAGTCCCTCCTCCTCCTTCCCTCACTAACTCCCCCTCCCCTCAGTCCCTCTCCCTCCTCCTCTCCTCCCTCTATCCCCTCTCCCTCCCCTCCACCCTGGCTCTGCCTCTCAGTCCCCGGCTTTCCTCTCTCTTCCTCTCCTCTCCTCTCCTCTCTCACTCTCTCCCTCTCTTTCTCTCCCTCTTTCTCTGTCGGGAGTCGCCCACCACTGCCAGCCCCGTGTAGGGGGGAGATTCTCCACTGCTCCAGGCTATCACTGCAGGTAAGACCCCCCCCACCCCAGTTACCACTGGCAGACTGAGGGGGGTGGCTTTGAGACAGGAACTGCTTTTCCCTAAGCTCGTTTATGGGGAGTGGGAAGCTGCAAACCCGGAGCCCTTCCTTGGGGGGGGGGGCTACTCCAGCAGCCAAAATGTTTAACCCCTCCTGTGAACCAAGGGGGCCTCTGGAGGGGGCACGCCTGGACAGTGAGGGGGTGAGAACACCTCACCCTGTCTGGGGCAGCCCCCGCTCCAGCTCTCTGCCGCCGCCCCCGCCTTCCTGTGTCTGGGTCCCATCTTTCTGTGTCCACATCCCTCAGGGGTCTCTGTTCTGCGGGAGTCCAGCAGCTTCTTTCTTCAGTCAGCCTCCCCGATGCCTGTCCCCGACTCTCACTCATGTCTCTCTGGGCAGGTCTGTCTCTGGTTTCTCTCTGCCTTTCTCCATCTCTGTGTTTCTCTATCTCTGAACAGTCTCAGCTTTCCTGTCTCTTCCCAGTCATTCTCTGTCTCTTCCTGTCTCTCTTTCCTCCATCTCTAGGTATCTGATCCCTGTTTCTCTCTTTCCTCTTCCTCTCCCTGGAGCCAGTTAACTCTCCTCCTACACACCTTTGTCTCCGCCCCTGACAGGAGGGAGACCTGGAAGAAAATTATCCCCTCCCCCCCCAGTGGGCTCCCCAGAAGGTTCGGAGTCCCCAAACTGCTCTCCTGTGGTGGAGCTTCCTCCTGCCCTCCCTGCTGGCAGTGCCTCACCCCCACACCCCTAGACTGCTCTCCTCACCCCCCTGCCTGGCTTCTGCTACCCTGGGGCCAGTCCCTCCCTCAGTCTGACCTGTTTTGTAGTAGCCCTTGAATCAGTCCTTTTTTCACTCAGAACTCATGTCTCTTCATCTAGGCTGGACCAGTCCTGCCAGGAGTCTAACTTACATTCCTCTCTTGCTGTTTATCCCTTCCTTGTTCATTCTTTTGGCAATTACCGAGCAGCTTTTTTACTCCACTGGTCTTGGGGGTTCTGCAAGGGGCCTTCTGAGAGGTCTGTAGGCAAAGCACTCTCTTTCTAGAGGGAAAGGGGGCTAGAGAAGGTGGGTGGGAGTGAGTGACAAGGGGAGAGGTGTGAGCCTGTAGCCTACCCACGCCCGCTGTGATGGGTGCAGAGTGAGGCCCCCAAGTGCCCACGTGGGGCTCCAGGTGGGTTCAGATGAGCTTCAGGCTTGGAGTCCCCTATCTTTAGTTTGCAGCTCTGCTTTTGCTCCTGCCTGGAAGCTGTGGACTTAGCCAAACTCTTTTCTCCTCCCAGCCTCAGTGTCCTGATTGGTATGCCACAGCCCTGGGCACCCAGACTGATCCCAGGCTGGGATGTGGGTGGTGGTGGGAGGGTTTGGCTCACCTGGGACAATGCATGTTTAGAAATCCACCTCACACATTACTGAGCCCCCACTGGTGGCCCAGGAGCAGTTAGGAACCACCGGTCCCTGCCAGTATGAGGGCCATGAGGGTGGGGATCCCACCTGGCATGCCAAACTGGAGTATGCACACCTCAGCTTTGCAGCTGCCCCTTTATGGCAGTCCAGTGGAGACTCAGGCCCCAAGAAGTGTGCACAGCAGGACTGAGGTGCTCACCACTGACCCAGCTGGCCCTCAGCCCAGCACAGTGGGTAGAGATGGCCCCAGGAGATGCTGCTGCCATCAGCCTGCTCAGCTCCCACCCCACCCTCAACCTGATCCTTCTACCCCTGGATTCAAAACCCAGATTAGGTTTCAGGCTGCTAGAGGACCAAGAGAGGCAGAGGCAGGTACCTCAGCAGAGGGAGCCCAGCTGTCTCCCTTAACAGGGTTCAGACTTCTTATTGGTCGTTCATGTTACAAATATTTATCTAGGGCTTTCTCTCTCTGACCACCCCCCACCCCCATCCATCCATAACTTCAGTTAAGAGGAAACCAGATTTTTTCAGGAAAAGGGACTTGAGCTACTTTATCCAACCCCTGGCCATTAAGTAATCCTGGCTCCCTTGCAGCAGGAGGGGTGTGTGGTTAGACTTAAGGGAGGACTTCCAGGGGCAGTGGCCTCTCCATGGGAAAAAAGATCCTTCAGATGAATTCTTGATTCCCAGGTGGCCCTGATTCTCCTCAAGCTGGGGAGAAGGGAGGGAGGGAAAAGAGAGCACAGTCTTTGCTTTGGAGCCTGGTGGGTTTGTAATTATGCCTAAGTCGTTGCTAATTAGGGGGCTGCTAATTAGATGTGTCATTAGGGGCCTTGCTGAGGGGGCTCTAATTGTGTGGTGGTCCTTTAAGATTCACCCCTCTCCTCCCCCCCCACCTACACACACACACACACACACACACACACTCCTCAGGGACATTCTGCCAACATTCTGCCTCCCTCCCCCGGCAAACCAGCTCCCAACCTGTGAGTTCGTGGGTGTGTGTTGGGGATGGGCTGTGGGTTAGACTCCAAGAAGAACTTTTTATCCAGATGTGGAATTTACAGAAGAAATGCAGCCTGTGGCCTAAAGGGAGTTCAGAGAGAGGGAGTCTCTCAGGACCCAATCCTTTCTCTTTTCACCCACTTTTAATAGGCTACTGGGTAACCAGGGCAATACTTGGGTGGGGCAGAAGAGCTGGAAGATTAATTGTGCTGAGACACTGTGGGCAAGTTACTAAACCTCTCTGAACCTTGGTCCTCTCATCACTGAAATGGCATTTTGAATACAGTAGTCAGAAAAGTAAGAGCTGAATTGAGATGGAAGAGGAGAAGGAGTGGGTATGTGAGGAAGAGTTTTCCAGGAAGTGGGAACAGCAGGTCAGAGGCCCTGAGGCAAATATTTGGCTGCTGTGTCTGAGGAAAAATACTGAGGAAGTATGGCTGTAGCCAAGAGAACAAGGGGGAGAGGTGAGACCAGAATGGAATGGGGGCAGAGGAATTTGTTTCTCTGTATGAGACAGAGCCCAGGAGGGTGCTGACCAGTGGGGATGACATACCCGAAGATAGTACTGAAACCACAGAAATGCCACACCACAAATGAGAGAAAAAGGCCAGTGGGGGCATCACCTCACAGCTACTAAGGAATTATGTACCGAACAGAGACCCAGGAAATAGCTCAGACACCTGAGGATGCTAGGGAGATATGTGCCACTATTGTGGAGAAGGTATGAGAGAGATCCTCCATCTGTTCTTCCTCAGACAGACACCATAGTAAAAATCTGGAACCAACTGAGGGGCAAGTTGCAAGTCAGCAGAATATTTAATAAATGTTGGGGCTCACAGTCCCTTGCCTCACCCACTGTTTTGGCTGGTTTCATTCGTCATTAAATACCTTTAAGTTTCAACTGCATTGGGATAATCCACAGTCACTTCCTTTTTGTGGCTGTATAATATTCCACACAAGTACTCCATAATTGTTTCAAGATTGGAACTGAGTAAAGCTGCTATGACCATTCCTGTATGTTTCTTTCAGCAGACACGAGATCTGTTTCACTTGGGTGCATACTTAGTGACAATGCCTAATACTTGATGTTTAGCTCTACTTTTCTGCTGTGTCTAGACCATTTTACATTCCCATCAGCAGTGTGTGAGCTTCCCACTGTCTTATTTTTATCTTTCCATGTCTTCTCTTGCTTGGTCTTTAACGCTGTGTCTCTTTATGTCCCTGTCTGTGTATCGGTGACCCTTTGAGTCTGTCAGTGGTCATCTCTCCATTTGTCCTCAGCGTCTCCCCCCTCCTTCACCCCCAAAGAGGTCTGATTCCTGTGTGACAGGGAGGGTTTACGCCCTTCATCCAGATTTCCTCCTTCCCCACAGGCCCCTGCCACCCTCCATGGCGCCCCTGGCCTTGGTGGGGTTTGTACTCCTCCTGGGAACTCCCCTGTGCTCGGGGGCAGCCACCCCGACCCCATCCCTGCCACCTCCCCCAGCCAATGACAGTGATACCAGCACAGGGGCGTGTGAGGGCTCCAACCGCTGCCAGCCAGGGGTTCTGCTGCCCGTTTGGGAGCCTGATGACCCATCGCTAGGTGACAAAGCCGCGCGGGCTGTGGTCTACTTTGTGGCCATGGTCTACATGTTTCTGGGTGTGTCCATCATCGCCGATCGCTTCATGGCATCCATTGAGGTCATCACATCAAAGGAGAAGGAGATCACCATCACCAAGGCCAATGGTGAGACCAGCGTGGGCACTGTCCGCATCTGGAACGAGACTGTGTCCAACCTCACACTCATGGCCCTGGGCTCCTCAGCACCTGAGATCCTGCTGTCTGTAATCGAGGTCTGCGGCCACAACTTCCAGGCGGGTGAGCTGGGCCCGGGCACCATCGTGGGCAGTGCTGCCTTCAACATGTTTGTGGTCATTGCTGTGTGCATCTATGTCATCCCGGCTGGTGAGAGCCGCAAGATCAAGCACTTGCGAGTCTTCTTCGTCACTGCCTCTTGGAGTATCTTCGCCTACGTCTGGCTTTATCTCATCCTTGCTGTCTTCTCCCCAGGTGTGGTCCAGGTGAGCAAGGCCGCATGCTTGCCTCCTTGGTGCATGTCTGTCTGCAGAATCCACAGGAGTAGCTCCCTGGGTTTGGAGAGCTGGTTCAGATACTTGCAGAATTGCATGTCCACATCCTAGAGGGCCACCAGGCACAGTTGTGCAGGTCACACAATGCACAAGAGCATTGGGCCAGAGAGGGCAGGTCAGGGTTGAAGCCCAATGGGTACTCCTAAGCCATATGAGAATGGTGCTGTAGAACCTGGAAAAGGCTCCTCTCCCCAGGGTAGGGTGAGGGTGCCATCTTGCTGTGCATTCATCTAGAAGGGGTGCCTTTTAACTTTCACAAGGGTGCACTGTGTGTCAACAGCGGCCTTGTGGTCAGTGTAGTGCATGTCAGTCTAGCCAGGTATTTGCCAGGTATGTTCCCATGTTTTCCTGCATCCCCCTCCCCTGCCTGTTGCATGATGTATTCCCACTTTTGCAATAAGTTTGCATAATTCATACTACACTTGCATAATCCAGCCTTGTGTTTTCTGACAGTGCTAACTGGTTTGGGTAACTTGGTGTCATTTGCATAATTTATCCATGGGCTTGTACAGATACAGCCCCCCCGCTACATAATCTAGCTCTGCCTTGGCCAGCTATGCAATCAGGATTTGCAAACGACATTCATTATTCATAGCTGATTCCTAATGTTAGGATAATTTATGTCATGTCAGTCTAATCCAATCCAACCCAGGCCACTGCAAACACCACTCTGCATAATTTATTCCAATAGAGAAAATTTACACCCAGAGCTACATAATGTATACCAAAAGCCAAATAATCATTTGCCTCTCATTTGTCCAGTATCTTAACTGGCATACTGCTTAGTCTTCTTTTAAAACATTTGCCTAATTTATTTACCACAGTTCCATGCCTGCCACCCACATTTGCCTAATTTATTTATGGGCCTGGTCTAATTCATTCACACACATGCATAATTTATTTCAGGCAGCCAAGTATTCATTCACACACGTGTATCATCTATTCATGCATACCTGTCAGGTTTTGCCAGTTTCTCTTCATGAAGAATCTGCAGCCAGGAGTATAAAAACTCTTTGCCAATAATAAAAAGGCAAACAAGGGATCAGAAATCCACAGCAAGGAAAGAGGGATGGCGTGGCAACGGAAGACAGAGAGGCGAGAGGGAGACAGTCAGTTACTGTGAGTGACTTAACTACAATTCTGAGTTTCCTGGCTGCCATCGCAAAAAGTGTAGGATGTATTGTACAGTTCTCAGGTGCTATTAAAAGGGATGGCGTCCTGATTTAGGTTTTTTAAATGGTATTTGACAAGGATTTACACCAAGACTGTGAAAAAGAATTTGAGACACCATGGGAGAGAGGTGGTAAAGGATAGGGGTGGAGAAAACACTTCCCCATACTGGGAGCTGGCTGAAAGGTCAGGAACAGAGGGTCTAAAATGCCAGGGTTTTGGGGGGAGAAGGAGCCACAGAGGGACCTTTCAGGAGTAGCATGGAGACCAGAACTTGGACATTTTCACGAAAGAACTGACATGCAAGAAAGATGATGCTAATTTCTAGACACAGTGAACTGGTGGAGTGAGAAGATGGGTCTGGCTCTGGATTTTTCTCTCCAAGTGCTCTTGTGACCTCAGGTGAATCCTCTTTTGGCTCAGTTTTTTTTTTTTTTTAATTAAAAAAAATAGATTTATGTATGCATACAAGAACTGCGGTACAGGCCAGAGGTGTGGGGGGTGAGAGGGCCCACCAGAGACAGTGGGGAGCAGAGCAGGCAGACTGAAATACACTGTGAGGGGAGCAGCAGGAGGGTCAGGAGAGATCTGCTGTGCCATGTGGGTCAGCTTCTAGCCAAGGAGTCAAACTATAGTGGCTTTGGAGAGCTTCATAGTGCTGTGCTTTAACCCATTGCACCACCAGGGAGAGCCCCGACCTCAGTTTTCACATTTGAAACTCAGAAGGAATTGACTAGGCAGGAGTTCTTGGCCCTTCCTACCCAATGCTTCCTCTTTATGACAGCTATCCTGTTGCCTTTATTCTGTTGATGTGAAATTCTCAGTTCACAGGAAAGCATTCTTGGTTCCAATCCTACCTCTGCTGTTTTTGGTTGTACAACCTTAGGCAAGTTCTCTACCTGCTCTGTGCCTTGGCTTCCCCACCCATAATATGGGGTCATCACAGGATCAACTGCCTAGGGTGCAAAATCTTTGCACCCTATGTAGAAAGGTGTAGGACAGTGACCTGGAACAGAGTCCTTGTTATCTATGCTTCCCATTAATGAACTCACTTACATGGCTGGCTTCCCAAAAAATCAGTATAACGCCTGAGCTGGGGTGTAAAGGAAAGTAACCTCTAATGGGACCAGCTGAACTTCCTTTGTAAATACTTTGCCAAAACCGCATAAAAAGTGAATAAAAGGGAGCCAGATGCTGGCACCCTATTATTATGAACAAGTCTGGATTTAAGAGAAAGAAGATCAGAAACCATTGCATGCAAGGAGTCCAGCAGAGAAGCAGGTAGCCACGAGGTTATAAAAGAGCACATTCAGGGCCCTCCCTGGCCGGGAAGACCTCTCCTGACCCACCTACTGCTCCCCTTAGCAGTGAAATTCAGTCAATCTTCCTGTTCCTCATTGTCTCCGGTGAATCCTCTCACCCCCACACCTCTGATCTGTACCCCAGTTCTCACATGCATAAATAAATCTTTTTTTTTAAATACATTCAGGATATAGTAAATCACTCAGGAAAATACATCATATACCCATAAGACAGAGCTGGTGTCATGAATGTGAATGGCTGACAGAATAATTCTGTATTGTGTGGGATGGTTCCATGAGACTCTGGATGTTACCAAGCTGAGACCTACCCCCCCCCATGAGAGTGGCAACCCCTAAACAACCCAAGATTTCTGCAACCCCTCTCTAGAGGGTGCTCATCTCCAGTGAGCCCTGAAAGGGTCTCACTGACCTCCCCAAGTGGGCAAGTTCAGGGCCCATTTGCAGAAGGTGCTCTGGAAGGAAGATGAAAATCTACTCTTACCTGCAGAAAGCAAATCTTGGGGGTTTGAAATTGTCTTCCAACGAAGAGAAAATGCCCCTGCAGTGTACATGGTGGTTGATTCAATGAATACAAGGTGGAGAGTTCACGTTACAGCTTGTGCTGAAAATCTGGCTTCTTTCCACAAAGCTGCCTGGCGGCTTTGTGCGGTTTCCGTTTCCAACTTCTGCCTTTTCTCGGAGCTGTCAGTAAACACAGTGACAGGTGGATGTGGTGATTGGATCTTAAAAGATATCTTCCCTTCCTTCCAGGCTGATTTTAAGCATGCCTGTGGGGCAGTCGGATCACAAGTGCTCAGTAACCTTTTATTCTTTGCCTTTGATGAAAAGGACATTTGAGTCTTTACGGGAATATTCTTTAAAGCAAACTGTCACGTGTAGGTGGATATTTTCTGTGTGTGCCCAGACCACAAGGAGAGTTCTGGACCTCAACAGGCTCAAGTTCATAGTACAACTACCGATACCAAATGCCAGTCTCAATTTCCCATAGCCAGTAAAAGGAAACAGAGTTTGAGGAGAAGGAAAACATTGGGTTATAGGAAAAGTCATGACGTATTTTTCTATGCAAAAATGCGTCATGACTTTTCCAACAACCCAATCGTTTAATTTGTTGACGAATTGAGGGCAGAAGACTCACATCAGAAAAGCCACTGTCTTTGACAGAAGGCAGGAGTATTTATCCACTTATCCATGTTACAAGGGAACATACGGGGAAGTGGGCAAGAGTTTGCATGTCTATCCTCGTGATGTGCATCTGAGGATTATGGAGAGATTCAGGTTTGCGCCAACCTGCTTGCTATCACTTGGTGGGCAACAATCTCAATGCTATCTTCTCAGGATGTTCTTTTTCCCTTAGGATGTAAGAAAACAAAGTTCTTAAATCTAGAGGGTCTGGTGGGACAGGAAGCGACATGTCCTTTTATCACTGCATTATTCCTGTCACACTACTACTGATAATAACAATAATGATAATAACGGTAATGGTGATGTCCTACCTGTAGTATTTTCCATGTTTCTGGAACCAACAGTGCTAAGTGCTAGGGGCACACACCCACATTCAGTCTTGGCATATCCCCATTTTACAGACAAGAGGCTGGGCCATCCATCTCTCTGCTAGAATTGGCATCTGGACTCAACCTTCTCTCCGAAGAGATAGCATGTGAACAAGGGCACTGCCTTTGTGATGAGCCAAACTTGTCCTTCATTTGGAGTGGGCCAGACCAATTCTAAGGAAAGAGAGTCTGACTAGGGTTGGTGGGGGGGGGGCATCAAGGGGAAGTTGGGGAGGAGACCCTGGGTGGGCAGTGAGTGGGTCTGAAGAAGTGGAAGCATCCCAGGTGAGGAGGGGTTCAGGGAGAGAGAGCTGGGATTTTAAAAAGGGGGAGTAGGGCACTGGACAGGGGCTGGGACCACGATGTGGTATGTGATTTGATGCCGTCTGAGGATGTCTGGGTTCCTTGCACTTGGTAACTGGTTCTCAGGGTGATAAAAGGTGAACATGAACTGAAAGTGGAGGCCAAGAAAGAGGGAGGAGTAAGAGGAGGGAGGGAGATGGGGGGACTCTCACAAGGGAGAGAGATGGGTATCAACAAAAACTTCACAAGGGAGAGATTGGAGATGAGAACTAGGCAGTGAGACAGGAGGGGGGGAAGATCTTAATAAAACCAGTTGACAGAATGAGACAGACAAGAAGAGAAACAACCACCTAGACAGAGAGACAGACATGAACAGAGACAAGAGCGAAACAGAGACCAGGAGCGGGCAGAGAGAGAGGAGACATACAGGAGAGGGAGGGAGGGAAAGCTCGCGCTGAAGATGATGGGGACCCAGCCAGGGTAGCGCTGGCCAGCGGGCGGGTTAGCGTGCGCCCCCTGCCGGCAGGGCGGTCCTGACGCTGCGCGGCCGTCCGCAGGTGTGGGAAGCGCTGCTGACCCTCGTGTTCTTCCCGGTGTGCGTGGTGTTCGCTTGGATGGCGGACAAGCGGCTGCTCTTCTACAAGTACGTGTACAAGCGCTACCGCACCGACCCGCGCAGCGGCATCATCATCGGCGCTGAGGGCGACCCCCCTAAGAGCATAGAGCTGGATGGCACGTTCGTGGGCGCCGAGGTGCCAGGCGATGTGGGCGGCCTCGGCCCGGGCCCCATGGAGGCCCGCGAGCTGGACGCCAGCCGCCGTGAGGTCATCCAGATCCTCAAGGACCTCAAGCAGAAGCACCCGGACAAGGACCTGGAGCAGCTGGTGGGCATCGCCAACTATTACGCCCTTCTGCACCAGCAGAAGAGCCGCGCCTTCTACCGCATTCAGGCCACGCGACTGATGACCGGCGCTGGAAACGTGCTGCGGCGACACGCGGTGGACGCCTCACGTCGGGCCAGCCCCGCCGAGGGTTCTGGTGAGGACGAGGATGATGGCGCCAGCCACATCTTCTTCGAGCCCAGCCTCTACCACTGCCTGGAGAACTGTGGCTCCGTGCTGCTCTCGGTCACTTGCCAAGGCGGTGAGGGCAACAGCACCTTCTACGTGGACTACCGAACTGAGGACGGCTCCGCGAAGGCGGGCTCCGACTATGAGTACAGGTGCGTCCTGCCCGGGGCTCCCCTACTGGCCTGGGGTGAGGGTGTGGGAGGTTGCAGGCTTCTTCCACCCAGCTACCGTCAGGCTCCCTATGTTCTGGATTTCTGGGGCTCCCATTCTCCCCCCTGTTATGGGCAGGTCCACATCATTCCTCCCTTCATTCATTCATCCACTCTTGAGGGTCCACTCTGTGCCAGGCACTGTTCCAGGCATTTGGCACATGGAACTGGAGATGGTGGTGTGACTGTCGTCCCGATGCCTCTCCCAAGGTCATCACCACACTGTCCGAATTATTACAGCTCCATGAGGTGTACTGCTTCCTGGAGAACAACCTTCTGCACACCTGTGGGTCCCTTAACAGTATTTCAATCAATGACTGGCCACCTACATGGCCCTGCCCCCTTAAGCTACAGCATGTAAGCTAAGTGTGGAGCAGGCTGTACATCTGGGTTGTGTGTTCCACCTTCCTGACGTGTGCCCACAATGAAATCACCTAACGCTGTATTCTTAGAATGGATCCCCATGGTTAAGGGACACATGACTGGACTGAAGTAACAATGTCTTTGAGCACCTACTGTATGCCAGGGGTAGACTTGTGGTGAAAAGTACAGCCAAGGTCTCTACCCTCAAGTTGCAATAAGGTTATGAATGAGTAAATATGCAAATATCAGATGGTGTTATGTAGAGAAATTAAGTAGGCTAAGAGGACAAAGATGGTTCCCAAATTGTCCCCAGGCCCCTTGGTTCCACCATAAACAAACCACCTTTTTGCCCTCTTCTTTGTCTCCTTGCCCATCCCACTTTACACCTCTGCCCTTTTGAGCAGACTGGCATCTCCCCTCTTTCAGCAATAACTACTGAGCACCTACTAGGTGCCAGTCTTTGGGAGCTCAGCAGTCCTCACATGACCCCCTAAAGTCTTTTATCTAATTGATTCCTTAGCACACTTAAAAATTATAGCCTTACCATCGATTTTGTTACATGGTATGCCAGACTCCCAAAGCTCCCTATAATGAAAGTTCATCTGTCAACTATGTGCCAGCAGCAGAACTGGGCAGTGCAGCCCAGATGTGAACACACAAAGTCCCTGCTCAAATGGGGATGACCTTCTCCTGGGACAGACAGGCCAATAGGAAGTCCACACTGAATATAATATGAAACTGTCGGGTTAGGAAGAGCCATGCAGAAACAAGAAGCAGAGGATGGGTTGGGTGTGTTGGTGGTTGGGCTTGTCTCAAGTTCCACCCCCTTTAATCCTAGCCCAGGCTCTCCTTGGTGGTGCAGCCGATTAAAGCGCAACACTGCGAAGCTATTTGAAGCTGCTTCAGCATGAGTTCGAACCCCGGCCAGGGAGGTGACCCACATATGGCACGGCAGACCTCTCTTGTGCTGCCCGCTGCTCCCCTCAGTGTACTTTGTTGATCTGCCTGTTCTGCTCCCCACTCTGCCTCTGGTGAATCCTCTCACTGTCTCTGCCCCTCTGGCCTGTACCCTAGTTCTATATGCATAAATAAATAAATCTTTAATCCTAACCCAGATACAGCTGAAGCTGAGCTGTTCTCGGATCTTTGGTTTTGCCATCAGGCAGCAGCCAGACCCTTCATCCCTTCATCCCTCTTTCTGGAGTTAAGTTTTCTGTTGCACGTAATTTTAGGTCCACCACTGTGCCTCAGCCAAGACCTTCAGTAGCCAATTCCCCCCTCTCTGCCCCTATCATGTTTTCATCTCTTCCCACTGCTTTGAACATGTATGGGTCTTTTCCTCGACCCCAGTTAGCCCAGAATCCTTTTGTGGGACCATCTTTCCTACCCCACCCCTGCCCAGCCTTCCCCAAGTGTGGCATAACTCTTCATGTATTTCTTCCAGTTGCCTGGAATCTGTTTGCCACCCATAGTCTCTTCCCACACCTGTCAGCCTCCTTTGACTGAAAAAACAAAATGACATTCACCATATGGGGGCTTGTCACTCCATGTCTCCTTTACACTGCAGCTTACATCCTTTGTCTTCACTGCCCCCATGTGAAGCCCTGAGCCTCTGCATAAGGAACTGTGTCACTACACTTCAGGTGTCACTTGCTGGGATCAGAGGTCACCTTCTCATCTGCAAATGACCTCAGAACTGAGATGCTTGAAATGAAGGAATAAATGCTATTTAGTGATGGAACCCAAGACCTAGGAAGAGTTGACATCTTCCTACCCTCCTTTGCTCTCCATCTGAGTTGAGGTTCACAAGCCTGGCATCTCTTATCAAGGCAACTTAGTCTTGGACTTGAACAGAAGGCATCTGGGTTTAAGTTCAAGCTTAGCCCTGGACCCTGAGCAAGTTCCTGCCTCAACGTGGACACATGTTGTGCATTGAGGTTGTTGTTGAGGTTGTGCATTGTAAAATAGCACCAGATCTAGTCATGGAGTGGACTTGTAGTTTTGTCTACCTATTACAGTAAGCCTTTTTCTAATCTTCCCATGGGCTGGGGTGGTTTTGGTTTCTCCAAATTAAACATTTCTAAAGCTTCCACACAGCAGATGTGCCAAGATTCTAAGATTTAAACCCTTATAATCCTAACATGGTAAAGATTTAAAGCACTAAGATTCCAGGATTCCCACATGTTCGTATTCTAATTATTTCTAAAATCCTCCCTATTCTCCCCAACATTTTATTTTGAGAAGCTGCATGCTTTCAGAAGGGCCATAAAAACAGTCTGATGAACCCTCATATAGCCTTCACCCAGATGCGCCCACTGTCCATATTTTATCCACATTGCATTCACTTTCTCTCGTTAATAGATGATAATAATAATTGCTTCACAGTCTGAAACTGAGTTGCAGACAGTATGACCCTTCACCCATGAATATCCAAGTATGCATCTGCTAAGAGTAAAGACATTCTCTACATAACCACAACCCGACCACCACGTGCAGGAAACTTCATGCTGCATCAGTGTCATTACCTGATTGACAGTCTGCATTTGCATTTCTGCCAGTGCCTCTGGAACATCCATTATAGATGTGCTTTCAGGCCCCCACCCCTTTCCACCCAGTCCAGACCTCACATGGCAGCTGGTTGATGACCAGTGTCTCTTTAGTCTCCTCCAATCTGGATCAGCCCCTCAGCATTTATTTATGCACACAAGAACTGAGGTAGGTCAGTGGTGCACAGTGGCTGGGAAGATTCACCAGAGACAGAGTGGGGAGCAGAACAGGCAGATCTATGCAGTACACTGCTGAGGGGAGCAGGGGGGAGACAGGAGAGGTCTGCTATGCCCTGTGGGTCAGCTCCCTGGTTGGGGATTGATCTCATGCCACAGTGATGGCAAGAGTTAGACAGCACTGAGACATTAACCCCTGCACCACCAGGGAGGCCCAAACTTTCTGTGGCTTTTATGATCCTGCCACTTTTGAAACTAACAAACCAGCATCTAAAACAGGCCTCAAGGGGGTTGTTGACTAATTCCATACACTGCATTCAGGTGATGCACTTCTGGCAGGAATCCCTGGGACTCAGATGATGCCATGTCTTCCTCTGCAACAGCGGCCTGTTCCTTTATGGGGTTTGTTCAGTTTAACTACTGGGTGAAGGTGCTCAAATCCCCACACACTTTTACCCCCTAAGTTTACATCTCTGACCTCTCCCGAACTTTAGGAGTCTAACATTAATATGCAAATACTGCTGTTTGGCTTTGGTTGAGTGCTCCATCTGTATTAACTCGGTTCTCACAACAAGATTATTTACTCCACACTATTATTTACTCCACCTTACAATTGAGGTAACTGAGCCTCAGAGGACTGCAGATGCTAATTGCCCCAAGATCCACACAGCTGGAGGGTAGTCAGCCAGGCCCGGTATAGGTCAGCCAGCCTGGTTAGTATGTAACCTGTAGAGATAGCACTTTTGAGCTGGTCACTACAGCAACAGAAGTGGCTTATCCTTACTCTTGTGGTCCCTCTGCCCCTCCCACAGTCTGACCTAAGGAAACTAAAGAGACAGAAGAACTGGAGTGGAGGCTGTGAGTTATAGATATTCCAGATTCATTAACAGAGTCATTTTGGTGTCTGCTGCCCTGCCAGGGAGAAGCCCACACATTCCCTGATCCTTTAGAACTTCTCCCCTGACTAATGTCACTGCCTACCCCTTCCCTGACCCTCATGGGTGCTCCTCTCCTCTAGTCATACCACCACGGCTCCCAGCTTACTCAAAGTAGAGGGCACCTGTCCTCACCAGAGGCCACCAGACCCTACAAGATCTGCCCGTTTTTGTATGACATAATCTCTCTCCCCCTGGCTTCCTCTGCTGTGGCCAGATGGGCCTGGCCATGTTCTTCAAACTCTGCAAGCCTGTCCCTGCCTCAGGACATTTGTACTGGCTGTTGCCATTACCAGGAAGAAATACATTCATGGCTCATTTAATATTTCGGTCAACGACAGACAGTATATGCAATGGCGGCCCCAATGGGCTGTATCAGCCAGCCTAGGGCGGTGGGAGGCGGTCCCAACTAGGTCTGTGTAACATACTCTGTGATGTTTGCCAAATGACGCACAGTTCAGAATGGACTGAGTTTGTTCCCTAGATGCTTTCCATGTGGCTCGCCTCCCTGCTCAGGTGTCACCTCTGCAGAGAACCTCTCCTGACCACCCGAACCCACCATCCTCATTCTCTACCCTCTGTCTGTATTTGCACAATCAGCACCTACCATTATAGGATGTTTAGGATTCATCTCCTGCACTGGGACAGAAACTCCAAGGTAGGAGTTTCCAACAGTAAGAACAGTACCTGGTAGACAGGAGGCATAAATATTTGTTGGATAAACTGTGATTGAATCATCAAGCTTGTGATTGTTACAGTGACATGGCTCTCAGGCCAGGGCACAGCTCAGCACAGGGCATAGAGCAGGTGCTCAGGGAGTGTTTGTTGAGTGAATGTTAACAGTTGAGGTGTAGGGACTCTCACTTGTGGGCACAAAGGGGACTCTTCCCTTAGAAGTACAGAGGTTTTTTCATTAGAAGCTCGACAAAGTCATCTCCTACCCTACCCTGAAAACCATATACCAAAACAATCTGTATCCCTTGGGAGCTAGCCAGACATGCTGAATCTTGATATTTGGGGGATACTGAGCCAGAATTTGCATTTTAAAAAGATCATGCCAGAGATTCCGGTGCACATTAGGACCTGAGAAGGATGGCTGTGAAACCTACCATGTTCGCTCTTATTTTGAGACTTTGTATGTGCTGTTCCCTCTGCCTGGAGTCCTCCTGCCCACTAAAGCCTCCCCCAGGAAGCCTGTCGCAGGCTTCATCATTGTCTGTTTAAGGCAGGCCCGTCTTATCCTCATGGGTTCCACGGTAGGAGACACCAGCTGTCTTGTTTCCCCTTTGCATCCTCTTCCTGGGTAAGTCCACCCTGATTGCCCTCAGTAGTAGTTGTTTAATGTATGTTCACCCTCCAACCGGTGAGTTCCCAAGGGGAACTCTTCCTCAGGGAAGCCCGCCCTGATGCCCTGATTCCCCTTGCAGCCACTGACTGACTGATGGAAATTCTCCCCCCTCTTCCCCCACCCTCAGCCACTGACTGACCCGAGTTCTCTTCCCCCTCCGTCGCAGCGAGGGCACGCTGGTGTTCAAGCCTGGCGAGACGCAGAAGGAGCTGCGTATCGGCATCATCGACGACGACATCTTTGAAGAGGACGAACACTTCTTCGTGCGGTTGCTGAACCTGCGCGTGGGCGACGCGCAGGGCATGTTCGAGCCTGATGGCGGCGGGCGGCCCAAGGGGCGGCTGGTGGCGCCACTGCTGGCCACAGTCACCATCCTAGACGACGACCACGCGGGCATCTTCTCCTTCCAGGACAGGCTGCTGCACGTGAGCGAGTGTATGGGCACCGTGGACGTGCGCGTGGTGCGCAGCTCGGGTGCGCGCGGCACCGTGCGCCTCCCTTACCGCACGGTGGACGGCACGGCGCGCGGCGGTGGCGTGCATTATGAGGACGCGTGCGGTGAGCTGGAGTTTGGCGACGACGAGACCATGTGAGCGCGCCAGGCGGTGGGGACGAGGAGGGGACCGACTTGGAAGGGGCGGGCCTGGGAGGTGGGTGGGTGGGGCCTGGTCTTGAAAATGGGGCGGGGCCTTGGAACTCCGTAAGCTGGGTGGGGTCCGGGGCTGAGGTGGTTAAATTGGGGGCAGGGTTTCCGAGCCCGGGAGAGGGGGGAAGAGTCAGGAGTGATGGGGCTTGCCAAAAGGGGGAGAACTGGACTGTTTGGGGGGAGAGGTGGAAGGGCCACATTAGGAGAGGAGAGGAGCTAGGAGGGAGGCCTGGGAGAGACTGAGGGAGGGTTAAATCGGTGGAGCTGGAGTGTGGTCTGACGAGGGGTCTCAGCAGAGATGAGGGCAAGGTCCTGTTGAAGTGGGACAATCTGGAAATGGAGGGCGAGCTGTGGAGTGGTGAAGGGGAGACCCTCAGGCAATGGATGGGGACTGATGGGAACACAGGAAGTAGATGAGGACAGCAGAAGGAAGCGGGGCCTAAAGACATGGGATGGGGCCGAAGAAGTGGGACTGGGTAGGGAGAATGGGTTGGTTTGTGGGTAGAAGGAAGAACCTAAGAGGAATGTGGCTTGGCTTTGGGAAAAGCCCTGGTAGGAATCTGGGGGCCTGGGGACATGACCTGGGGAGAGTGGGGAACTGGGATTTGGGAAGGTGGAGTGGGATCTGAGGGGGTGGGCTGGATACAGGGTATATGCACCACTGGCACACAGACACACATCCCAAAATAGTATTTTCATGCACCAGGCCACCCCCTTACACAGATGCCCCAGTCTCCCCTACAGGCGCTGGTAGCCTCACATCCCCCCACCCGCCTGCCAGGGATGCAGAAGGCACCTCCCCCCTTCACCCGCTCCCTTCCAGCTCCCTTCCACCCCCGCAAACCCGTCTGTCTTCCGCCTCCTGCCGCCCACGTTCCTCCCACCAAGCAGAGTCCCCACCGTGCTCCCCATCTCCCTCCTCCCAGCCTCTGTGCCAGCTCCTCACAGCTCTTCCTGTCTCTCCATCTCTCCCTTGTGCATCTCTACATTTTCCCCTCCAGGCAGTCTCCCTCTGGGTCTCTCTACCCCTAATATCTACATCTAAAACTGGAGTGAGATTTCAGTCAGGGACTTGCCTTTCCAGCCTGTCTCTGACTAGCTTGAGCTGCCCCAGGTTCCCTCTGTCACATTTAATAGGCAGGGGGAATGAGTAGCATTTTCTTTCTGTTTGTTCCAGTTCTTTCTGTAGTCTAACCCTCTTCCAGTGTGCTGCTGGGACCCCCCCCCCCACAAGCCTTCTCCCCCCCTACGGCTTCCTCAGGCTGAGAACCCTTCCCTCCCCCACCCCCAGCCTCCAGCTGTGGCTTTTGTAGACAGAGAACAGGAGGCTAATTAGCGTTTAGGGAAACACATCCGTCCTCTGACGGGCAGGCGCTAATTAGAGAAACCAAGATGCAGGGGGCTGCTCCAGGCAGGATCAACACAGAGATAGAGAGACACTTAGATGTGGGGTGGCAGGAAGCGAATGCAAGAGAGAGAGAAAGAGAGAGAGTGAGTGAGAGAGAGAGAGAGAGAGAGAGAGCTACTCAGAAGCAGAGGAGACCTAGAGAAAGATAAAGACAGGAAGGAGACAGTAGCAGAGAATCAGGGTGAAAGAGAATGTTAAAGACAATTGGAGACAAAGGAGGAAAGAAACTGAGGGGGAAAGACTGAGACTGAGAGGGAGGGCTGAAAAGGAGAGACATGTGGGGGAGAGACATTCATCTCATTGAGAGACACTCAGGGAGGGAGAGGCCCTCATGCTGTAGCAGAGAAAAAAAAAAAAACAGTTGGGGGTCAATGAGAAAGGATAGGTGACAGGATGAGAAAGAGTCTGAGACCAGAGATCACCAGTGGTAGAATGGAGTCTTCTGGAAACAAGGCAGGTGTGAGGGTGAGGGAATATGAGGTGCGGGAGGAAGGCTGCTTCCTTTTATCTCAGGAAGTCCTGCCCTGTTTAGCTCTAGTGCCTCTTGCTGTCCTGTGTTAATTGAGTTCCTCCTCTTCCTGGGTCCCCTGAGGGCGTGTCAGTCACCATGTGTCACACAGCGTGTCAGTGGATCATGGCGCATCTGCGAGCGAGCGTGAGCGTCGGAGGTGTGTGTGTTACCCTGTCAGCATGTCACCATGTCGACAAGCAGCTGCGTGTGTCAGGGTGTGAGAGGAGTTCCTCTCAGGAACCCCCCATTTCTCTCAGCTGCTGCTTTTCAGCACCACGGGCAGCTCCAGGCCCACTTCTATGCTGGGGGGCCCGACATTTTTCCTCACCCACAGATAATTTTAAATATCCCTAGACTGGGAGGGAGTGAGGGTGGAGGTGGGTGTTTGTCCTTACATGACCATCGTGGGCACAGCTGTCTGCTTGGGTGGAACTGTGTCCTGTGTGCATTGACGTGCTAAAATGTGTCTTTTGGGTGTCTGACTGAGACCCTCCTGCATGGATAATACTGACTTTCATTAATCTATTTTATGGATGCTGGGAAACAGATGAGGAGAAAAAGCACGAGAAAGAGAGAGCCTGGGAGAGCCTGGACTAGAGAGGGTGTAGACAGTGTGTCAGAAAGACAAACACACAGAGAAACTGAGAGACGGGAAGAGAGACAAAAGATGACTGGGGAGAAACTGAATTGCAGAGAGGAAGACACTGAAGTGAATAAACAGGGACACCAAAAGGCACAGAGAGCAAGGGAGAAGGAAGGGGAGTCTCCCTGGTGCCAAAGTGGGGGCTGGGTTGACTGTGTCCCTGAGGCTGGGTTGGGTGGTATTAACAGGCATCTGGTCCGTGCGATCCTGCCACTGCATGGGACATGGCTGCAGGTGTGATGGGGTGTGGGTGTGGGTGGTGTGATTGGCTGCACTTCCTCTGCTGGGTGACTGTGTGGGCTGGGTATTTGTGTTTCTGCGTTCTGAGCCCCAGCCTTGTGCTTCCTACCGCAGCAAGTGCTGCTGGTGGCAGAGAGAGCTGTGGACTTTCTGGGGTTGTGAGTCTTTGTGATTTGAAGGGGGTGGGCTGTGGTTGTGTGCCCAAGGGGACAGATGACCTCTGGCAGTTACTCTCCTGCAATCCCCAGGTTGCCATAGCAGCAGGGATGCTGAGAAAATCAATTAGCACTGAGTGAACCCTCTGAATATTGTCAGGGCAGAGGGCAGGGTGTTGAAGGTCTCTTGTACTGAAGGATTTGAGTTACAAATGTTTAGGGAGAGCAGACAATATGCCAGGTGCTGTCCTAAGCATTGGGGATACAACAAAGAACACGAGTGAGCAGTCCCACCAGGAACCTATGTGAGAAAGCAAATGATAAACACAATAGATAGACATATTAAATGATGTGCTAGAAAATGGAAAAGAGAAAACAGAGCAGAGTAAGGGAACCAGGTATTCTGGAGTGAGGACAGAGGTGGATTTCAATTTTAAGGAAAGTTTATATTGAATACTAATACTTTGAATATTAAGGAAGGGCCCTCTTTGAAAAAGAAGATGGTATTTGAACAGATTGCTGGAGGAGCTGAGGGAATAAACTGGGAGCACGAGTATTCCAGGTGTCGGGAACAGCCGTTGCAAAGGCCCTGGGGCATGGGCAGACCTGGCATGTTTGTGCCACAAGGAAGGGGCCAGTGTAGCTGGAAAGAGTGTAAACTGTGGGAAGAGGGGTGGGTAACCAGGAAGGGAGCAGGGCCAGATGGCATTGGGCCATGGCCAAAGGACTTTGGCTTTCATTCTGGGTGAGATGGAAGCCAAGAGAATGTTGAGCTGAGGAGGAGCCATGTCTAAGTTAAGTTGATCCAGATCACTCTGGTGGCCATTGGGTGAAGAGACTGTGAGAAGTGAAGGTGAAAAGTGGACATTGTCTGGGAAGTGACTGCAGCCATATACATGGGAGACAAAGGTGTTTGGGCAAAGTGGTGATGCATACCCGGGGTGGGGTGGGGTGGGGTGGGGTGGGGGTTAAGATACAAATGCAGGTCCTGTCTCATCCCTGATGAAACATGTTGTTTCCCGTTAATACGCCTCAGCTTCCTCAACTGCTTTGGCTTATTTCCATTGGGGATAATATCACCTTCCTCCCAAGCCATGCAGGAAGTACATGAATGAATTAAAAAGAGAACCTGGGATGGAGCCGGTGCTTGGAAAACTGAGTGGTTGATAAACACGTTGGCTGGTGGTTCAGGGGAGGAACTCTTATGCTGTTTGTGTTCTGCACCCCCTCCTACCCCCAGGAAAACTCTTCAAGTGAAAATAGTTGATGACGAGGAATATGAGAAAAAGGATAATTTCTTCATTGAGCTCGGCCAGCCTCAGTGGCTTAAACGAGGGATTTCAGGTGAGGGGTGGTGGGTGGACTATGGGAAAGGTAAGGGGTCCAGGGTGGGGGGGACCCTTGAGGGCTCCACTGTGGGCAGTCCTTCAATCTCAGTGAACTTCCCAGGGAAACAGTCTCACTCTCTCCCTGTCTCTGTCTCTCCCCAGCCCTGCTACTCAATCAAGGTGAGTGGAGCTACCCCTGGGCTTGGGTGGTGGGAGGTACAATGCAGAAGGAACCTTGGGGAAGGGTCACAGCCACAGCTGCTCTCTTCCTGTTGTGGTTCAAGGCAGATTGGAGGTGAGGTAAAGGGGCTGACCTTATAGCTGGCTAGTTGTTACAGCTAGGGAATTGGAGGTCTAGATTGTGTTTTGTTTGTAGTTAAAGTTGGGGGGGTAAAATAAGTCATGGACTGCCTTCTGGGTTTTGGTGGGCTCAGGGACAATCAGGTTTGGGGGTTGATTAGGGCTGGAGTGGGGTTGGGGCTTGGGATTAAGAGTTAACTGGAGGCAAGGTTAGAGTGAAGATAGAGGTTGATTTGTATATTTATGGTGGGGTCAGATTAGAATGGGATCAGGTTTAGGTCAAAGCTGATGCTGGGATTTGAGGTGAGTTTGAGGGATTTGTGGCTGGATCAGGACCAGGACCAGAGATTGGGATAAGAGTTGTGGCTAAGGCTAGTGGCTTGGGGAATCAAGGCTAGAATTAGGGTTTAGGGTTAGAATGAGGGTTGGGCTAGAGATTGCATCCATCAGGGCACATAATTTGGCCCCCCGAACTTCAGTAGCCTAACATCATACAAATCATTACTTGCTCAAGCAGCTTTCCAAAATTCTTTCTGGCTGGTGGGTGACTTTTTTCTGATTGGCTTGATGCTGGGCTTGGAGTAGAACATATTTTAAGGCAATAATGAGCTCAGGCCAGGTATAGATGGGTCTGGGTCCAAGAATTGTACGAAAAATGGGTACCCTCCCTCTTCTCAACACCTCAGACATTTCTCTGGGATGTTTTCAGAGCTTGGCTGTTGATACCAGGCCTCCTCCTCAAGGGTGATGATGGTGAGGACAGTGGTGATGATAATAAAGAAACTAACATTTGTAACTATTTTTGTGTGTGCCAGGCATCGTGTTAAGCACTAATTCCCTTATTTCTCATAACTACCTAGTGCAGGTTGTTCACATCTTACAAACATGAACACTGGGGTACAGAGAGGCTAAAGTATTGCGTAGGGTCACACAGCCCTCAATATATGAATCCCATCAACTGAACTTCATGGACCAGCCCACAAGAGCTGGGTCTCAGGTTGGGGAAGGTGATGATCAGGTGGAAGCCTGCTGCAGGCTGGAGACATCACCGCAGAGGCTTCCTGGGGGGAAGCTGGTAGTTTTTCTCTGTCTCTGAGAACAGCTCAAAAAGCTGTTCCAGCCAGCCCAGTGAGTTAGGCCTCCCTGGAGTGTAACTCCCACCCCTCATGCCACAGGGGACGGGGACAGGAAGCTGACGGCTGAGGAGGAAGAGGCTCGGAGGATAGCAGAGATGGGCAAGCCAGTTCTTGGGGAAAACTGCCGGCTTGAAGTCATCATAGAAGAGTCATATGATTTTAAGGTGATTTTCTGGGGTCTCACCTTCCTGCAGTCTTCCTCAGGTATTTCCTCAGACTGACTGCGAGGTCTCAAAGGAGAGGCCCTTGTGTCTGAGGTCATGGGTGGGGGGAAAGGGTCCTCCTTCAACACCACTGATGGCGCACACCACCCTTTTTCCTTTTTGCTGGCAAAACTGGGGTATGGAAGTATGGGTTAGTGACCTCAACCCAGTACACCTCATGGAACTTCCCTGGGCTGATCAGGGGCCAATGACTTCTCTTCCCAGAACACAGTGGATAAACTCATCAAGAAAACCAACCTGGCTTTGGTGATTGGGACCCATTCGTGGAGAGAGCAGTTTTTAGAGGCTATTACGGTGAGCGCAGGTAAGTGGGGAGGGAGGAGAAAGAAAGCAGGATAGAAAGACCAAGGGAGAGGTAGAGAATCTGAGAGAGACAGGGAAAGGCAGAAAAGTGGATGGAAAGAGAAAGGGAAAGAGACTCCTCAGATCACACGGAGAAAGACAGAGAGATAGAGAAAACAGATAAAACAGATACAGAAAGACAAAAGTAAGATACAAATAGGAAGTATAGACATACCAAGAGAAGCATTCTGGCATTCAGAGAATCACAGAGAAAGTGGAAAGATGTAGAGAATGAATAGTGAACTGCAGAGGGCCAGAGAGAGACATGGGAAGACTGAGGGACAGACGCTGAGAACTTAGGGGAGGGAGGCCCAGCCTGGGCTTTCTCCTGGGGTCAGGCAGTGGAAGGTGGGGAAAGGTTTAGTGGCAGGGCCTGCCCAGACCACAGCTGGTCTCCTCTGTTGCCATAGAGACAGACACCGCTAGACCCAACTCTCCTACCTGTGCCAGGTCCAACCCCTATAAGCCTCAGATGGATCCACACTGCCTCCCCGTGGCCAGAGACACAAGGATGCTTGGGTTCACAAACTCCATCGTGGAGACCAACACTGTCCCTTTGTGATACAGCTGGGGAAACTGAGGCCCAGAGACAGAGGAGGGACTGGCCTGAAGCCCCAAGGGAATAGGAAAAGACCAAACTGGAACTTCCCATCCAACATCAAGCTTCCTACAGGGAGATGGCAGTATAGGAAGAATTGTGGTTGAAAAGAAAGTCATCAGTGGGATCAAAAAGAGCTGGCTGTGGGAGGGGAGACACCAGGTAGCAAGCACTGGGCACTGTATTATAGCCTGATAGAAACCAAGTGTCATCTCCCCATGGAGCCACTTTGTCTCAGCATCCATTTCTGAGGGATCCTCTGATCAGGCCTGTGAGCTCATGGCTGGGGACAAAGAGGTGAACAAGACAGCTAGAACTGTATCTGACAGAGCTCACTATCCAGGGAAGTAGCAATCCAGACTGGGTAGGGTTAGGACAGAGGACCACAAGAGGGGTCTTGCTCTGAAGGTTAGGAGGGCTTCCTGGAGGAAGAGGCTTCTGAGCTGAGTCTTCAAATGGAAATAAGAGTTATCCAGGGGGAGGGAAGAGGTAGGGACAGTTCAGAGAAAGGGAAAACCAAGTACAGAATCTGAAAACATTTGAGATTGGTGCACATTTGGGGAGAGTGGTTAGTATGGGGGGTGAAGAAGACATTCATGATGATACTACAGGGGCACAAGGTCCAGACCACATATGCCACAACAGGGAACTTGAGTGTGGTTTTGTGTGCACTAGAAACCATGGCGCATTTCAAATGGGGGAAGCTGCTGGAGCTGAGCTAGACAGCGCTGGGGAAGGAAGACAGGGTGGGGTGAGTTGTGAGATAAGGCTGCTGAAACTGATAGGAGATGGGTCCTGCCGGGTCTTGGAGGATGAGGTGGGCGATTTGAACCCACTCCAAGTGGGGAGCTGTCGGCTTGTTGAGCTTTAGAACTTCCCTCGAGAGGCTTGGTAAAGATTAGCAGGTGGGCCAGAGCTGAAACTGTGAGTAAGACAAGGAAATGCTGGAATGAAGAGAGTAAAATCATAATGGAAATAACAACTATAATAATAGCCATGCTGGTGAGGATGGTGATGGTGACTGTGAAGATGTTTTGAGGGCCAGGAAGCTTTGAGAGCCATTTCCTGTAGGAACTCTGAATTAACAGAACTCGAACATCTGGGTTGTTGTTTGACCCAGTTGCACTTTGTTCAGCAAATGCCTTTTGCTTCTTCACATGAGCACAAGAAGGGCAGCCCCCACTCTTTCAGGAGCTGAATCATGTCCTGTTATGTCCTCAGGGGGCTTTGCATTCCCATTACCTCCTTCCCCTGACTGTAAGCTCTCTGCAGGTTGGACTTGGTTCGGAGCATCTTTGCAAACACACACAAGTACACGCATGAGTGCTCACCCACGTGCCTCTGCACACATGTACACTTCACCCTGACACTGAAGTGCCTTTCAGCAATAGCAGTCACAGGCACCACGGAGAGCACTTAACCTTCACCATGGAGGGCAAGTCTAATTATTAACTCCCCTTTCTCTGATAGGCATTTGGAGGATCAGATTGCTTAAGATACTGGTTGTAGGTCACACAGCAGATCCAGGATTTGACACTAGAGAAAGGCTCCCAAGGCACATGTGTAACCAGGAGACTCCCTCTAGATGGGACAGACTGGTGAAGTAAGTTGAGGGTAGCGGGGAGTCAGTGCAGGATTTAAAGCAGAGTGTGGGGCAGGAAGAAATCCCAAGAGACATAGTGATACCAGCTACCAGCCCCCTCCCTCTCAAGAGTATATCCTCCCTGCCCTGACCTCCCTGTGGTCAGCTACAGATGCATTTAATGACAACAGAAAACCTGATCACCAGTGACTTAAGCAAAACAGAATTTATTTTTCTCACAGAGCAAAAAAAAAAATCTGTAGGAGGTAATATAAAGAGTTAAAAGCAGTTCAGTAATGTCATTAAACACCCAAACTTCTTTATTTCTCCTTTCCATTCTTGGCTTTTGCCCTCATGTTTGCAAAATGGCTGCTGCACCTCCAGGTGTCAAAATCCACGTTCCAGGCAAAAAGAAAGGATGCAAAGAAGCAGGAAGGAGGTCTTCCCCATTGCTTTTGTTTCCAATTTTAGTTGGGAATGCAGTAAAAGCCTTATTCTTTGAGATGTAGCATGAAACAAGCCACTTAGATGTTTACAAATCAAGCATTTGTCTTTAACAAACCAAGTGGCTTAGTGAGCTGGAAAAGCAGGAAGGAGATGTGTCACCTGAATCCCTGACCCACTAGTCTCTCCCTTGCTGCCACCAGGTGTCCTCTGCTCTGCTGACATTCCGAGGAGCCGGTATGTGGAACCTTAGAATGGTTCCATAACTTGGTGTCTGACCTGCCTTTCTTTCCCTGATTTGCTCTGGGTGACTGGACAGGAGTCACGGAGTTTATTAGTGTCCTACCAGATGTAATACTTGGCACACATAAGTGTGCTGCTTGCTTCTCATTTTATGTTAATCGGCTGAGGGCAAGATAGATAAAACACATCACTTGTGCTTGCCCATGACACCTTACTGCAGGGCAAAAAGACAGGTCAAATGTGGTCACAGCTGTTGACACAAACAACTCTAGGGATGAATGAGGCATTCTTTACAAAAGCATCTATAGCACAGATCCATTTCAGGAGACCTAGAGCTTTCTAGAAAACCTCCATTTTTGTCTCTTTGCCATACTGGGTCACATGGTCACAGCTGCAAGTTGGCTCTGGAACAGTAAGTGTCTGAGAATGTGATTGCTTCTCGCAGCAAGGGATTCTGGGAACATGAATATTTTTATCTGAGGACAAAGCTATCACTGGTCTCAAGGGATTCTGGGGAAAATAACCAATGTTCTCTGGTTAGCTCCAGCCATGGGGATTCTGCAAAGGTGAATATTGTTTACCTGGGTCTATGGGGTCTCCTAGCTGCAAGGGATTCTGGAAGAACAAAGAATTTTGTGGGGCTGTGTCTGGAAGTTAAATTAAATGGGGGCTCTGTAGGCAAGTGTGCCCCAGCTGGGTCGTGTGCCCACAGGGGACGAGGAGGAGGAGGAGGACGGGTCCCGGGAGGAGCGGCTGCCGTCATGCTTTGACTACGTCATGCACTTCCTGACGGTGTTCTGGAAGGTGCTGTTCGCCTGCGTGCCCCCCACTGAGTACTGCCATGGCTGGGCCTGCTTCGGCGTCTGCATCCTGGTCATTGGCCTGCTCACCGCCCTCATCGGGGACCTCGCCTCCCACTTTGGCTGCACTGTTGGCCTCAAGGACTCTGTCAACGCCGTAGTCTTCGTGGCTCTGGGCACCTCCATCCCTGGTAACCCCCCATGACTGCTTGTTGGGGGAGGGTCTCAGAGAAGTGAGGAACCTAGGGGGAAGATCCTAGAGAAATAAGATGATGGAGTCATATATAAACCTGGATAGGTGGATTGGGAGTAAACAGAAATGAGGCAGGGGGTTCTCTGGAGTGATCATGTGAATTGACTTCCCCTGACACCCTCTATAGCAAAAAGGTAGTGTCCCATGGAACAAAGGTGGTGGGAAACACTAGAAACCATGAACCCCATAGAAAGAAGGTGGCCAGGCACTGAAGAGGCAGGTGATGGAGGAGAAATAAGGGGAGCCTTGTTAGGAACCATTCAGTGTGTTTCTGGGAACCATTCAGTGGGTTTCCTGTTCTAAGACGGACGACTCCATAGAACTACGTTGGCAGGCACAAGAGGAACCAAGCCACCAAACTTCATAGCTTTAACCAAGAGAGAGCAGAGTAAAAGCCAAATGTTGGAGGAGGGGGGACCACAGAAATAAGGTGCTGGGGCCTTGGAGCCTGCAGCAACTGTCTCCCCATCGAAACCCAGAGGCCACGGCTCCTTTCCCCAGTAAATCTGAGCAGCCCTTAGAAGGCAGATAGGCAGTACTGAAAGGCCAACCGTGGGGAGACCCCCTGTGTGGGGAGCCTGGAACTTGTTCTTCACATCAGTGTGCCCAGCAGTCAGGCGCAGCAGGTCTGAAAAGCAGGCCAGGAGGAGGGGCTTCTGTGAAAGAAGCAGCCACTGGTGACCGTCTTCAGCTGCCTGCCTTGCAGACTAGAGAGTTGAGTTTGTAGCAAGAGTTTCTGGAACGCTGGAGGAGGTCATGGAAACCAGGCTGTTGGGCTGCCAGGAACCAGTGTGGACTCAGCAGGAAATGGGGCAGCAGGTGGAAGATGCTTGACATTATGTTGTCTGGCCAGGTGCTGACTGGTGGCCAGGGATCCTCAAGGAAAGCCAATAGGGGCCCTATGCATTGCGAAGAGCGGTTCCTGCAGAAAGCAGGAAGTGAGCAGCGGGTCCTGGGGTCCTGTCGCTAGCAGACACAGGGATAGGAGGGATGGGTGCCAGACTCTTCCTTTGTAGTGCGGAGGGGGCTCCCCTGACTGGGAGGAGGCCCCCCCCCTGCAGACAGCCAGTGGGCACCAGGGGGACTGGATCGCCCAGCTTGTGTGTTGAGGTGAGTCCTCCAGCCGAGAGTGGGGGCCTCACCGGCGGGTGGCCCACAGCGCCCCTCTGACCCTCCCGTCTCTGCCCACGCAGACACCTTCGCCAGCAAGGTAGCAGCGCTGCAGGACCAGTGCGCAGATGCGTCCATTGGCAATGTGACCGGTTCCAACGCGGTGAACGTTTTCCTGGGCCTGGGAGTGGCCTGGTCTGTGGCGGCCGTGTACTGGGCGGTGCAGGGCCGCCCCTTCGAGGTGCGCACGGGCACGCTGGCCTTCTCCGTCACGCTCTTCACCGTCTTCGCCTTCGTGGGCATCGCCGTGCTGCTGTACCGACGCCGGCCGCACATCGGCGGTGAGCTGGGTGGCCCGCGCGGCCCCAAGCTCGCCACCACCGCGCTCTTCCTGGGCCTCTGGTTCCTGTACATCCTCTTCGCCAGCCTCGAGGCATACTGCCACATCCGAGGCTTCTAGGGCACCTCTGCAGAGACTCGGCCTCCGCTGGGAGCCCTTCTTCCTTTGTGACCTCCAGAGATGCAGTGTCCTCTCCTGGGACTCAGCCTCCCTTCTTCTGGGAATTGAAGCCCTCTGTCCTGTGCCCAGTAACAGCCTCCTCCCTTCCTCTGGACAACCTCCCCAGTTAGCCCAAACTCCTGCTCAACCTGCCACACCCCTGAGGACATTTCCATCTCCATGATCCTCCCCTGAGAACCTCCCTCCCAGGGACCCTCTAGAGATTTCATCTGCCATCTCCCGAGACCCCCAGCCTTGCTCTGTCTCTTAAGACCCCTTTGCTCAGAGGACCCTCACCAGCACCACTACCACAGACCTGTGCCCCAGGGTCTCAGAACTTAGGCCTCCCTGGGGGAGCCTGGAAGGAGGCTGATCCACCCCAGGATGTCACAGGTCTCCACTCTCCTCCCAGCCATCAGGGACCTCCATCCAGGGCCATGGGGAAGTGGGGAGAGGAACAAGTGGGTGCCTGTGTAAAGAGGGCACAGCTTCCCGATTTCTCCACTCAGGCCCTTGGGAGGATGCTAATTCTCGAGGCTTGGAGAAGGGAGGGGAGAAGTTTGGGGTTTCAGAGCTGGAGGAGGCACACTGCGAGCCTGCAACTTCTCACATTCCAGCACCCCCACTTGCCTCCACTACCTCTGAGACCCCAGCCACACCTTGGAGGAGAGGGGGGGCCTGTGTGTGTATATAGTGTGTTTGGGGGAGGGGGGACGTGGGAGGGTGCATGTCCTGGGGAAAGGGGGTGACAGACTTTACTTTTGAGAGGGCAGCAGAGTCCCCCAGCCATGAGAATCGACTTTGGGGAGGAGGCTAGAATCCTGCCGATCTCCCCTGACAATCTAGAAGGTTCATTATGCCCTCAGTGCCAGCCAATCCAGGCAGGGCCCTCGAAGAAGAGACCGAGGGTCCCGGAGGACCAACGCTACAAGCCAGCAAATGCTGCCACATCTCTGCCTGCTGGGGAGCAGGGGCGGGTGGGAGGGAGGGACTGGGGTCAGGGGTATTTTTAACTTTGGAGGCTGCCCATCTGAGGGTAGGCCATCTGCATTTTCTTACTGTTGATGTTTTCTGCCCAAAGGACAAACTTGGGGTGTGAGAAGTGCTTCCCACTTCTTGGGACCCCCAGGTTGACCCTGCAACCCCCATCACACTCTGCTTCCCCAATCTATAGCATCCTGTCCTGTTGTGCATCCGCTCCGACATCCCACACCTGTCACCCACTCCCTTTCTCTACGCTTCGCTCATCAACACCAGTCACTGTCTCTATTCAATGTGATTTCTGTAAAAGTTGCCATAAAACTTTGAAAGTCTGCCTGATAAACAGCCTTCCTGTGGGAAGTTGGTATTTAGAAGGAGGGTGCTAAAGAGGTCTCTGACTGAGAGTTGGGCACTTGTGAACGAGACCCAGTAATCTAGGTTTTCCATGCTCCTGGTCTGCAGCAAGGTGCATCCACTGGCGCCAGTCACCCTGCGGGTCTCCAGGAGCTTCCTTAGCTATGCCCGTGGCTCACCCAGGTGCCTTCCTTAGCCACGCCCCTTTCTGTCAGTCACAAGCTATTCCTCTTCCTAGAGCATCCTGGGAATACAGAAAGGGGGAGCATCCTAATTCCCCTGAGCAGAGTGCCCAGGCCACTAGGGCTCCCTGATTTAACAAGTAACTTTGTCAATCCTGAAATAGAAGGAAAGTGTGAGAGAGTGGGTGTGTGAGACTCCTGATGAAGGAGTATAGACCTGAAAACTTCTGGGTGGCTTTTTTTGGTGATCCTGTGAGTGGTTAGCATGAACGGGATATGGGGTGCAGGGGGGCAATGGAGAGTTGGCTGCACAGCAAGTGAGGCCTCACCTCGCTTGGGGCAGGAAGGTGGAAGTCTATAGGAGAGCAGGTTCTGAGCATCTGTGGGTTCAGGATATTACATGTTGAGGGTGAGGTCTCCCTGGGACATCCAGGGGGTCAGGGAGGGAAGACACTCGAGTGATGGAGAGGGGGCCACCCTAAGAGAGAAAGGGTACTTGTTGGTAGTGAGACTCACCACAACTGGGGGGGGGGGCAGGGCTGTGCTATGAGCACAGGGCATGAACAGTGCCTGGAAGAAGCTACCCTTAAGGGGCACTTGGAAGGTGAGAGGCCTGTGTCAGTGGGAAGACGTGAGGGGGGTACCTGAAGTCCAAAGACATTTCCAGAAAGACAGTGTGGACAACAGGACCAAAGGCCAAGAACTAGTCAGTGTTCTTTGGATTTAGGCCTTGAGGAGAGCTATTTGGGGGTGAGGGGTGTCAGATGGAAGTCGGACTGGTCTGAAGTGGAAAGTGGGAAAACAGCCAGAGCACCTAGGCCACAATTTGGGGCATCTCGCTGTGAAGGGGAGAGGGGCTGGGGAAGAACGTGTAGGGTTTGTATTGGCTTCCCCCAAGTTGGGGCAGATGGAGGGCATGGAGTTCAAGGGCACAGGAACAATTAGGAGACAAGGTCAGGAGGAGTGCCAAGCACAGCTGGCAGCTATGAGGAGCCCACGGCGGGCGCCAGGCACTGTGCTGAGCCTCCTGGTTAATCCATCATGAGTCCAAGGACCGATGCCCATTCTACAGGTGAGGAACGGAGGCTCTGAGGGGTAAAGCAACTTGCCTCAAGTGTTCGGAGCCAGGAAGGGCAGGGATGGAAGAGATTCTCCCCTGGATGCCAGGAAGTCCATGCAAATCAGCTTGGGTGAGACTGAAACCATTACGCATGGAAGGCAGGCAGCAAAGCATAGTAATTTATTTCCTCTGTGCCTCAGTACCCTCATCTGGAACATGGGGCCAGTGATGGTGAGGCCAAAAAGGGGGACTAATGGTACCTATTTCACAGGCTGTTGTATTAAATTATAATATCTGTTAGAATAATACCTGTTAGAATTATCTAATAGGATTAGAATTAGTTAATAGATATTAGGATCACACAGTAAGCTCAGTAAATAGGGAAAGTCATACTTTCCAGATATCCTCATCTTGCCTGCTCACTTTCCTGTTTCTTCTCTCATGTGTGCTCTCTCACTCACTCATGCGCGCGCGTACACACACACACACACCCGCCATGCTAGAACACACAGCCTCAGCAGCATAGAAAGTCTTGGCCAATGAGTTCTAGGTGCTAAATCCCCAGCCCCAGGGGAGAGGATGGAAATGGAGGAGGGAGGCATGCCCCCTTCTCTCCCTCCAGTCCCCAGAACTCAATCACATTCTCCTTCACATCTGGAGCTGTGTCTGGTGCTTTGCTGGGGATGCCATGGTGACCAAAATGCCCCTGGACCCTGCTCTCCCTCAGCTCAGAGCGCAGTGGGGACAAGAGGTGGTTGTCAGGTTGGGACCTATAGGGGCAAAGGGACTCTGTACCAGGACACAGCACTGAGCTGGGTGACAGAGAGAGAGTCAACAGATACTAATAAAAGTGTGCAGGGTGGAGGAAAAGGTATCCCAAAAGGCAGGTGTCATAGGGCTAGCAGAGGTGGGAGCTGTGAGGGAACAGTCATTCTGGAATCTGAGACGGTACCAGTATGGCCAGGGCTGCAACCTTGACCTCAGACTCCTGTATCCAGTGGTGGAGCTCTCTGAGAGTACACAGGACAAAGAACGCTTGGGTGCATTCCAAAGCTGCACTTACAGAGGCTGACTGAGAGCTCCAGTAAGGTGTCCAGATGTACATGTCCTAGTCCTCAGACCTGTGACTTGTTCCCTTACATGGTAAAAGACACACATGATTCAGCTAAAGGTCTTCCAGTGAGACCTTGATTATCTGGGTGGACCCTAGGTAGCCTTATAAGTGAGGGATGGGAAGGTTGACTACAGTCGACAATGGAACAGAGAAATAGGAAATTAGAGTGGCATGAGGAAGGGGCCACGAGCCCAGGAAAGCAGGCAGCCTCTGGCAGCTGGAGGATGCAAGCGAACAGGTTTCCCCCAGAGCTTCCAGAAGGGACAGAGCCCTGCTGTCACCTGGATGTTAGACTTCTGGCCTCCAGAACTAAAAGAGAATAAATCTATGTTGTTTAAGCCCCTGAGTGGTGATTTGTTTCAGCAGCCACAGGATGCTAATACAGAGACCGGTCAAAAATTTCCAGTTCCAACTTTGACTTCAGACTTTCATCTATAACATGAGCATGTAGTGAGTATTTCTTCTCTACCTGGCTATCAAATACACTCACTGGGTTTGGAGTGCGTGGAAATCCAGCCATGAGGGTCCCATCCCACATCTTTCAGGGATAACCCCATGAGATTTATTTCCATGGCCTCCTTCATATCTCGGGCACTGGCAGGTGACTCATGCAACCAACTTCACCTGGGAGCTCAGGAGCAGCCTTGGGGGGGACAGATAGTGGGGGAGGATGATGCAACGACCACCATCTGCTTTGGGGAGGAGTCAGGAGTGGCAAGAACTCACAGATGCAGAGCCTGCAGATCCAGAGGCCCACTGGGTGCTTCCTCACACCGTGTGTTTATGTGGCTCTGCTGTTCATGTGTGGTGCTGGCTGAGGTCATGTGCCTGCATTTGTGTAGAGCAAGGCCAGGACTAGGATGTGAGGGGTGGGCTGCTGGTGGCTGGTGCTGAGCCAGCCACTTCGTCTCTCCAGGCAGCTCCTCTCCCTGCAGAAGAGGTGCACGGTGGCTGGATTCCTTGCAGCTTGAGTTCAAAGATCTTCCAGAAACAGATTTCGCTCTTCTTTGGGAGACCTCAGTCTTTTCTCTTAAAGCGTTCAACTGATTGGACAAAGCCCATCCACATTATGGAGGATAATCTGCTTTCCTTAAAGTCTACTGATTTAAATGAGACTCATCTGAAAAATACCTTCACAGCAAATCCAGGCTGGTGCTTGACCAAGCATCCGAGCACCACAGATTCACCCAGTGGACACACAATTCCCCACCACAGGGAGCCTTCTTGTCCCCAAGTCCCCTCCTCCTGCCATCTACCTTGTCCCAACCTGAGCAGGATGGGAGAAAGGCAATTTGTCTGGAGCACGATTCTTTCTGGAGGGGAGACAGAGAAGGGAAGGAAGACTTCAAAGTGTATATTCATGAGCAAGTTGCCACTGTGGGCACCAGGGATTGCAGGGGACTCCATAGGACCCCGCTGGGTGCTCAACCTGAGGGTCAAGATAATTTGGGTAATCGACATGCTTCTGTCTGTTGGTGATGGAAGGCGAAGGGTGGGGGTTGGGGGGCAGGGGTTGCTTCCCAGCACTGCACACCTGGTCCCTAAAGTATATTCAGTGAAAGGGTGGCAGGGGACCCAGCATGGGGACCTGTCATTGGTCATGAGGTATGAGTGGGGTACAGGCCCTGTTCACCACCCCCTCCTAAGGGTTTCCCACCTCTGTCTTCCAGCACGCAAATGCATGGGCATAGCTGAGGCTGCACACATCATCTGGTCCTGCCAGGGAACAGAGAGGAGTCAGCTGCTGGCACATCCTGGGTATGCTGCCATTCCCCTGGGGTTGAAGTCAGACTGGGGGGAAACATTCTGATTCTCAAGTTGGGGGGAGAGGAGGAACAGGCTCCCTAGGTCTGGAAGTGCTCATCTGTTCTCAATGCCTGTGTGAGCCAGGACCTGCTGGGGTCCCTCCTGTCTTTTCCTCTGTCCTGCTAATTCTCTGCCTCAGTTTCCCCTTTAGCACCAGTTCCCATCCTCTTGCTCCATGTACCCCCTGCTGTTGGCCTCCCC